CACTAAGCTGGGGCCTGCTGGTGACGCCAAGAGAAGCGAGGTGACCGCTCCCTTCTCCCTCCGGAGGTTTTCAAAACCTTTTACTTTTCAAAAGCAGTTGAAGTTTTGAAAACAAATAATGTTGGTAAAGTGAATTCAAAATTTCAGTGTGTTAAAGGGATATTAACATTCAACAAACAGTAAATAGTGACATATCTATCAGAAAACACACAGACCCTCCCAGGAGAAGCCCAGTGTCCCACAGGCACAGTCTCTGCTAGGCCTGGCGTGGCTTTGTGTTTTCTGTGTAAACTCCTGTTTTTCAGGAGCCGCAATCCTGCTCCAAAACTGTATGCTGGGTTATGACATCTCAACCCTAGCAACTTACGGTTTTGGTTACAAATTGGAAGAAAATTTTCGTTCTATGGATGCAAATATTTTGTGCTTTATAAAACGATGCTTCGTTGTGCTGCTGTGATTGAAGCTATGGCAGTTTATTGATTTGTCCAGGTCACAGGCAAGAGGCCTGGCCCACAGGAGGGATAGAGGAAGGAGACTCCTTACAAAATCTATTGATGGAAAGGCAACGCAAAATTGCAAAAGTCCTCAAAGCCTGAGAATCAAATGCTGCGGCTGAATTCGTCCACTCTGCCTGTGAGGATGTCTGCCTCGGGCCTTCCCGGGGAAGAGTGTGGAGCTTGGAATGGGGTTGGCTGTGGGCAGCCTTGCTCCTTTCCTCAGGAGCCTCACACCCTTAGAGCATGCCCCACCTGTGCTATGTCCTCAAGGTGACAGCGTGGTGGCTGCAGCACACAGAGTCCACAGGGAAGCTAATGATGACCTGACATTGGCAGTGGCCCCAGCTGAGTGTGGGGTTCTGAGTCCAGCTTAATGTTTACAGTTCCAATAGCCATTTGCAGTAGGTAACGTCCCTTCTCAGACTTCCCCATTACCTGCGAGCGCAAACTTACTCTTAAGGTTTATGTACAATTGACTGCTGTAAAGATATATATTTTTGGGTCCGTTTTTTTCCTTGTTTAACTTGGTGGTAGAAAACCATATATACTTAGAAGCCCTTAAGTTAAAGCCGTGTTTTCTGTGCAAGTCAGGTGATGGTGTGAAGATCTCGTGAGCAGCCTCACAGCCCTTCCTCTGCAGGAGACACTGGCTCCCTGGTTACTGCGTCGAACTTGTGTTTGAGGTTACCTCAACTTGTTTTTAAAAGATTTTTGTCTGTGTGTTTGTATATTTCAGTAGCTGTCTCGTTTTATTTAAATTGTTTACCATGTACCATGTACATGTCATTGCTGTATCTCAGTGCATCATGCTTGTAACAGGCATTTCGTTTATAAGAATGAGTTACTCATTTGTAAGCTGTTCAGTAATTTATCTACTATTCCTAAATTGGCATAATATTAGATTCCTATTTTGAATCACCTTTAATTACATGTCAGAATGCCTTAACTACCCTAACCTGACAACACTGAGTTCTTTGGTGAGGAGATACAGGGGCCGGGTATGGAGGGAGACTGGAATAAGGAGACATCATGCTCTGTTGGTCACAGAGCATGAGGGGCGTGTGGTGGGTATTTATTTTGCACAAACTCTTTGCAGTGTCTGTGTTAAAAACAGTACGGTTGCATCCAGACGGGGTGTGTGACCCTAGGACTGACTACTTCACCTCTTCTGTATGGTTTGTAATTAGGTTCTGGTCAGAAGTATTGTAGCCTTACAATCTGGATATATTTTGCATTAATTTTCCAATGCCGACTTTTAATTCCTGCTAAGAGCAGAGCTGGTCAAGTCACTGGCTTTTTTTCTGCTCTTATTTAGCCCATCAAGCAATCTTTATAAAGGTAGATTGGTGTATTTTATACAACTTATTTAGTCAACTCACTTTTCTGAGCAGTGATTGTTAGAAAGGGCCAGTGGACAGTGTGTGTGTGGCTGTTCTAGTACACTGAGAACCATGGGGCAGGCATTGAGGTTCAGAGTGAAAATTTCTTCGGGCCTGGCACATGGACTAGTGACATTACACATTCCATTTGCCTCCCTATCCTTTTAGTACTTCATTTTATAACTGTCGGAGGTCAGGTGGAGTGAGTGCTGCCTCAACTTCCCAATGGCAAGGGGCCGGCACATGCCCCTTGATAGGACTGATCTGAACCCTGGTATGCTCATGCATTGTATTTTAAACCAAGCAATGTAAGCACTCATACTTGTCTCATGGAGTGAACTTTTATAACAAAAGAGAAATTTGGGTTTTAATTTACAAATGGCAAATTATTTATCCCTCTCTGGATGCACCAAAGACCAGTAAAGTTTATAGCTTTTCCATCTATATTTATAAAGCAATACTGTATTATAAAAAAAAAATCACTATTTTTATCACATGCTTGAAATTTTTATTTTGTTCTGTTTTAAAAATGTGCACTCTAAACATATCAGAACCTTATTTCTTCCTTCCTATGAACTTAAGCTGCCTGCGCACAAAAAATAAGTAAGATTACCAAATGGAGATGAAGTAGCTAGAGTCCCTAGGCTCTTAAAAATTGAAAGCAGTGAGGGTGGAAACAAGTTATTTGTCCCAAGTTACTGTGCGTGCTTGACGTGGTTGATAAGTTACTAACTCAAAAAGAATCCATTCCAGGTGTGTGTGTCTGGGCTGGGCTGTGTCTGGAGTAGAGTCTGAATATGAGCTTTCAGAGGCAGGAGAGTGCCCTTTTCTGCCACTGCCCTTGTTCTGGACAGAGTAGGCACCAGACAACGACCCCAGAGGACTGCCATCCATCCGGGTGAGTGTTGTGGAGGTGGCCGACAGGATTGGGTAGGGCTGTACATGTTTGTACTTTTGGGTAGGTTCATGGCTCCTTGTCACTGTACACCAGCTATCTTTGGCAAAGTTAAAACACTTCATTTTCTTTGGAGACTGTAACAGTTTTGCATTTAAAAAAATTTTGTTGTTCCAAGGGGAGGGGGGACTGCTTATAAAGCAAAATATGAACCGGAAGACATTTGGATTCTATTTCTTTCAAAAAAGTAAATTTATCACAAAATTGAACTTCTCAAGTAAAGCAGTGTCCATGTCCAAATGTAACTGTTAGCAGGTAGTTTGTGGCAAAGGTGACAAGTGATGAAGCAAATCTGAATCTGTGTAAACTAATGAACTGTGTTTTCTGTTGAGACTATCATTGTTTGTCCTACAAGAGGCAATGACCTGAATCTCTGTCTGAAATATAACTTATGCAGGAATAGTTCTGTAAATACATTTAAATAAACTGTAAAGATATTTAATAAATATAGTATTTATACTAATTGACACTCCTTTGCTTTTGAATGGTCAGGAAGTAGGGCACCAGCCCTGGGCATCATCGTGCTCTCTCTCCCCCCGAGCCTCTTGGTCTACCTAACAGTGGGCCACACTCCAGAGCTTTACCATTTGAACTGGTGTGGCTGTTAATCGACAGCTACTTATCTTCCTCAGAAATTCACCACAGTGGACTGGCAATTGAGTGTAAAATTGAGGGTTTTTTTTCTTTTTTTCTTTTTTTTTCCAGCTGGGGTGTAGTTGTGCCTTCCAAATAGTACTGAGTGAAGCTACCAAAAAATGCTGCTGTGATGGCTAGGGCTTGGCGGCAGAGCACTGACCTAGTGTGTGTGTGTGTGTGAGAGTGTGTGTGTGAGACGCCCTGGATTCTATCCAAGAACCACACACACACACTCACACACACCCTGCTTGTGCTCTCGTGGAATGTCAAAGCCCTAAGTGCTTGAAGTGTCATGGTATCACTGTCTTGTATAGACTGCTGTACTCAGGACACTGCTGACCAAGGTGCTTTGGAGTGAACCCAGGCCTCGTCCTCAGCACAGAGACCTACAGAGTTGCCTGCAGCCACCTGCATCAGTTAGGAATGTCAGAAATCATTTAGTCATCAGTGTAAACATGAGATTCGTAAATCCTCAGCCTACAGTAGGAAGGACAGAGCTGTTGAGATAGGTGGGCATTGCCACTTGCCACAAAAAGCTTGGTGAAAGCCCATCTTCATTCACAGAGGAACATCTTGGGATAAAGTTGGGTTTTTATTAGGTTACTGTGGGCAGCTGTGACTCATTGCTAAGCTACAAGAGCCAAATCACTCTGGTTTCAGCTAGAATCTGCTCACACTTCTAAAGCACGGTAATCCACTTAGGCAGCACTTCCAATTTCTAAGGGACTAAAGTATAGTGGCCTGCTGGTTGCATTTCCTTATGGTTTGATGGCTTTCCCAAGACAGCAATAAGATGTTCCCTAAGGCTCCTTTGTCAGCTTGTAATTGACTGTAAACAGATTTGGGTGAGAGTCCCACAATGTAACATTGTGTCTGTGCAGGTAAGCAGCTCAGTCAGAGAGAGCAACAGACAGGCAGGCAGACAGGCGTGTGTCTCCCACCTCCCTGAGCTCAGCTGCTGCTGCGTGTGCTGATGACTCAGACAGACTTGGCTTCACTCCACTCCATTCTTTCTGCATCCCACTGCAGAGCGTGCAGGAACCAGAGCAAATGAAGGTTGGAAAATAAAATTGTATAATATGTAAAATGACCACCAAGTGAAAGATTAACTGTATATTTCTTTATTCACAACCTTTTTTCTAGTCTGGAGAAAAAAAAAAAAAAACAAAAACTGACTGGTCATTGTGTAAGGCGGTCCTGCATGACTGTTGTCTGCAGTCATGTTCAGAGGACTCCTAGGGGCCCTGAGAAGCTGTCCTCCCACCCTGATACTGAGGAATGTCTGCCTTTAGGGGCCCACAGAAGACATGCAGGGTAAACGATGTTATCTAAGAACACTGATACGTTCATTCCTGTGGCGCCTGCTCTGTCCCCAAGTGGCACAATGGATTTGTAGTGCACAGTGATAACGGGAGAGCAGAGAGAGCATCTCCAGGGAAGCTGGGACAGTGTCTGCTCCATTTCCCCTTGGCCTTCAAGGAGCCAGCACCCAGCACCCAGTGCAGCTATCACTGAGCATTAGACTGTGGACGCTCATCCGCTCACGTCCTCTTCACTGTCACTTGCTATTGCCCAGCTGTCCAAAGGGTGGCTGGCATGTTCTTGCTGTTCAGAAGAAACCGCTCCAAAGAACATGGAGGAAAACTGGAAGGGAAGACAGAAGCTTGCAGTTTATTCTGAAGACAAAGCATCCTCACTAAAGGCCCCAGCTGAGCCTTTGAGAATGGGGTCAGGGGCTGCCACTGTCTTTGGTGATGACTCATGGACACCATTATCAACCCAAGTCATCTAGATCAAGAACCTCTTCTCATGTCATCAGCCAAGACAGGGCCTTTGTGAATGGTGGTCCACTGTGACCTTTCCTGGAGCTACAAAAATGTCCACCAGGACTGAGAAAGGCCAAGTGGATGACTAGCTGTCCCCCTCCCCTCCTGACCTATCTATACGCCCTGCCCTCACCCAGGCCCTGCTGCCTCTGTTTAAAGCTTCTTGGTGTTGCTGATGTTAGATGTGTCATCCTCTTCTCTTCATGGGACTGTTCATATATAGGAGCTCTCCTCATGTCCCTTCCCACCCTGCATTAAGCTTCTGCCCTCAGCACTCCCAGAAGAAGCCCCATGCCTGAAGCAGCCACAACAGAAGACATGAGGCAGACTAGAGAGAAGGTGCCTTCTGCAGGTGTGACCACAGCAGCATCTGACCCCTTATTCCACTTAACTCCAGCTTAGCTAGGGTGAGCAGGACAATAGCCCAACCGTGGACTAAACCCTAGAACCCCAGCACACAGGTACGTAGTGATGAAATCAGGTTGCACAGCTGATGTTACCAGCCACTTGGGTTAAAAACTTGGCTGCCTGGCTTGGGAGACAGAAAGGGACTATGAGTCTAAAGAATGGAGGAAGCAGGCTGAGTGACACCCTGATGCTTAGTCCCATAAAAACCATTTCACATGGTGACCTTTGGAACTGGAGAATGAATACATTTGCGCTGTTCCTGCAGTGAAGTCTGTGGCCACCTATTAAAGAGCAGCAGTTGTCTTGAGCTCAGCTGGAAGCAGTCTCTATTGCTTGACCAAGGTCAAGATCCTGAGACTAGAAATGACTCAAGCAGCCTTTCCTGTCTGGTGTTTGGCCCCGTTCAGTAGCTCTCAGTAATGTTCATGGCACCCTGTGAGGCTGCAAAACTCAAGTTTATCTTGGTGCTTGCGGATTGCCTGGCTTTTCTTCAGGCTTGGGCTGGGTGCTATTTGCCACCTGCCCTTGTTCTTGATGTCTACCTAGGCTTTGAATCTGGCTAGGTGCCAGGAAGTAATGTCGAACCTCTTTAATCCCAGCACTCAGGAAGCAGAGGCAGTTAGATCTCTGAGTTTGAGGTCAGCCTGGTCTACAGAGCAAGTTACAGGACAGTCAGCTACCAGGAGAGACCCTGTCTTGAACCACCCACGACACACACACACAGCAAACCATGGCTGGCCAACAGCTCTTCCTACATCAGGAACCATACACACATAGGAAAGAAGGCCAACTGGGCTGGATGGTAGAGTACTCTGCTAAAGTGCCAGAGACCTGGGTTCCAGCGCCAGCACCACGAAGCAAAGGAAGGTAAGAAACTCCTGGCCCTGGGTCACAAGTGTGGGCTGTGAGACACAGATGCATGAACAAAAACAATACGAGGGGCTGAAGAGATAGCAGTTGAGCGTGTTTGCTTCACTTTCACAGGACCTGGGTTCAGGTCCCAGGACCCATGTTGGACAGGCTCACAACTGCCTGTAACTCCAGCTACCGGATAGCCAACACCTTTCCTCTATGGACAAGCTACACACACATTAAGAATGCAGTACTTGCACCGCGCCATCCTCTAGGATAGGGAGGAAGCAGAATGCCTGCCTCTGGCTGCAACTCTGGAGCAGTGGACAGGAGAACTCAACGGCTGGCACTGATGAAATCAGGCCATTTCTATCTTACATGACTATGCTGGGGAAACCTAACAAGCAAGAAGACCACTCAGCAAAGTAGAGAGACAAAGTAAGTGTACAGAATAGCTGTGCACACATGCTGAACAGTCAGTGCACACTAATGAGGAAACATCTACAGCAACAGTCATGTAGCCAAGCTGGCCTCACACTCGATGTGTATACTACCATACCAAGCTCAGACAATGCTGGAATCAAAGCAAGCACTCACCCCTTTACCATGTATTTAAAGACAGAATCTCTAAAGCTTGGAACTCACAATCTTCCTGCCTCACCCTCACAAACACTGGAATCCCTAGCACGTGGTTGTTCCCAGGCAGGAATACACTTAACAGTAGATATTCAACCCATTATGAAGAAACTAGATGTGCTGCCCACTTTACTCCTAGTGCTCAGAAGGCTGAGGCATGAGGATTGGGAGTCTATATCTGGGCTACATAGTGAGACCTTGTCTTCACTATACTACCTTCCACAGGAACAAGCTGGGTCCATCCTCAACTGCAAGGGAAATCTGAGGGCAAACCTAGGCAATATGAGACCCTGTCTCAAGAAAAAAATGAAAATTAACTGAACCGCTTTGCCTAACTTAAGAGACCTGTAAAGCAGTTCAGATACAAGCAGGTATTTTTTATGGAGATGAGTGAGCTGTTCCTAAAGTTTAAGTTACAAGTAAATGTTCAAAAATAGAAAAAGATCAGTCTGTAAAAAGCTACTAGGCCACCAAACTAGAAGCTGCTGATGAAGCAAGCAGTGAATGCGGAGACCTCGGGGTCAGGCGCAGCAAGCCCAGACATTGGCACAAGTGGCAGGGGAGACCCCAGAGCCCTGGGCAAAGGCAGCTGTAATTTTTAAGCTTTAAAGAGGCAGCTGCATAGCCATTCTGGAACGACAAAGTTAGACCCATGATTTACAGCATGCACAAGGCAGACTCCAGATGGCTCAGTGAGTAAACACGAAAGGGGTGGATTTCTTAACCCGTGTAGGAAAAGCTAACTAAAAATCATTTTAATAAAAAAAAAAAAAAGATTACCATGTAATGGAAAAATTCTTTGTATGGCAAAAAATCCAACAAAAACTATAAGATGTGTAGGTGGGCACGACGACCATCACCGATAGTGGCCTAATAAGCCTGTATATCCAGTGAGCACAGCACAGGGGACAGGGCTGGAGACTGGTAAGAGCCCTCTGTCCTTCTGAAGACCCCAGTTAGTCTCCCAGAAGCTATTTGACATCACTCACAGAGAAATGCAGACTAAAACCATGTTGAAAGTGGAGACACGGCTCAGCAGTTACAAGTGCTTGGAGCCTGACTTCTGTTCCCATCACCAAGTTGGCTTGGTGTGAACCTACCTGTAACTCCAGTTCCTTGAGGTCTGACACCTCTTCTGATTTCTGGGTACTGTACACATATGGCAGACACATACACATAAAAACAAAAGGTCTTTAGTTCCAGAACTAAGAAATAGGTGAGTTTGTGGGTTTGAGGGCCAGCCTGGTCTACATAGTGAGTTCCAGAACAGCAAGGGCTATGTAGACAGATTTGGTTCTCAGCACTTACATAGGGGCTCACAACCACCAATAACTCTAGTTTCAAGAGATCCAACTCATCCCCTGTGGCGCCAGGTACACATGTAGCACACACGTAAACAGGTAAACACTCATACATAAAACCTTTTAAAAACAAAATAAGGTTTCTGAATTATAAATTTGGCAATGACTCCCCAAGTTTGGCATCACATGCTGTTTGCAGACTTGGGGAGATTGTCACTCCCTTCACTGCTACAGCCAGCAGACACTGGCAGGACTTCAAAGAATGTATGTACACACAGGTCACTTATCTCACTGGGGAATAGTTTACCTTAAGGCCACCCTTCTTTTTTGTGTATATGTGGGAGGGATGTTGGATTTCAAGACAGGGTTTTTCCGTGTAGCCCTGGCTGTCCTGGAATTAACTCTGTAGACCAGGCTAGGCTGACCTTGAACTCAGAGATCCACCTGCTTCTGTCTCCTGAGTGATGGGATTAAAGGCATGTTCACCACTGCCTGGCATATTATTTTAAGGCAAACTCTCAAAAAGACACCTTTGGCTGTCCTGGAACTCACTGTGTAGAACACACTGACCTGGAACTCAGAGAGATCCTCCTGACTCTGTGCCTCAAGTGCTTGAGACAGCTTTTGTAATTACAGAATACTGGGGGACTATAAATGGCCATGTAGAGCAGCTGAGTTAACTCACAGGGAAAACATCACAGCTGCTGTGCAGAAAGTGTTTTCCAGGACGTTAAGTGCAGAAAGCAGCTGGGAAGCAGTATTTGTGTAAGAAAATATGCGCAGCTGCTCGTTTGTTAAGAGAGAAAACAAAGTGCTTGGTACACTAGCATGAGAACCTGAGTCTGGATCCCAGCCCCAGTGTAAAAATCAGGGCAATGTCACCTGTCTGTTGCCCCAGGGCTGTGGGGTGGAGACAGGCAAATCCTTGGAGCTCATTGTTCAGTCAGCCTAGCTGAAGGAATAAATACAGGTTCACTTAGAGACCTTGTCTCAAAAAATAAAGGACAACGAAAGGGCTCAGTGGGCAAAGCCTGGATCTCAGCCCCATAGAGTGAAGGATGCAGCGTGGCCATTTTCACGCTCAAGTGTAACTCTTTAAAGCTGCTGATTTGTTTTTTCTACAGTCCCCCTGTGTGTGTGTGTGTGTGTGTGTGTGTGAGTTCCCATGCATGCAAGTTCCTATGGAGGCCAGAAGAGGGTGTAGGATCCCCTGGAGATGGAGTTAGAGGCAGTTGAGAGCTATCCAACTTGGGTGCAAGAGTATCAAGGATATGTAATCACAACCATCTCTCCAGTCCCCACAAATAATTCTTAATTTAAAAAAGGTCACCCAGTATTGACTTTGAGTCCCCACGTGCTCACATGTGCAGTTATATGCACAGATGTGCACACCACACACCAGATATAATACCACACACACACAATACTATTTTTTAATTGATAAGTCCAGCAGTATGCAACGAGTCAGAGCACTTGCTGTCAAGCTAATGACTGATTTGTTCCTAGGGACCCACAGAGTAGGAGAGAATTGACCAGCAAGTTCTCAGACCACCACCCACGTGCTGTGGCATGTGTGCACCCAACACAGATTTTAACTGAAAATAAAATGATCAAAGACCGTAATGTAAATAGAAACTGAAATTAGAAGAAAACACAGATAAAGCAGTTACTGGAACAGCCAAGGACTTTATGAAAGGGACTCCAATAATTCAGGTAAGAATACTAAGGACTGCCAGGTGGTGGTGGCGCACGCCTTTAATCCCAGCACTTGGGAGGCCGAGGCAAGTGGATCTGTCAACTTGAGCTCAGCCTGGTCCAGGACAGGCTCTGAAGCTACACAGAGAACCCCTGTCTTGAAAAACCAAAAATAAGTAGAATACTAAGGACTGACTGTTGGCGTTGCATGAAGCCCTGCACAGCAGACAACAATGAGAGAAAGCCTGCAGACTGGGGTAAGATCTCTGCTAGCCATGCATGTAGCGGGATCAGGATCTACAATGTACAGTGAACTCAAAAAAAAAGAAAAAAAAAAAAAAAAAGAAAAGAAAAAGAAAGAAATACCCAAAACCAAACAAGGGGGCTTGCCAGATGGCTCAGGAAGAAAAGGCAGTTGACTAACAAGCCTGATGAACTGGTTCAAATCCCCAGAAGCCACACTGCAGAAGGAGAGAGCTGACTTCTGGAAGTTGTCCTCTGACCTCTCCATGTACATGCATACATGTGTGCACAACACACACACACATACACACATACACACGAAAACAAAAAGAAACCTCGGGTGCTGGAGAGGGGACTCAATGGTCAAGAGCACTTGTTGCTCTTACAGAGGACACAGATTCAGTTCCCAGAACCTGTTACTCCTGCTGTAGGAGATCTGATGCCCTCTTCTAGTCTCCATGGATACTGAACACACTGGTACACAAACATACTCAGGCACACACATACACATAAATGTAAAACAAAAAGAAAACTCACAAATAAATGCCAGCAAGAATATTGGGAAATAGGAACCATCATACACTGCTGGTGTAATATAAATTAATCCACTCCTTATGGGAATCAATATAGAGAACCCTCAGAGATAAGAACACACGATGCTAAGCATGGTTGGCACACTTGTGATTAGTACTTGGGAGGCAAGTCAAGAGGATCAGGACCTCAAGTCTATCCTTGATACATAGTTCAAGGCCAGTGTGGACTACATGAGACCCTGTCTGAACACCAAAAGGAGCCGGGTGTGGTGGCACATGCCTGAAATTCTAGCACTTAGGAGAGAGACAAAAGGATCACAAGTTTGAGGCCATCTTTAGCTATATACAGAGCTCAAGGCCAGCCTGGGCTACATGAGACTCTCCAAAATTTGTCACCATATGACACCCCAGCCATATCACTTCTGGGTACTTGTGAGTGTATAACCATAGCACCATTTTACTGCACTATTTTGCAATAACCACCTTATAAAATCAGCCTAACTGTCCATCATCAGATAAGTGGATAAAGAAACTGTGGTATATCTATGCAATGGAATTCTATTCAGCCATAAAGAATGAAATGGTGGATGCAAATGGAGGTCACAGTAAGTGAAATAACCTGGGCTCATAAAAATAAGTATTGCATGTTTTGACTTGTGGGTCATATATAATCAGATATGACATACCACATATGTGATCATATATAACAGAAATGTGGAAGCAGAATGGAGGCGCGAGGAAAGGAGACTCGCAGGAGGGAGTGGAAGGGAGGGTGGAGGAAGAGGAGGATAGAGGGATGAATTTGCTTAAAGTCTATAATATACTTGAAAGAGTGTCTTCGTGATATAGTTGGCCTGAACTGGACTACAAGATGGATGCTGAGGACTGGGCTGACATGGCTTCCTCAGCACCCCTCTCCTACCTTCCTGAGGTGTGAAGGGCCTGGCCCTTCCTCCATGTCACTGACAACACTTTCAGGTACTTCAGAGATGTCGTCCTGGTTGGTGCTGGCTCTCTTTGTCTCTGTTGCACAGCTGCTATCTAGAGGATCCTTGGGAAACAGCCTTTTGGGTGCTGCTCGAGAGATGCTCTCTGGGGCCTGGCTGGCTCCGCTTTTACCCACCTGGGCACTTGACTGTATGAGGTCTGACCTGGGGTTTTAAGAAGGATTAGATGGAGTTGTTTAGTGGGAAATACGTGTTTATGTAACTAAGAAAGCATGTGAGATGTGAGCATGCATGAGACATGGATTATGCTGACAGGGCCTGTGGTGGTTTGAGTGACAGCACCCCCATAGGCTCATCTGTCTGATGCTTGGTTCTCAGCGGGTAGAATTGTTTGAGAAGGATTAGGAGGAGTTCCCCTGCTGGGGGAGGTGTGTCACAGGGTGGGCTTGGAGGCTTTAAAAGCCCCTCACCATCCCCAATGCACTCTGCTTTCTTGTGGATCAAGATGTGAGCTCTCAGCCATTCCTGCTGCCAAGCCTTTGCTCCACCATCATGGACTCTTAACTCTCAGAAACCATAAGCACTATTAAATACTTTTTTTTTAGAGGTTGCCATGGTCTTATCACAGCAACTGAAGAGTAACTAAGATAGGATTACATGAAACTAGTTCAGTTGGTGATCTGCAAGATGGCTCAACAGGAAAAGGCACCTACTACCAAGCCTGATGGCCTGGATTTGATATCTGGGATCCTGATTGCATGTGTGCCATGGCAAGCATGCCCCCACACTCTCACTCTCAGACATAATGTGTATGAACATCAGAGGACAACTTTCAAGAGTTGGTTTTCTCCTTCTATTATGTAAGTCACAGGATTAAACTCAGATTGTCAGGCTTAATGGCTAGCATCTTTACCCACTGAACTATCTCAATGGCCTATGGGTCAACTTTTATAAAGTCATGAAAATGCATAATTTCAAATCATAAATCATGACACTAGAACATGTCTGTAAATATATGTCATGGAAAGAACAAGATATAAAGTGACATATGTCCTATGACCCTAATCTTTAAAGATAACTGTGAGCCAGTTATGATAACACATGCCTTTAATCCCAACACTGGGGAAGCACATTCAGGTAGATCTCTGAGAGTTCAACGCCAACCTAGTTGAGTTTCAGGACAGCAGGATTATGTAGAGAGACCCTGTCTCAAAATTCTGATCTAATATTTCATTCAATTGTTTCAACATAAAGGGTAAAGCCCTTACTATACAAGTGTGAGGCCCTGAGTTGGACCCTCAGAACCTATTTAAAGCTGGATTTGGTAGTGTGTGTATTTAATCCCCATGCTCTTATGTCAGTGACAGGAGAATCCCCAGCACACAGGCCAACTAGCCTGCCATGTGAAACTGTGAATGGCAAAATACCTTGTGCAAAGTACAGTGAAAGGCAGGGACCAATCCAGAGGCTGTCCCCTGACTACACAGATGTGTGGCAGCACAAGTGCCATCCTCCAAATATTAAAAAGAGAAAGTGCCTCCAGCCTCACCTTCTTTGTGCCTGGGACAGACACAGTGACTGTGGTGAAGACACTCTGCTTGGCTGGTCTGACAACGTGGCCAGGATAAAGTTCGCCTCCAAGAGCATGTCGTCCATACTCAAAACAACGGGTCTAGAAGGACAGTCAACACAAACCACAATCATCACTGATAGTGTTAGGAACACAGCAAGTGCCACCAGCTTAGGGATACACAGCAGGCGCTCCTTCCATATTTTCACACAGCAGCAGTTATAAGAGCTGGGAAGCCCTTAGTGGCCACAGGAAGCCGACCCGACTCAGTTTTAGTTTTGAACTACATTAAAGGCTTACACATGGAGTTCACAGTTCACATGCGTGGGCCATGCATAATTTCCTATTAGACAATTTTGTCAGGAGTCAGTCAAATGTTTCACCTTGCAGAAAGATTATCTTTCTCAAAGTATCAAATTACTTACTTTTGCTTTTTTAAGACAAGTCCTATCGAACTTATGAGCCTCAGACTAGCTGTGTGGCTAAAGCTGACCTTGAACTCCTCATCCCACAGCCCCCACCTCCCACATGCCAGGACTACAGACATGTGCTACCACATCTGGCCAAATTACCAATTTTAAAGCACCATGTGTTATGGCCTCTTTCTAACTTGTAGTTTGATAAATGTTGCTAGTAAAGTTGAAAAAGTCCTGGGGTGTGACACCACTTCATCAAGCTCCAAAGGCTTTTGTTATGGTAACAAGGGAAGATACAGAGTTCTGGGGTGGGTAAGTGAGGAACCTACTTCCCAGGAAAGTCAAAGTAGATGGATATGGGAGCGTGCATCACTTCTGAAAAGCTGAGCATCCCCTGCAGGGAGAGGAGAAGAAAGTGGGATCATTCCTTTAGAAGTACTAATGAAAACTTGAGTTTGACTTTGGCAGAAATATTTGCTTACCTTTAGTTCTTTAAAGCAAAATGTTATTTCAGTATCAAGTCCAACTTGAAAGAAGTCAAACTCTTCTGGGTCAAAAGACATCTCACTGTACACAGAACTGCTTAAATCTGTTTGGTGTAGGGACATAAAGATTAAAACTGGCCTAGAGGCATGTGTTAACGTTTAGCACAAACATGCAACCACGAGTTAATTAGAACCAGGCAGTCTTTGTTCTTCCTTAAAGGTGGGGTGGGTTTAAGGCACCCCGCCTGGAGAATCTGGGTAGCCTGTGACTGGTCTAATCAACAGAGAAAGGCAGAGCACAGCCATGCCTGCTGCCTGTAGCACACCAGCCCCAGCAGTCTGCCCTATGTGCTCCTTTAGGTTTTCAGATGCTTCAAGCCTCACATTGTCTAAACACAGCTACACAAGACCCCAAGTAGCAACTGCCCAGCTGGGCCCCATCAACCTGCAGAGCCCGGAGGGGTAAGAAAGGACTGTCCCAGTTACTATGTTTTGAGATGGCTCTCTGTCAGCAATAAATAACCAGAATACCGTAACAACAATTTTGTTTTAAAGTTTTTAGAGGGGCAGGAAGGGTCTCATATAGCCCAGGTTGGCCTCAAAATCACTATGTGACCAAAGATGGCCTTGAACTCCTAATCCTCCCTGCCTCCGTCTCCCAAGTAGTGAAATTATAGGTCCAGGCCACCATACATGGTAAGCTAACTAATTCTTAAAGGGACTAGTCTAAATATAGTTTGCTTGTAAAAAAACAAGTTATAGTTTATTAGTGAATTATATCCCATATTTTAAAATGTTAAAATTTAAAATCTCGATGGGTGGTGCTGGCACACGCCTTTAATTCCAGAACTCAGAAGGCAGAGGCAGGTGGATTTCTGTGAGTTTGAGGCCAGCCTAGTTTACAGAGTAAGTTCCAAGACAGCCAGAGCTGTTACACAGAGAAACCCTGTCTCAATAAACAAACAAACAAACAAACTTAAAAAATTTAAGAAATTAAAAGAGAAAAGAGATAATCAGACTAAATTATAAAAACATGGTTTAAAAGGTGAACTTTAGGCAATTTAGCCTGTCTCAATAAATAAATAAATAAAATAAATAAAAGCTAAAAAGATGGCTAGAAGCCAGGCATATTAACTCATGCCTATAATCTAGCATTAAGAAAGCTAGCATTTAGAGGCAGGAGGACTGCCACCAGTTCAAGGCCAGTTAAGCACTCAGTGAGTTCTAAGCCAGGCTGAGCTAGCGTGAGATCCTGTCTCAAGAAAGAGGGGTGGGAGGGACCTGGAGACCCAGTGGTAGAGTGCCTGCCTCCCATTCATGAGGCATGGGTCCAACATCCAGCACAGGAAAAAGAGGCAAAGGAGGAACAAAACAGTAGAAAGAAGTGAGGTATTGGAGACAAACACATTATCCCAGCTCCAGGAGAATGACAGGTTCAAGACAAGCCAAGTTACAGAGAGATTCCTCAGAATAAATAAGAAAAAGAAGATGCCTATCTACAGAACTAAGGGAAGCATCTGCAGTTCACACATGTGACAAAGGGCTGGTAGACACTACCCCAGGGACCAGGGCAAGATAAATGGTAACAACGGTGGCCTAGGAAGCTGGACATTATTACATTCAGGAAACAAATCAACCTACATTCAGAAGCTACTTTATACCCACTGGGCTCCAAAACCAGACAACAGCCAGAACTGTCAAGGGAATGGAGAACCCTGAGCCTCATCACTGCCTGGGATAATAAAATGGTGTTCACATCACTGGAAAACATCTGGCCATTTTCACACGGCTAAATGGAAAGTTATGATATGACTCAACAATTTTACTCCTAAATCTTTCCAAGATAAATGTCTACACAAATGCTTGCATATGGCTGTTCATGGCAACATAATTCCTAAGAGTCACAAACTAAAACAATCAAAAGATTCAGCAAATGACGAATGGATACAGAAAATATACCACATCCATGTAAAGGGATATTAGTAAATAATAAATGAAGTACTGTAAAGATGGCAATACGAAAAACCTAAAAAAAAAAAAAAGCTGCTGAATGAAGAGTGCAGACACAAAAGGAGATAAGTTATGATTTTATGTCTATGAAATGTCCAGTCTGGGCAACCCATAGAGACAGAAAGTAGATGAGCCCTAGGGCTAGGATTGGAGGCAGAGGAGGGGAACTGGAATATTATAATAGCTAGACTCCCACGAGTACACTAAGTGACTTCTAAAATGGCATGTGTGTGTTATGTCATAGTAAAGCTGCTTTTTCAAGGGAATGATGAGGGGCACTTGCCCAGACTCAAGGTCCACCCATCACAAAGAACTTCTTTTGTGTTTGTTTTTCAAGACAGGGTTTCTCTGTATGTAGCCTTTCCCAGGCTTCTGGGGCATGCAGTCTCAAGTATGGGAGATGCTTTACCTTAACAAGAAGGCTCACACAAGAAGGCTCACACTATAGCTAGTGTTGTAGCAGAGGAAACACAGTAACGAGATTAGACAGTGGCTAGTCAACCACAGCTGTAGCCACTCATTAGAAAGCTCCTCTTGGGCAGTGCTTATGGGCTACTAAACAGCCACATCCCAAAGCAGATCCTTTCACTAGCCATGTTTGTCTTTTCTCTCCTGGGTTACAGAAATGAAGCTGGAGCAGACCCAAGGGAAGTCATTAAAAAGTGTGTTGGTAAGAAGCCATCCCCTGGAGCCCAAATATATACAGAGATTAGGATCACAGATGACAATGAAGTGTGACCCAGGCAGCACCTATATCACAGCCTGGGCCCATACTAAGTGATTCGTGAGATATACTAGTTAAACACAACAGTTACCGGGCCTGGTGTAAGCCCTGTCATCTGCTGCCTTTCACCCTGAACACCACACCTCCTGACCTAGCACCTGGATTAGCGGCGGAATGCTCACCAGTGTGTACGTATATGATCCCCGCCACAGTTCTGCAATACAGTGAGCAACAACACAGCTCCTTTCCTTCTGCTCTTTCTAGCACAGTTACAAGGAGCAAAAGATCCCTGGGGAAGGCACTGCATAGAGCAAGGTGGACCCAAAGGGGCTCCCTTACGAGATCTCATCACCAAATCCCCTTCTAGACAGTCTAGGGAGGACTGAATTAGAGGGGTTCACGTGGTTTCCTTGTGCACTTGCTGTCTGGAATACTGCAAAATTCTAACCCCGAGGAACCTTTTCTTAATATGCAGTCAGAATCCACCTCAGTCAGATTGCTGGCCTCTTAGGATGGTAAAGGATGAGACACAGACCTCAAAAACTTAACTGAAGCTGGGCATGTTAGAGGAAGCCTGTAATCCCAGCTACTTGGGAGGCTGCATCAGGGAATGGGAATTCTAAGCCAATCTGAGCTACATAATGAGACCCTGCCTCCTCCGCTCCCCCCCCAAAAAAAAAAGGATGGAAGGAAGAGAGGAGGGAGAGAGAATAGGTCAGTCGTTACATGACAATATATTTTCATTTTAAAGCAACCTGAAAATTCAAAGCCATACACTTCAATTGTGAATCGTATAGATTTCCCAGACCTGGCCATCATTTTTACCATTTTTCTACATCTTGGTGCTTCTCAGACAGCAGTAGCTATTACACCACTGACAGGGACTGTGTGTGGAGTCATGAAGAGACAGGAAGCATGTTCCACGCCATCCCAGCATAAGGCAGACATCACCCTTACCCAGGGATTCCCCACTCCAACTCTTGAGGCAGAAATTCCCTGGAGTAACAGAAAAGGTGACTTCCTCTTGATTTGACGATAGAAGAACAATGGCCTCAGTCAGCAATCTGTAAAATGTGATGAAATGTATTGACATTATTGACAGCTGAAAATCAGCTATAACCTTACTGGTATTCAAATCCTGACTCTGGACAGGCCTGGATTTAGGAAACTTCCTCCAAAGGTCTGCCTTCTGACCTTTTGTAGTTTTTAAATTCTGCCGTCCTTTGAAGGCCCACTAAGGGGGCTTAGAAATCAAGGGCATGTGAGATGACAGTGCCACCTTAGGGAAACGTGCAGAGGCTGCATTGTGGGCAGGGCATGGGACTGCACCTTCGATTCCTGGTGCATGCTGTAAAGAGAGACAGCAGAAAATGGAGCTGCTAAAAAAACAGCTGAGATTCACTGAGCTAGAGGCCTATGTGGTGCTTTAAACTGAGATGGCCCCCATACGTCTTGGGCATCTGAATCCTTTGTCCCAGTTGCTAGAACTGTTTGGGAAGGATTAGGAGGTGTAGTTTTCTCAGAGAAGGTGTGACACTGGGGGTGGGCTAGGAGGCTTAAAAAGACAGGTGCCAGGCCTGGAGAGGGCTCAGCAGTTAAGAGCACTGAGTGTTCTTCCAGAGGACCTGGGTTCAATTCCCAGCATGCACATGGTAGCTCATAACTGCCTGTGACTCCAGTTTCAAAGGATCTCACACCTCACAGACATACAAGCAGGCAAAACACAAACGCACATGAAACAAAAATAATTATTAAGAAAAAGACAGCTGCACTGTGGACTCTAACCCTCGAAAACTCTAAGCCCAATTAAACATTCTTGTTTGTCTGATCGAGGCAGGGTCTCTCTATGGAGTTCTGGCTGTGCTGGAATTTAACTCATTATGAAGACCATCCTAGCCTTGAACTCACAGAGATCCTCCTGCCCACTGTGCCCAGCCGAGCTTTCTCTGATAAACTGGTTTGCTTATGGTGTTTTGTCACTGTAACTGAAAAGTAACTAATCCCACAACATAACAGGTAGAAGTTTCCACCCAGCCAGCTGCCTGAATTTTCTGTCACTGTCTTAGACTATCTAATACCTGTTACTTCAAGGTTCTCCTGAGATCCATCGACCCTTTATTCTAGATCCCCTTTGGGTTGTTTTCTTCTTTTGGTTTTTCTGAGACAAGTTCTCTCTATGTGGCCTGGGCTGGCCTGGAACTCTTCCTCAGCCTCTGAGTGCTAGGGTCACAGGGGAGAGCCACCATGCCTGGTTTTTTTACACTCCTCTTTACAAACAGATTCGTCCACAGAAAACTCACTCAAGGTGAGCTCTACCGCTTGAGGCTTGCTTTTTGCTCTCCCAGTGGTCATGAAACTGGCACCTTCATGTGCTCTCTGTGCACACTAAGGTCTTCTTTGCCCATTTCTAGTTGAGCCGCCTTTTTAAAATGGTATACTAGAGCCAGGCAGTGGTGACGCATGCCTTTGATCCCAGCACTCTGGGGACAGAACAGATGGCTCTCCCAGGATGGTCTACAGAGCAAGTTCCAGCATGGCCAGGGTTAAACCCTCTTCCCCCCCCCCCAAAAAAAAAGATAGTAGATGTTTAAGAGACAGCTCAGCAGTTAAGAGCACTAGCTGATCTTGCAGAGGACCCAAGTTCCAGTCCCAACCCCCACACTGCTACTCACAACCATCTGTAACTCCAGTTCCAGGGCATCAACACCCTCTTCTGCCCTCTGAGGGGACCAGGCGTGCATAGACACACATGCAGACAAAACTCCCATATATATAAATACAATGTTTTAAAATAAATTGCATTATAACAAAACAAAGAGAAATTGCAAGTTCTGCCATCCTTTTGAACTTGAGCTGCTGTTAGATTAAAATGATATTCTTAGAATTAATGTAGGCTTAGTTGTTGGCCTGATGCTAGACATAGTTAACAGTGTGTCTTGATGCCAGGAACAACTATCCAGTTCAATTGGGGACTTCTCCCTTGTTTAAAGGGAGGTGTTACACAAATGCCAAATGAATTTGTTCTGAGCTCAAGCCTTGATATGTAGCCCAGGATGGACTTGAGCTCATGACTCTTCTGCCTCAGCTTCTCCTGTGTTGTGACTCCAGATAATTTTTTTCTTTTGTGTATGTCGGGGTCAGACCCACAGATCTGTGTGTGTTAGATAATAGTTCTATCATGGTGTTATACCCAAGACCACAAGATACCAAATAAGCTGATATAAAACATGACTATCCAAGTCAAAGGGGAGGGAAAATGCCAGGCAAGGTAGTGAGTGCATCCTACAGTCCTAGCGTGTGGGAGCAGAGGCAGGAGGACTTTCAAGTTCAAGACTCACTTCAGGTATGTGACTGTCTCAAAGGTGAAGGAAAAAAAAAAAAAAAAGGACAAAACTACAAACTACTAATAAACATAAAATTTTCAGACTCACAAGGAAAAGGCAACAATTTTATCTTATGAGGTTGTCAAAATTGTAAAGATTTATTAAGTCTTCTATTTAGAACTCCTGCACTTCTGGTGAGAATGTGAAGTGACAAACTATTCAGATGACAACTGAGCTGTCAGAATACAAGGGGACTGCACGTGTGTCTCAGCCTCTGACCCAATGACTCCATTTTTAGGGCTCGCTTGGGCAGCCTGTACCATAGCCCTAACCCTCCCTTGAGTGTGAGCTCTCATTTCAGCGAGAATGAAGGGGACGAGGGGGCAGTGCTGCCTAGACAGTGAAAGGCCTGAGGCTTCTGTCTTGGAGTTCTCGCATCAGCATCTGGCATTTGTGAGGACTCCCAGGTAGCAATCTGCATGCCTGGGAATGGCTCTTCCTGCACTCCAGCAGCCACACCAGTGAGTTCTGTCTGCAGTGTCTCCCTCAGGGTATGCCTTCAGGTGACACTGTAGCCCTGACAGTACCTGACCAACTCAAGAGAGACCTTGTCCCAGGGACACCCAGATAAGATCCAGCTGTTTCAACAGAGTGATAAACCCTGACGTGTGAAGGCTCTACATTTGGGGGAAATGTGTTCCACACCAATAGATAACACAGTATTCTGTTTTCAGAACAGATACTATTCAGATTGTTTCTGACAGCAAAAATGGGGAGGCAACCTAAATGTCCCCTGTAAGGTAATCAGTAGGAAATTATAGCTAGCTCAGACACACAATGAAAAAAAAAAAAAAAAAAAAAAAAAGGCAATTACTCAGATAATTAAGTGAGCTGACATGGAAAGGTCCTCACACTAACTTCAGTTTCAAAGGCAAGGCAAGTTTAGGTGAGAAAGATGTCTCAGCAGGCCATGGCACTTGCTTACCAAACCTGGTGACCTGAGTTCCATGTGGTAGAGGGAGAGAACTGATTCTGGCATGTTGTCCTCTGAGCTCCATACATGTTCAGTAGCATGTGCATTTACACACAATGGGGGAGGGGGAATGTGGGCTGTAGGTGTCACCAGATTGCCCAGGGAGAGCTACAGAGGGTGTCAGAAGAGGAACTCAAGGTCCCTTTGTTATTTTTCAGTATATTTGGATGTGTCGCGGTTAACAAGGATCCCTTTTGTAATTTAAAACAGCAGTAAGATAAAATACACTTTTCTCCTCCAGAGTCATGTTAATAGTGAATGCTGCAACTGAACTCAATCGCTAAGTGTCCTTTCACTGACAAATATGGCTCACTCATTACCTGGAAAAACCGCTGAAAATAAAATCAATTTGCATAAGAATGTTCAAATTTCCTCAAGTTGTGTGTTCCAAGGCTCAAACAGAAGCTGCATGGGTGTGAAGCATCTTCTAGGTTTCCCTTTTTGGCTGGTGCTCAAAGTGGGAAGCCATGGGTTCCTGGCCACTAACTTTAGCTGACTTGCTTCCTTTAAGCACTTGTCACCTGTCAAGCTTCTACTTGACAATGTCAGTGATTGCTCTAAGTCACAGGTTAGCCTTTTTAAAAAGTGTAACTGGTAAGAAATTTCTAGGAGGATAGAGGGGCAAGAGAGGGTAGCAGGGCGAATGTGACCAAAGTACAATGTGCACGCACAGCATGAGATGTCTGTCATACAGAAAGCAAGTGTTTTGTGCACTGACTTAAAAAGCATCTTAAAAAGGAAGGAAAAGCTCCAGGGTGAACCATTCACTGCCTGAGGACGCTGTGTTCAGAAGAGAAAGGGGCATCAGGAGACCCATTACCTTGGCTTAATCATCAGGATATTGGCACACAAGCTCTTTTCAAAGAGAATTTTCAAGGGCTGGCTGTCTTGGAAATACACATTGTGAGTTCTTTTAATACCTTAAAGAGAACAAAGCAACCTCTTAATAACTGTAAGTGCAAAATGAGCAGGCTTTAAATGCCTGCCTTTCACAGCTAAATTAAAGCAATAAAATTAAAGTAATGTTTCCTGTATGGCAGGTGCATTCAACCTACAGTGGAGTATGGCCTTAATGAAATGTGCTGTTGCCCCCTAGTGGACAAGGAGCAACATGTCACAACCTCCGAGCAATCTAGACCAGGTCTCTTCCATCCCAAGGATCTTAAACTCCAAAGGTAGCAGAGGATATCCTTGAACTACTGATCCTCCTGCCTCTACTTCCCAAGTGTTGTGATTACAGGCATGCACCATCATGCTTATGTACTGAAAATCAAACCCAGGACTTCTTTCATGATAAGCAAGCACTCTGCAAACTTAGCCACATCTCTAGCCCCTGAAAAGAAACTCCTTAAATGTGTGTGACACAGTAACTGGTACTACAGGTCATAGAGCTGCAACACTCTTTTTGAATATTTTATTCAGGACTTGTCTTTATAGGAATTTTGACATTTAGACCACTAAATCTGGTCTGAGATTTCTTTTTACTTTAGGAGCAATAGTAATACAGCCTGATTTTAAATGCTTAGTGTTTCAGGGGCTGGAGAGATGGCCCAATGGTTAAGAGCACTGTTGCTCTTGCTGAGTGCCAGGCTTCAGTTCAGAGAACCCTCGTATAGCTTACAACTGTTTGTAACTCTAGCTCCTTCTTCTGGCTTCTTAGAGCACCAGGCACATATGTGACACACACCTATACATGCAGTGCACATATGTGCGAGCAATACACTCATATACATAAAATAAAATAAGTGTTCCTGATTCGAAAGGATTTGGGGGAATATTTCTATAGATTTTATAAGCTGAGTATCCCTAATCTGAAAATCAGGTTTTTGGGGCTTTTAGATTCAGACTTTCAGATTAGGGTGCTCTGTGTGCTAGGCACTAATATGCATTTTTTGTACATTCTCTCTCATCTTCACTGAAGCCCTTCTGGGGAGGGAGGGACTCAAGCACACAAGAGGAAACAGCAGATTGGTAAGGCTAAGTAAGGGTGGCTTCGAGCTAGCTTTCTATAAACTAGACCGCAGGCAGCATGAATTGCAGTAGAAGTCAAAAGATCTAACCAGGGTTAGGCACAGCCAGCTGGTAAAAGTGATTGCCACCAAATCTGATAGCTTTAGTTTGAACCACACTAAATGTACACACACACACACACACACACACACACACACTTTTTAAGCCAGAACTTGTCAGGCCTCATAGATAGATAGACAGACAGATAAAATTGGACATATTTCTCAGCTTATATGTTTGGCAAGATCCTTTGTTGTTTTGTTTTACTGAATAACAAGAAAGACTGACAGACAGACTGACTGACTGACTGAGATGGTTTTAACAATAGCCTTGGCTGTCTGGAAACTCACTATGTAGACCAGGCTGGCCACAAACATTTGTTTGCTTGTTCACTTTTTGGTTTTTCAAGACAGGGTTTCTCTGTATTGCTTTGGAACCTCCTGTCCTGGAACTCCCTCTGTAGGCCAGGCTGGCCTCGAACTCACAGAGATCCGCCTGCCTCTACCTCCCTCCCAAGTGCTGGGATTAAAGGCATGCCCAGTGAGTGTTACATAGCTGTTTTTATCTGTGGAGCTTGCACTTTCAAAGGCAGTGCTGCCTTCAAAGGTGGCGGGTCAGTCAGTGGTTTTTAACCAATTTGGAGTCATTAGCACACCTGCAGGGTACCTTGCAACAGAAACCTAAAAGACTCCAGCCTCCACTTTCACAAGTGTGTGTGCCTGCATCAGGGCTGCGTTTTCTCTGGATCCACTGAGTCCTTTCAGAAGCCCCTTTCTGTGCAGGCCCATCTCTTGAGCTGGCACAGAACTTATGTGAAGAACAGATTCTTAGGGACACTGAGTAATTCATTCTGAGCAACTCTGTGGCCAATGCAAAAGGAAAAGAGAGGGTGGACTGAATCTTTAGGAGGGCCACCCACTCTTTTCCCCCTTAGCGCATGTCTGGTAATCGCCGTCCTGAAGGCTGTTTACTATTAGAGTGAAGGTGACTCGTCCTGTGTGGAAGCTTATATCTGGGCAATTACCTCCTACTAACAGAGCTAAACTGAATTCACTAACTCTCAATTTCCCCCACAAAATCCCAATCTGTATTTCCAGAAGCTAACTATCAGGTGACTTTTCTCAACTGAACTTGAACAGTGTTTCTCAACCAGCTGATTAGCATATAGCTCCATAATCTGCAAATCACAGTAGCCTTGGAAAGAACTAGCCCAAGTCTGGAGCAGCATCCATGGCCCATGGCCCCTTCTCTTCCAGCTTCAGGACTCCAGCATAAACCTGGACAGTAGAAAGTAGCCCAGATATGTCAATTGGCCAAGTAGATGATAACTATTTGGCTATTTGGTAGTCCAGGCTGGTCTAGTAATAGCAAAGTCAAGCATTTTTTGTCAAGGGCAGAGTTTTAGGCAGCTCCTGGTGTGGAAGAGCACATAGTCCCTGCTGCTGGAGGAAGTTACTGTTAGGACTTTTGTTGTGGTGGTATTGATAATGAATCAAACCCTGTGAAGGAAGACAAAGAAAAAGATGAAGAGAAGGAAGGAAGGAAAGGGAGGAGATTGAGGAAGAAGACAAAGAAAAAAGGTGAGGAGGGAGGGAGTGAAGGAAGGGGAAAAATGAAGAAGGAAAAGGGGGAGAGGAAGGAGGAGGCATGAGAAACAGAGGCAGCAGCGGGGGCAGCCTAGACTGAAGCATGCCTGAAGCAGTGTCAAATTCTCACCAAAACCAATGTTACTGAGTGTAATTGTCTGATTTCTCTCACTTCTGTTCTTTGTATCTTTTTTGTTGTTGTTGGGGGTTTTTGTTTTTTGAGACATGGTTTCTCTGTGGCTTTGGAGCCTGTCCTGGAACTAGCTCTTGTAGACCAGGCTGGTCTCGAACTCACAGAGATCTGTCTGCCTCTGCCTCTGCCTCTCAAGGGCTGGGACTAAAGACATGACACCATTGCCTGGCCTGTTCTGTGTCTTAAAGCATCCTATATAATAGAACCACCCTACAAAAATTATTTTAAATGAGGAGCTGGAGAGATGGCTCAGAGGTTAAGAGTACTGGCTGCTCTTCCAGAGGTCCTGAGTTCAGTTCCCAGCAACCACATGGTGGCTCACAACCATCTGTAATGAGATCTGGTGCCTTCTTCTGGCCCGCAGGCATAATAAGTGAATAAATTATATAAATATATTTTTTAAATTATCTTAAATGAATCAGTTTTGCTTAATTTTTGCTTTTGTTTTAATACAGGTATTCCAGGCTGGACTGGAATTTGCTATGTAGCTAAGAATGACCTTAGACTTCTGATCCCCTGCCTCTAAACTCCTCAATACTGGGATTATAGACACATACCACTAAGCCCAGTACACAGTATTTCCTGGGAATAGCACTAACAGAGCCATGCCCATGCTTGAGATGTTTCAGATACTGAACGGCTGGTTCTCTAATTCACCTGGAAGGGAACAGGGAGGAGGGTGCACTAGCTGTCATAGTTGATGAGCACACACTCTGCATCAGGCTCTGTGCCTGTCCCTGTGGGACCCCACTGTTTCCTCATAGCAGCTTGAGGCATGAGGGCAAAGCCACCCCCAGTATACACAGCAGAAAGGGAAGGCTCCTGGGGCTTACGTCCTTCCTTCCACAAAGCAAACAAGCAGTGGCACAGAATTCCCAGCTACATTCTGTGACATTCAGCTTTGCTGTCCTTTTAAGTACTCTCTTAAGATTGTTTGCTATTACATGGATTTAGATTCAAAGAAGGGGGGGGCTGGAGAGATGGCTCAGAGGTTAAGAGTACTGGCTGTTCTTCCAAAGGTCCTGAGTTCAATTCCCAGCAATCACATGGTGGCTCACAACCATCTGTAATGAGAACAGGTGCCTTCTTTCAGCTTACAGGCAGAAAGAACACTGTATGCATAATTAATAAATAAAATTAAAAAAGAAAAGAAATAGAGCAAAGAAGGGAGAAATAATGTTACAGCACTCATACTTAGAGAGAAAAACGTAAGGACTATAAGTACACTGAAATAAAAATATATAATCAGTATAAGTCAAAATTAAGAAGTGGGATTCTAACAGTCCTATAGAGTGAATGGAAAGTTATCACCTTCCATAAGATCACTCCTGAACAAAGAGGATTTGGACCAATGTCCCAGCTATGAATTGGTTTTTCTGAGACAGGATCTCACTATAACTGAGAGCCTGAAACTAGCTATGTAGCTGCACTGGCCCTAATTCGTGATCCTATTGGGTCAGCCACCTCAGTGTGGGGTTCAGAAATGTGTGCCATCACATCTAGCTAGAAAAAAAACAACTTAGATTCAATTGTACATTGTGTAGGGGTTGTGTGTGGCGCGTGCGTGCGTGCGTGCGTGCGTGAGTGAGGCCAGAGGGCAATCTCAGGACTCATTCATTCCTCAGGGCCTGTTTACTTTTCCCCCTAAGATGGTGCCTCACTGGTCTGAGGCTCACCAAGTAGGCTAGGCTGGCTGGACTGCGAGCCCTAGGAATCTGCTTGTTCCTGCCTCTGCAGCACTGCAACTACAAGCATGCATAATCACGTTGTTTGTTTTTTTGAGAAAAGAGGAGTTTTCCTGTGTAGCCCTGGCTCTCTGTAGACCAGGGTGGTCTGAAACTCACAGAGATCCACCTGTCTCTGTCTCCTGAGTTCTGGGATTAAAGGTGTGTGCCACTACAACCCAGCTAGATTTTTTTAAAACATGGATTTTTGAGGGGGTTGGACATTTTAAAAAATCTGCTTTGTTTTGCATTCAGACCAGTTTGTGCCAAGAAGTCCTGAGGAAATAGTAGTGTTCACTGTACAGTATTTAACCTTACAGGTTTTACACCTGTCCCACTCCATACCTGTCTATACCCCACTTTGCAGTAAATCTGTGTACTATGTGCATAAAGATGCTAAGAAACACACTGCTTTCAGTGGCACCTACCATGCTTGCAGAAGAACTGGATGACGACTCTACATTTATCCGATCTGCTGACTATTTTGCACTTCTCTACACTTCTTTCAAGATAATTCAGACATCTAAAGATTGGCAGAATTGACTGCAACACAAATATGTTGTAAACATTAAATACATACTTAGTATGGCTGTCCCATTAACTTTTTAAAGCCCAACAGATGCAGTCTGTGTATTCATAAATGACATTGGAATGATTAAGTCTAGTACAGCTGTTATGTCTTACAAAATGAGTATTTCCCCCACATAAGAGAAAACCAATTGTTTTTACCTTTATTGCCAATTTGCAATTTAAATTCATGGGTATGCTATTATCGATCATGGTGGCTGAGGGTGACCATTGATAATGTTGAAAAAACAAAGATGAGAACAGGATATAGCCGTATGTTGAGTGACAAGAATTCACAGCTCTCAGGGCAAGCTGGAAAAAAATAAGTTATTTCAGAGAAAACTAACATCTTTTGTTTTTTTCAAGAAAGGGTTTCTCTGTGCCTTTGGAGGCTGACCTGGAATAGATCTTATAGACCAGGCTGGTCTTGAATTCGAAGAGATCCGCCTGCCTCTGCCTCCCAACTGCTGAGACTAAAGGTGTGCACCATCACCACCACTACCACCATCACCATTGGGGAGGCAGAGGCAAGCAGATCTCTGTGAGTTCGATGCCAGCCTGGTCTACAGAGTGAGTTCCAGAACAACCTCCAAACCCTGTCTCGAAAATACCAAAACAAAACAAAAAAACTAACTTCTATTCTGAATTAATTCTATTATGAAGCCACAAATATATCCAAATGAAACCAAGGGCATTGATTTTACACATGGATACCTACATATATGTATCTATATCGAACATATATTTACAGAAGCTATAATCCTAAACTCTGAAGCTGTAAAACTGTAAATGTCTATAGTGACCATAATGGTAATGCATGAAAGGTTGGAAAAGTGATAGAAGAGAGCCCTGAATGACTGACCATGTCATACTTTGTCCAAGGGGAGGAGCTAGCACTCAGTTCAGCCATCCTGGGAATTAGTGCCTACAACTGTCAGGTTCTGAATTTTTAAGTGCTTGGGATTATGCCCCCAACCTCTGCCCTTGGATTTGGCTCTTTTAAAAATCTCTTCCTTTACCATATGATCAATCACTTAACACTTTTAAGACAGGTTCACATAGTGCAAATTGGTTTCAGACTATGTGGCTGGCTGAGCTCTGCCTCCCTGGTGCTGGGATTATAGGCCTGTGCCATCATGCCTGGCTTTTTAACTGGACTTACTTACACCTTTCTCAGATGGGTCTAGCCACAGGTCATCACTCACTCGTGATAGAGTCTGTATTGCTTTCCCAAATACTACAGAGGAAAAGAAAGGTGCTGTTTATATTCTTTCTAGCAGTAAAAATAAACCACAGGACTACTTCCACATGCATAGGACTCAAAAACAAAACCTAGGAAAGACAGGAAGATCAACTGAACAACTTAATCACACCAGTCAAATTCTTCATTTGACTCTCCAGTTGAGCTCTTTGTTACTGCCCTGTGGAAATAGGGACAGATGGAAATATTGCAGAGAAGACAACTCAAACAAAGCAGTAGTTATCTAAAAATTGCTGGCAACCATTCTACCCAAACTTCAAGGACTATTCTGTACCACCCACTTCAGCCTGGCTCTATCATTCATTCTAAGCTTGATCTTGGGCAAAAGGCCAGAAAGTAACTGGTTCCCACCAATTTGATTTGTGGGCTTATATTGATTATAACAACATTCATCATTTTGGCCTGCAAAATGTTTAGGTTAGATCATACTGACGTCAGCTTTGCTGCTGTGTCAAGGCCTAGCAAGGTGCTTCACTGTGAGAGGAATTCACCACAAAGTGGTCAAACATATATGTTGCCAAGGAGCTGGGAAAAAGTGATTTGAAATCCCTCTTTCCTGAATATGTCTCGACAATTTCCCATTGATTACATTTGACTTTTAGGTTTAGGGTGGGACAAAGCTCAGGATACACAGTTACTCAGCTGATCCACACAGCATTCTATAGTCTAATTTACCATAAGGAATACTGTATATTCCCTTTATATACATAGTAAGAATTCAATAAATCTGCAATGATATAAAATCTAACAGAATTATTTCCCCTGCAAGCCAATTCCCCTGCTAAAGCTTTTATTCACTTTCTTTTTGGGTTCTCCCACCCTCTTCAGGGGGATGTAACCCATGGCCTTGTACATGCCTGGCGAGCTGGCTGTCCCCAGCCCTGTCATTCCCTTTCATAAGGCTGTGTACAATATAGTTCCCCACATCGTCCTAATTACTGAGCTCAATTCACATATTTATATTTCCTGTGTATAACAAACTCCATCAACGAAGGTGTTAATGTTAGTCTCATTTTCAAATAGGAAACTGAGCTTCAAGGTGACACAATAGCTTGTTCTAGACTTTACATTAAAAAAAAATCTCCAGGAGAATCTCAAAGATAGGCTTTCTCTGGGCTCAAAAATACTTTTGCTGGTCAAATGTTATTTTCTTCTCAACTTCTCCTCACATTAGCCCTCATCAAATCGAGCCCAATGCTACAATTCATTTCATGGTCACCAAATTACTAGGTACAACTAAAGAGAAGGGACTGTCAAGGCATTCGAAGCCCAGCAGGGCGCTCGTGAGGGGCGCTGTGGCCAGGCTTTGCGTCCTCAGTCCTGGCAAAGCACGGCAGCAGGAGCGAAAGAAGATCAAGGAGACACTTCACAGCGTCAGGCTCTCCCTTTCCGAAGTAGCAAAGCAAAACGGCCGCTCCACCTTTCACCTGACCGCCCGTCATCCCGCACTTCAGCATGGCTACCGGGAATCCAGGCATGGCGGGCGGAAGTGCGCCCCCCACAGGCACCCGGATGTTACCCGCACTCTCCGCGATCTCAGCCTCTACTTGCCCCACCTACTCTGACTTCCGCGCAGCACGGTTTCGCTTTCTGACGGCGAAAGACCCTTACGGGGCCCCGTAGGACAGTCTCTCCCAAACCCTGCGTCTTATTGGTGGCGGAAGAAGTGGGCGGGTCCACCAAGGAGTCCGAGGAAGAGGGCGGCGGCGTTCGTGGTGACTGAACCAAGCCCGGTGACAGGATGGTGAGCACCGCGGCGGCGGCGACCCGGGTCGGGCCAGGATGCCGCGGCGTCGGGGACGAGGAGGATCCGGGAGGCTGGGCGGGCGCGGGTGAGGCGTGAGCCTGGGAAGGCCGCGGAGGAGGGACGGGAGGATCGCGGCTGGCCGAGGGTGCGGCCCGGCCTGGCGTCGCCCCTCGCCCCAGCGGCCAGAGGGCGTGCGAGGTGGACCCGGCCTGGCCTCTCGTCCTGTCACGAGATCGACTCCCTGCGGCCGGGGGAGGCCTCGGGGCTTGCCGGGGACAGCCGGCCTCGGTGCCCAGAGAGAAGTAGCCGCTGCCCTGGCCGCTCCGGGCCAGGACCCGGAAAGGGACTGCTTGTCTCCCGTGACTGCTGCGACCCCTGAGAGCGAACTTGTGGGGATCGTTTGAAGTCTGAGAGCTTTAGCTTCCCTAGTCTTTATCAGGCCTTTGCCCCCACCCTCGCTAGATTGCCGCCCCTACGACCGTTTTTACTGTATGGAATCTGGGGAGCAGACGCGTCCCTGTAATCAGACTTTTTAAGGCACCCTTTGCTCTCCAAAGTTTGTAGAGGGTTTCTGGTGAGCTTTGCTGATGGTGCTGATGAAGGTTAAAGTGAAGGCACCTCTCTGATGTGCACGCGTTGCGTTTTTGCAGAGATAATTCTTGTTCAAACGGCCTTTGAAAAGGTGGTTTATAAGCGTTCCAAAGATGTGTGCTTAAATTCACCGGATTTTTGCTTCTACACAGACCACAGTTTAAAGTAGACTAGTTAATTTATGGTAACTTGGAGACACTTTCAGGGAAGAAGAAGTAGCTCCCATCATCCATGTTTCTGAAGTCGTTTCGAGAAGTGAACACTTTTGTATAAGGGTCGTTGCCCTGCTATCCATCACGTTTCTTTTAAAAATTATTTTTTTCAGTGTTTGTGTGTGTGTGTGTGTGTGCGCGCGCGTGTGCGCGCGCGCGTATCTGAATGATTTGTGTACATCACAAGAGTACAGGTACCACTGGAATCCAGAGGGCTTGGGTCCCTGGAACTGGAATTATAGGCAAATATGAGATGCCATGTGGGTAGTGGGAACCAAATCCGGGTCCTTTGCAAAATAAGCAAGTGCTTTTAACGACTGAGCCACCTCTTGACGCCTAAGTCAGGCTATTACGATGTGGCCCTAGCTGACCTGGAATTCAGAGATCTGCCTGCCTCTGTCTCCTGAGTGCTGGCCCCAAAGGAGTGTGCCACCACACCCAGCATGTGTTGGTTTTTAATTGTCTTAATCTTTCCTTGACATTTTCACCATTTAATTATGTACTCCTGTTAGTAATGTCATCTATAGCAAATAATAACTTCCCTTGGAGCATGGTTTTTCACTACTAGGACTTCAAACATTAAAAAAAAAAAAAAAAAAAGAAAAAAAAAAAAGAAAGAAAGAAAAGAAAAAGAAAAAGAAAACCAGTATACTCCAGAGATGGTAAGACCCCAGGAACCAGAAAAGGATAGCTTTAACCTTTTCCTGATGAATTCTTCAAATTATAAATATCTAATCTTACAAAGAGTAAACCGAATGAGAATGAAAGAAAGCAAGATGAGAAAATGTAGAATGACATTGGCAAGGCGAATTTGCTGTGTGGGGGTGTTTGTTCTGTGTCTAAAAGTAAAGTGAGTGGTTTTTGGAATTATTTTCAGCACAGCTGATTTTTAACATTTCCTTTCATAACATTCAGAAATCATTAACAAATTTTGCATATTTGATATGTTTTTTTCTTTTAACTTTTGTTGCTTTCTTTTAACATTGGTCATGTTTCACCCTTTTTGTTTTTGTTTTTTTTTGTTTTTTGTTTTTCATTCCCTTGTCTGCAATCAACTTCTTCATTCCACTAAGGCTGGGCACAGAGTAAGTTTCTTTTCTCTGCTCCTACTAACAATGGTGGTTGGGTGGCTCATAACTGATCTTTCAAGTAGGAAGTGACCCCATCCCCATGCTGCCTTTGGGTTGTTCATTTTATGAATGTAACAAGACTGTTTCCAGATTCTTTGCTGCTTCTCCTGTTTGTCTAACCTGATTTGTCATCATGAGTTTAGGCAGGGGCACTTGTGACCTGTGTCATGCATTTCTTATAACTTGGTCATGAGCAGAAAACCATAGAATTCTTGGTAGCTCCTGTGTGGCCACTTATCCACTGACAGTTCTCACATACTAATAGTCAAGGATATTGATGGCACCTCATAGAATTGGTGTCCTCAGTCTTGATACAGTACTAAGTCTCACTAATGTTCTTCCTGATACATTATGACTGAACAGTTCATTTTTAGTCCCAGCGATTTTCAGCCTATTTTAGACATACCACCCTCTCAGGAGTTGAGAATTCTTTCTTTTAATATAGAAAATGTTTTTCAGCATCCCACAGTAGCTCTCTTCATCAATCCAAATCTGAAGGGATCCCCTCTAAAATGAAGATTGTTCTGTGTCAAGGTACTTGTCTACTAATTAAGGTGGATATTTTGTAGTGGATTTAGCTTTCACAGGTTTCCCCCAAAGTGCTCATTTTGTGACCACCCATTCTTCAGCTACTCTGTGTCCTGATAACAGTTTCTTTTCTTTACAATCATTTTTGTTGCCAGATGAATCTAGCTTGTTCTAATAATCATTTCACACATTTTCGTTTTTGATTGGTTTTCAATTTTAATTAATTTTTTAAAAAAAATTTAGTTATTTTATGTGGATGTGTTTTGTCTGCATGTCTGTCTGTTCACCACCTGTGTGCCTGGTACTGCCAGAAGAGGTGTCAGATCCCTTGGAACTGGAGTTACAGACAGTTAAGAGCCACCATGTGCTGGAAATCAAACCTGGGTCCTCTGGAAGGGCAGTTAGTGCTCTTAAGCACTGAACCATTCTCCAGCTGACAAATTAACTATTTTAAATTAATTTTAACATTATGGTGGCAAAAGTATTTGTTTTATCATGTTAAACATGTAATGCTGTCTTTGATACTGTTCAGTGATAGCCATGTCTTGAAAAGCAGAGTGTATGCATTGATGAATGGAACTGTACAAGAAAAATCCTGTAAGGTGTGCTTATACTAATCAACATGGAAAAATCTCTCTTTTGTTCTCAAAGGGGCATGTGTTATCTTTAAATGAACTTTTAAACAATATTCCTACAGTTTATTTTGTTCAATCTTGAAATTTTTTTAAATTTAAAATTTCATAGGACTGTTCCCCCCCCCCCCACACACACACACACCTTTTTTGGACAGGATTTCACTGTGTAGCTTTAGCTGGTCTGGAACTTGCTGGCCTATGTAGACCAGGCTGCCCTGAATTTACAGTGATCTGCCTGCTTCTTCCTCCTTGGTGCTGGGATTAAAGGAGTGCCCCATCATCCCTGTTTTAGGGTTGGCTTTGGCTTTTTAATTCTTTGGTATTTAAGAGCAGATTTTATTTTTGTCATCTGAAACTTTTTTTATTTTTAGATTTACTTATTATGTATACAGTGTTCTGTCTGCACACCAGAAGAGGGCACCGGATCTTATTATAGATGGTTGTGAGCCACCATGTGGTTGCTGGGAATTGAACTCAGGACCTCTGGGAGAGCAACCTCTGAGCTATCTCTCCAGTCCATCTGAGACTTTTTGTGGCAACACTAAACTACCCCATGCTAAACTCCTCACTCAAATTATCTGGCTTTTTGTTTTACTTCTCTAATGCACATAAATCGTTGTGAAAGTGTTATTTTTTTAAGTTTACAAACTATACTAAGGGGGCGGAAGAAGTATTTTTATCCAGATAATGTAAATATGACAGTGGTGGTTTCGAGTGAAAATAGCAAAACTTATAAATAAGGAGCTCATGTGTGCACAGGTTCATCTATTGAGACTAAAACATAGGCCTTTGTTCCCTGCAACATACTGCTAAGAATTTTAAGTAACAATATCAGTTAGTTTGGACTAATGTTCTCCAAAGAGTTCTTAGCATGCATTATAAAATTAACTTTTCCCCTATTAATTTATTTTTATATTTAGGTACGTGTGTGTGTGTGTGTGTGTGTGTGTGTGAGTGAGATAGTTTCATTCTGCCACATTGCCAGGCCTAGAACTGGAACTTGCTTGCTGTGTAGCCCAGGTTGGCTTGGAACTAGCAATCCTCCTATCTCAGTCCCTTGAATGGATTTACAAACACAAACCACTGTACCCTATATATTCTCTCTCTGTCTCTCCCTCTGTCTCTTGCTCTCACTCTCCATCTCTCTCTCTCTCCTGTCTCTTCCCCTTCCCTCCCTCCTCTCCTCCCCTTCTCACTCCCTCCTTTCCTCTTTCTCCTTTTTGAGGGAAGGTCTCATTGTATCACTTTGTGTAGACCAGGTTGTCCTCAAACTGCCTCTGCCTCCTGATTGTTAGGATTAAAGACATGTGCTACCACTGCTCAGCCATAGTCAATGACACAAACAAACAACAACAACAAAACCTTTTGTCTTCATGTCACATAGCTAATCACACTAGCCAGTGCAGTACCTGTAAAGCTCAGATGAGGGCATCAGATCCACTAGAACTGGAATTCTGAGCTGCCTTGTGGGTGCTGGGAATTGAATCTGGGACCTCAGCAAAAGCAACCAGTGTTCTTTAGCATCTAAGGCATCTCTCTGGCCATGTCATTTCATGTCTGATAATTTGCATTGACATTGTTTTTATTAGTGTTTCAGGAAGGATCACTGTGTCATCAAATGCTATAGATTATAGCAGTTTGTTGTTCAGTTTGCAGTTTTCATTCTACTTAGTGTCATTTATGGGTTTCTAAATCAGTCTATTTTACTTTTTCTGAGACAGTATCTCTGTGTGGCTGTGGCTGACTTAGAACTCACTATGTAGATTAGGCAGGCCTTGAACTTGCAGTGGTCTCTTGCCTCTGTTCACCTATTCCTGGGATTTCAGGTGTGTGCTCTTACACCTGGCTACTGAATTGTTTTAGAAAACTTGATTTATTCTATTTTTTATTCAAGATAAGATTAGTGTAGAATGTGTTTGTTGACCCAAGATAGGAACTATGTTAGTAACTTCTGCTCTGCTCTGTTGGGTTCTTGGAATGTCTGAGAGTTTAAAGGGGTAATCATGGGAGAATCATGTTGTTTGCCATCATGTCTAATGCAGTGTTTGTTTCACTTTGACACCTGAAGTTGGTGTTGGTGTTAGGAGATCTGCACATTCCACACCGGTGCAACAGCCTGCCGGCTAAATTCAAAAAACTCCTGGTGCCAGGAAAAATCCAGCACATTCTCTGCACTGGAAATCTTTGCACCAAGGAGAGTTATGACTATCTCAAGACTCTGGCTGGCGACGTCCACATCGTAAGAGGAGACTTCGATGAGGTGCTGTTTTTCTTTCTCTCTCGTCTGTGTCCCATTTTTGCTGCTTTGCATAAACTTTATCCTTTAGATGAATTTTTCCACCGTTGTCTCCCCCTAACCCCCAAAGTTACCCTCAGGCCTAGATAAGTTTGGTGGTAGAACACTTATCTAAGCATATACAATGCCTGGGTTCAATCTTCAACATCACTATTATTTGTCACCAAAGTATAAAATTACAAGTGAAGTGTCCATTAGTTTATAGCCAGTATGGATTTAGGCATTCTCAGATTTAGGGACACTTGTACATATGTAATATGATATTAGGTATAAGAGCCAGGTCTAAACAGCAAATTTATTTTTGCTTCATTCCTACATACCTTTTATGCATAGCCTGAAGATACAAAATGAATTCCTGGCCAACTGGGTATATAAAACAAGACCTGTTTGGAGGTGGAATAAAATTAAGAGTTCTTATGCCAGGTGGCAGTGGTGCATGGCTTTAATCCCATCACTTGGGAGGCAGAGGCAGAAGGATCTCTGTGAGTCCAGGCCAGCCTGGTCTGCAGAGTAAGTTCCAGGACATTGAGGGCCACACAGTGAAATCCTGTCTCAACAAAACAAAAATAAAAGAGTTCTTAAATTTCTGCTTTGCCCATTAGTTATTAGATAATGTGATTCTTGAAAGTTACTTTTCTTCTGACCCTCAATAAATATGTTGGAATTGAATAATTCACAATAAACATGATTCTAAAATGAAGAAATTATTTGTGCTCCTAGGAATCTTAAGCTTCTCAAATGTTATTTAACTTGGTTGGTGCTTTCAAAGGGTTTAGAGCCATTCTGGGTAAAGATGCTTGCCACCAAGCTTTATGACACCTGGTTTGATCCCCAGGAACTCACATGGTTGAAGGAAAGAACTAACTCCAAGTTGTCTTTTGTCCACATATGTACAGACACACATACACACAAAATAAAAATTAAAACACAGAGTTCCTTTATATCAAACAGGATGAGCATACAGTATTCATATTTAGCAGACTTAAAAAAGATTTAGGGTAAGCTGTAAAGGTGGCATGGTGATAAAACACTAGGGAGATAGGAAAGAGCAGCCTACTTGTTAGTTAGAATATAGGTCCAGTGTATTTAGAAATACATTAAGGCTTCTCTATTTGTGTTAAAGACAGTTTAATTCATTTCTTAAATACACAAGCTCTAGAGTCATGTAACCAGGGTTTGGATCTCACCTCAACCACTTATTGGCGTGTAATCTTGGGCAAGCTATTTCAGCTTTGCGCCTTCATTTCCTCATCCATAAAGCCTGGGATGTAATTTAAATAAATCCCAGCCTATAGGTCATGTGCCTTAAGTTATGAAAATCACAAGTCTAGGGGATAATTACTCTTTCTAAATTTTATATTGCAACGTTTGTGTGTGCATGCATGCATCAGTATGTTGTAGTGCTTGTGTGAAGGTCAAAGGACAACAGCTTATGAAGTCATTTCCCTCTTTCCACTGTGTGGGATCCAGAGATTGACTTCAGGATTGGGGGCAAACACCTTTACCTGCTGAGCCACCTCACCAGCCCAGGAATAATTATTCTTTATAGCTCGCCCTAGAGAACCCACATTCTACAGAAATTAACTCAATAAAGGGTTGCTTGGCCCCTTCTAGTTTACATTGGCTGAATTGGGTTTTAAAAACCATTGCAGTGTTACAGACTGAGAAGAAACATTTTATAAATGTATTTGTTGTAGGGTGCTATCTAAAGATACCTATATGAAATTGAATATTTAAACAAATTGATATGTTTCTTTCTATTTGAAATGTGTATTTTCTTTATGTCTCTTTTTTATATTAGAATCTGAATTATCCAGAACAGAAGGTTGTGACTGTGGGGCAGTTCAAGATTGGTCTGATCCATGGACATCAAGTTATTCCATGGGGAGACATGGCTAGCTTAGCCCTGCTGCAGAGGCAGTTTGATGTGGACATTCTTATCTCAGGACACACACACAAATTTGAAGCATTTGAGCATGAAAATAAATTCTACATTAACCCAGGTTCTGCCACTGGGGCGTATAATGCCTTGGAAACGTAAGTAATTGCATGTGTGACATTTTATAAAGAGAAATACAACATTTAATAAGAGTCTGTGTGGTGGTGCACACCTTTAATCCCAGCACTCTGGAGGCAAAGGCAGGCAGATCTCTGTGAGTTCAAGTTCAGCCTGATGTATATAGTGAAACCCTGTCTCAAATAACACACAATAAAACAGGTAAATCTTTATGTCAGCAAGCTCTATTATTCTTTTCGTTCTTTTTTGAGACAGGGTTTCTCTGTCTAATATAGCCTTGTCTGCCCTGGAACTCACTTTATGTAGACTGTGCTGGATTCAAGCATCCAGAGATCTACGTGCCTCTGCCTCTGCCTCTCGAGTGCGCCACCACCACACAGCTACTGTTGTTCTTTTCAACATGCAGGTAACAGTCGTGTTTCTCTTGAGTTCAATACCTTGAATTGGAATTTATAGTGTTCAAAACACTAACACTTTATTTCTCTTTCAGAAATATCATTCCGTCATTTGTGCTGATGGATATCCAGGCTTCTACAGTGGTCACTTACGTCTATCAGCTTATTGGAGATGACGTCAAAGTAGAACGAATTGAGTATAAAAAATCTTAAAGCTAGGCTTGTCTTGATCATTTTTTTTTTCCATTTCCTTGTTCAGATCGATTAATTAAACACTTAAGAGGCACACAGTTGTATCACTTTTATAATATTTTGCACTAAAATGTCTTCTCTGTTTAATACATAGTTGCTCTAAGCTTCTTGTAAACTATAAGAATATACTTAGTTTGCAGTACACTGTTTCTATGAAAGGAAGTCCATCATACAGTACAGGGCCATGTTAGAAAAACTGATCCTTGGGGCTGGAGAAATGGCTCAGCCATTAAAGGCTAGGCTCACAACCAAAAACATAAGAAAATTGATCCTTGTAAATATCTTCCTAGTGAGTATTTGGACTTCATTACAAAATTAGTGCATGAAGAGAAAGAATCCAGAATTTGTATGTATGTTTTTTCTTCTCTGGTAATAAATGCTTACCTTCCATTTAGACTTTCTTGAAAACCTGTGATTAATTTTAAAACCACAGACTTGAAATCCCAGCACTTAAGAGACAGAGGCAGGTAGATCTCTTAAGAGTTGTATGGCGTGCCTGGCAGTGCACACACTTTTAATTCCTGCATTCAGAGGCCAGCCTGGTCTACAGAGCTAGTTCCAGGACAGCTAGGGCTGTTACACAAAGAAACCCTGTCTCAAAAAAACACAACACTCCCCCTCTCCAAAATCAGAGGGCTGGAGAGATGAGATGACTCAGTGGTTAAGAGCACTAGTGCTCTTCCAGAGGACCTGGGTTCAATTCCCGGTACCCACATGGTGGCTTACCACTGTCTGACACTGCAGGAGTTACACCTTCACACAGATACACCTGCAGGCAAAACACCGATGCACATAAAATAAATTTTTAACAATTCAGGTTTATGTGGCAAGTAAAATTTTAATTGTTCCTAGCTAGATACAAGCATACATTACACATGTATCATTGGTACACAGAAGCGTATTGGATAAAGGAGGCTATTGTAAATGTCTCAACAACCCAAATGATATACTGGTGACTAGCACTATCCATACATGGCTCACAACTTTCCTGTGCACCTCTGGCTCAGCATGTGGCTGTTAGCTGATAACTGAGGTTGGTATGGAGACTGTCATGTTGACCTGAGATGTGCGCGGCTCTTGAATGGACATGGACTGCATGCACTCGTTCAGTAGCTCCTCCTCCTTTGTTTCTTCATTCATGCAAGGTTGAGAATCATCTAAAGAAACTGAAGAGAACACAAGCCTTTGTAGCATGTATTGGAAGTAACTTTTTTAAAATTATATTTGTATGGGTATTTTGCCTGCATGTACACCTGTGTGTGTGTGTGTGTGTGTGTGTGTGTGTTCCCACAGAGGGCAGAAGAGGGCAAGAGATCTTGAACTGGAGTGGCAGATGCTGGGAATTGCAGGTCCTCTGGAAGAGCTACCAATGCTCTTAACCATTGAGCCTTCTCTCCAGCCTTATTTACTTATTTTTTTGAGACAGGGTCTTTGTACCTCTGGCTAACCTGTAAACTTGATATGTCAGACCAAACTGGCATCTAACTCCTAAAGATCCACTTGCTTTTGCACAACAAGTGCTGGGATTAAAGGTGTGTGCCAACACACATAGCTGGAAATAAAACTCTAAGCATTACCTTCAAAATGACCTGGCTTATTAAGCTTTTAGCAAAGACAAATTCCCTACTGTTTTCAACTAGGTTACCCTCCTACTTGCCCTTGCTTCTTACTGTAGACACAACATTATATTGTAGCAGCTACTATATAACATACTTAGTAAACACTGTATTCCCATTGTTTTTGTTTTGTTTTGTTTTTTAAGACAGGGTTTCTCTGTAGCTTTGAATTGGAGCCTTGCCTGGAACTCAATCTAGACCAGGGCTAGTCTCAAACTCAGAGATCTGCCTGCCTCTGCCTCCCGAGTGTTGCTATCAAAGGCATGTGCCACCACCGCCTGGCCCCATTGGTTTTTAAAAGTCTTCTGGTTGTGAATTAGGAGTTGAAGTAGTCAGTTATGTCTTCAGTTTTTCCATATTCCTTTAGTTCCTTCTCATGGCTTGAGGACCTCGGCAATGTTTTTTCTCCCTAGCCTTTTAGAACAGAGTTAGCCTCCCTGCCCTTTCCCTTATGTCTTGGGATAGGGCTTTGCACATGCTAAGCAGGCATCTAAAAAAATACTTTGGGTGTAATGGCACATGCTTAATCCCAGCACTTGAGAGGCAGAGCTAGAAAGATCACAAATTCAGGGTTAGTGTCTGTGCTAGAGAGAGAGAGAGAGAAGGGAGAGAGAGAGAGAGAGCGCCTATGGAAAACCAACAATAACCCTGACAAACCCTGAAGGTCTGAGGGCATAGGTCTGTGTGAAGAGCATATACCTGTCACAGAAAAAAAAGAACAACCTGAATCTCATTTGAGTAGTGCATTCTCCTTTTCCCTGGTTTTTCAAGGCAGGGTTTCTCTGTGTAGCTCTGGCTGTCCTGGAACTTGCTCTGTAGACCAGGCTGGCCTGGAACTCAAGAGATCCGCCTGCCTCTGCCTCCTGAGTGCTGGGATTAAAGGCACAAAACAACACTGCCCAGAAAATAGTGAATTCTTTTAAATACAAGCGTAAACCATTTCATGTTTGTTTTGGTTTCTGAGATAGGGTGTTACTGTGTAGCTCTGACAAATTTATGTAGACCAGGCTGCCCTGAAATTCAGAGATTTCCTGCTTTGGTGCTGGGACTTATATCATGTGCCACTATGGTTTGTTTTTACTTGAAATAACAGAGCTCATCACACTTAAAATTTTTAATCAAGATAAAATTAAAATGATTGTATCTAGTATGTTTTAAAGTGTTCAGAAGTGCAAGGCAGGCATGGTAACCCTGCCCACCTGTAGTTCTAGTGCTTGGGAAGTGGAGGCAGAAGGATCAGGGTTCTAGGTCCACCTGGCCTACATGAGACCTTGTTTCAAAAACAAAAATCCTTTAACTGCATGTTTATGTGTGGACCTGCTTAATCACATATTTACCTGGTAGCAGGAGCAGTCTGCCTTGTCTTCTAAACGTCTTCAGTGACTTACATCTTGTTTTGGATGCATATCCAATTTTTAACCTGTGACAAAGGGAAATATTCAGTTGGAGGCAGCTAAGTGAACACTGCTGTGGATCTCAAAATAGGAGGTTCTTTTTACTAGCTTCTGCATTGCCAAAGGCCTGTCATTCCCCAGTCTCCTGTGACTTATTAACCCTAAATGCAGCACTGTTATCACAGTGTGGATACGGAAGCTTCTGTTGTGTTGTAAGCTGTGGATTTGTTTTTTGAGACCCAGTCTCAAATAGCCCAGGCTTGCCTCAAATTCATTCAGATGCCCTTACACTCCTGATCCTTCCAAGTACCAAGAGTGCAGACTTTTGCGACCACACCTGCTGACAGCAGCTGCTGTCCTTCCTCGTGGCGTGAAGGCCTCCCATGTGCTGCTTCTGGAGGCCTTGCATCATTTGGAAACTGAGTGAGAAGAGTAGTCTGACTCTAGCTGATCTGGAATTTTTTTTACTTAATGTTTACGGTGTGTTTGAATGTGGGTGTGTGTGCTGTGGTACATGTGTGGAGGTCAGAGGGCACCTTCTAGGACCGTTTCCTCCCCTAGCATGGTTTCTAGGGATCAAACACAGGTTGTTGGGCTTGCATAGCAAATGCTTTTACCTGCTGAACCATCTTGTCCTGATCAAAAATGTTTGCAAATCCACAAATTATATTGTGAAAAAGACTGATAGAGCTAGGTGTGGTACTACCTGTACTTCTAGCATATGGGAAGCTGAAGCAAGGGGATTCCATGAGTTTAAGGCATACCTTGGCTGTATGCCAGGTCACCGGAACTCAAACTCTCTGAAGGGTCATATCCCACACATCTCAATGAAGAGGAAGTGGGCTCCCTCACCGGAGTTTAGCAGAGTGAACATACAGGAAATGGGAGCTTTAATCTCACTCAAGAGGATCCCCTTCAGACAGAGCTGGTTACATTTTTTTCCTTCTTAAACTCAAGAAACAGACCCTTCCTTGTGCCTCAGTGGTCGCCACAGGGAATGGATGATCATTTCAGGTGTTGCAGCCGAAACACTCAAAGATTCCTCTCTCTCCAGATGGTGCCGCCATGTAGTGCAGGGGGAATGCTGTTTCTGTGAGTACCGAGAGCTGATATGGCTCCTGTGATGAGTGAGGGTACCTGGCACACAAATCACCTGTTAGGAGCCCCTCTCACTTCTCATAAGAACAAACAAGAAACCAAGCAGGGGTTCACCTGCCTGGCTTTTGTGAGCCTTGATGAAGCACATGCATGTATTGCCTCTTCATTAAGGTCCTCAGGTAGCCGGAGTCACAGATCTTAGCAATGCTGTACAGGTAGCGCTTCTGACCGGAGGTGAGTTCTGGATGCTGAAAGACAGAATGGGGGTCTACTGACTGCTGCTAGAGTGTAGAGGGACAAGATGGTGCCTGAAAGCAGCTCAGTTTACTTGTTCCCAGCTAAAGACACATTCTTTTTCAGAAGCAGAAGAGAATCTGCTGCCTCTGTGGGACACACTGTAAGTTAGTTTCCAACCTAAGTTTTAAAAATTACCTGTCTCTGGGTGAGTACGTGCACATGCACAGGGGACCACAGAATGCAGAAAAGGGTGACCAGCCCCCTAGAGCTGAAGTTAGAGGTGGTGGTTGTGAGTCTGGATGTGGGTGCTAGGAACTGAACTCTGGTCCTCTGTAAGAGCAACATGACTTCTTAACCACTCAGCCATCTCCTCAGATCCTTTTTTTTTTTTTTTTTTTTTTTTTTTGAAACGGTTTCATACATCCCAGGCTAGCCCTGACCTTGATATGTAATGAGAATGACCCTCAATTTCTGATTCTCATGCCTCCATCTCCTGAAGACTTGGATGACAGGGTCCCATACCAAATACCAAGGTTTTTTTTTTTTTTTTTCAAGTCTAATTTTGACTAAGTGTACTTGCTTTTTTAAAAGAGTTACATCCTTAAGATATGTGACTCAACCAAGTGGTGGCGGCACGTGCCTTTAATCCCAGCATTCAGGAGGCAGAGGCAGGAGGATCTCTGAATTTAAAAAGAGTTCTGGGACTGCCAACGCTACACAGAGAAGCCCTGTCTCCCCCACCCCCAATACAGGACTCAACTATTTACATTATTAAATAAGTCATTAATCCTTAATCCAAAGAAGAGTAGGAATGTTGGCCAGAGGAATTTACTAGTCTACAAAAAGTTTTCCTAGCTTAAATTTACACAATCTACATTACTCTAGAAATAAGACTCAAAGCAGCTGTGTGAAATTTTGTTGGTTGGTAGTTGAGACAAGATCTCCTGTAGCCAAAGGCTGACCCCAATTCCCAATCTTCCTGACTGTACCTCCCAAGTGCTAGAATTACAGCCAAGAGCCACCACACCCCTAAGAGTCCATTTGCTTGTTACCCTCACTTGTCTCAAACTCCTGAATTCAAGCCATCCTCCAGTCTCAACCTCCCCAGTAGCTGGAAATACAGGCACATGCCACCATACTTAGCGCTCAAGGTGTGATCCTTAATTAAGAATAAAAATCAATAGTTGTAAAATCCTTACTGCCGTTTTCTTTACCTGCTTGCTTCTAATTTTGTAATCTTTGAGTGATCTCTCTGAGTTTGGGTTTTTATCCCTGGAGCGTCTTGTGATTGGCTCTAAAGTACCATATGCCTGGAAAGAACTCTTGTGATGGGGAATCTATAATCCTTGTAGTTATACATGAGTCTATTCAGCATATTCACTGGCTGACTATTTTGGGGATGAGTGGGTTTTGTTTTTATCTTATTTGTTGTTGAAACAAGGTTTTATACTATGTAGCCCTAGCTGGCTTCAGACTTTCTATGCAGACCAGGCTGGCTTCAAATCAGACAACTCTACCCTCCTCTGCTTTCGTAGTGCTGGGATAACTTATCCCTATGCTACCATGCCCATTCTTTTTAGGACAAATTTTTGTCTGTTTGTTTTGTTTTTCAAGATTGGGTTTCTCTGTGTAACAGCCCTAGCTGTAATGGAACTATCTCTGTAGACCAAGCTGGCCTTGAACTGGCAGAGATTTGCCTACCTCAGCCTTCTGACTGCTGGGATTAAAGGTGTGCGCCACCAATGCCTGGCAATTTTTTTTTTTTTTAAGTTTCAGGGAAAATACAATAGCCCAGGTAAGCTAAAAATCCTGGCGGCTGCCAGGAGAGAGATGGAGAGAAACTCATTTCTTTCAAGTTCGGTATGGAGGGCAGAGAAGTAAGGAGAAAGCCTAGAGTGCCAGGGAAAGCATGCTTAGGCTTTGGCCAGTATCCAAAAGCAAGGGCAACAAGGAAAATGGAGGCACACAGGCTCCACGGGGTTATATGACCATTGCCCTGCAGAAGGCTGCCTTCAGACTCCTTGATAGTATACTAGATACACCATGTAGTCTGCTGGGCCTTAAATTCTGTCTAAGAAGTTTAGCTTCGATCAAGTCTGGATCTGTAGCTTGGTAGCAGATTACTTTCTTAGTATACATGAGGCCCTGGGTTTAACAGCATCTCTCAGGAACATTTCAGAGGCTGGCAACATGGCTCAGCGGGGAAAAGTGCATGCTGCCAAGCCCGACAGCCCGAGTCCTGCTCCCCAGGTGAAAGGAGAGTACTGGTTCCCACAAGTCTTCTTCTGACCGTCACACAGACAACTATAGTAATTTTATTTTAAATTCTGGTCTTACCTTTAGAAAAGGCGCATCTGTCATTGACTTAGGGATATGAATTGTTTGAACTTGAGTAATTTTCCATAACTCCTGCAGCTTGGCAAAGTGTGAGTACACTCTGTGTCCCTCTGTGATTTTATCTGTAGGCAAAGACATGTGACTTTCTGAGGCAAAGATCATTAATAATATATATTTATGACTACTTATGATTATCCTGAAACAGTTGTAGGAATATTTAAAATAAGATAGTTAGAATTTGAGGGAATGTATAATATGCCCTTTATTTTTAGCGCACACAATTATCTAGAATTGACATGTCTCCAAAGATATCAATACATAGCCAATAAACACATTAAAAGATGCTCAGAAGCCTTACAGTGGTGGCCCACATCTTTAACCCCAGCACTCAGGAGGCAGAGACAGGCAGATCTCTGAGTTCTAGGCCAGCCTGGTCTACAGAGTGAGTTCTAGGACAGCCAGATCTATATGGAAAAAGTCTGTCTCAAACAAACAAAATACTCAGAATCACTCAGCAGTTTAATGCAAACAAAAGTGAAATGCACCACCCTGAGTTCAATCCCTGGAATGTAAAATGGAATGAGGGAACTGACTCCAGAGTTGTTCTCTGCCATCCCTACACATACCCTGTAACAAGGCCAGTAACCTACCTCCCCTTCCCCTACAACATTAGTAGGAGGTCTTCAGGTGCTGATGTTTAACATCATCACAAAGTGTTCTCTGTGGAAGAGTCTGGTTTTTGAAGCTGTTCATGTAGGATTTTCCCCTTCAGTCCATGTGTACACAACGGATATGCCCTGTGCTTTCCAACAGTGCTGATTCTGAACATGGTTCTTGTAGAATTCATTGGTACTTAAATTATAGATTAACAAAACAGAAAAAACTGATCTTTGAAACTCTTAAAAAGAGTTTCAAGTTTACTGGAGATATTTTTTAGGGCTACAGCTTAGTAGCTGTCTAGCATGAACAGAGCCCCATGTTCAGTCTGGTAACATCTGTTTTACATTTGTGTATGTGTGAGGCAGGGAGAGAGGGGGAAGGGTGATGAAGTCAGAACAGCCCAAGAGAATCGGAACCTAGCGGGTTCTGGGGGAACTGAACACAGGTGGTCCAACTTGCCAGCCCTTTGAGCCTATTGTTAAAATTCCGTTGTGTAATTAGTGACAGACAGGCTGGCTTCTCTCAAGTCTGTAATCTATATGCATTACCTGCTTTATGATGTTCACCTGTACCTTTGGAATTCTCGTGATAAAAATGTCCAGCTGACCTGTTAGAAAAGAACACAAGGAATAGGTAATCTGGCAGCTTGGTGGCCAGTGAAGACTGGATGTCCAATGACAGGCACCTTACATACTCTTCACTTTCTCTGTTTTCACCGCTGAAAACGTTTGCTCCCCTATTTGGCAACAAGAAGAATGAATATAAGCTTTCTCTCAGCAAGCTGTCAGATTTCACCACACTAAGATGAGAGTGAGTTTCTAGGGGATAGAACCCAGGATTCACACAAGCTAAGCGAGTGCTCTACCACTGAGCCATATCCCCAGTCCCATTCGTACTTTGCTAGAAATGATTTAAAGTTGGCCTCATTTTCATAGCTCCCTAATCAACTTCTAATGTCAACACCAAATGAGTCCTTTGGCTCCTTGTACTATTCACAGGATGTCTTTCTTGTCCTTTAATAATTTCAGTACTGAAAAGAGTGATTATTCTGGCTGGAACTAGTAAGTTTAACCAGTTATGTTTCCAATCTTGTATCAGTTCTTTTTCCTTTTCTCAAAAAGTCAATTGCTTCCTGCGGTTTCTCAGTAATGAGTTCATTCAACCAGCGCACCTCCAAGCATTGTCAAGAACAGGAAAGAACCTGACATCACATCTTTAAGAAGTCTTAGCACCAAATATGTAGTACAATAAAATTACTGTGTGTGTGTGTGTGTGTGTGTATAAAACATAAGTATGCATTTCCTTACCATCGATTTAGCAAGAGCCATGGTTGTGGACCTTACTGGATCCCCCCAATCGTTTTTGCTGTCTTGATTTAAAAGAAGGAAGCAAGGGGTGCCACAGGGATTCATGGCCTCTAGCCGTGGATGACATCAAGTCTACTGTCCTCACCATCCAGGAAATAAAACCCGCCCAGGTTAGGAGCGATAGTTCACACCAGACAACTTAGCTCTCCGAAGTGGTACAGGAGGACAGAGTAGTTCAAGGTCAGCCTGAGCTACGTGAGAGTGTCTCAAGAAACCTACCCAACCTATCCATCCGCCAAGCAGGTCATGATCAACTAACTGCCTTCGTGGCCCATAGCCCCATCCAATAAAGAGGCGGCCAATGTCGCAGGGACTGGCTTAGTGCCGGGTTGTGGGATTGGGGTGGGGGACTGAGTCCTCGGCTCCCTGCTATGTTCGCTGAAATCGCGAGCGGATGACAGTCCTGCTGTCCTGCTCCGAGGCCACCTCGCAAGCCCTTCCCCTCGGTAGTCGAGTCCCGGCCTCACTGGGGCCCCTTCCTCTCTCTCTGTCTCTCTGTCTCTGTCTCTCTCTCTCGTGCCTTTTCAGCAGGGGTTCCTGGGCCTCACCCGTTGCCACCTTCGATCCTGGCCAACGCAGGCAGCTCTGCGACTCCGGGACAACGGCTCGGCATCCCGTCTGCACGCGCGCACCACGCCCGCTGTGAGGCCGCGGCCTCCGGCTCCACCCTCCGACCCTTCCCGAGCGGCTTCGGGACAGTGCCCAAGGCGACCCGAGACCCTGGAGCTAGACCCGGGGAGGAGGAGGCCTCAGGTGACCAGGCTTCTACGCCCTGGCATCTCTCGGTGACCGGGACGCGTCAGGGCAAGGCCACACACACACACACACACACACACACACACACACACACACACACACACACACTGACACGTACACGCGCGCGCGCTCCCTTAAATCAAAATGTCTCTTCCACCTTAGTATTCCAGACCCTCAGTGGGTCCAAGTCTTAGGTTGTCACTCTATGAGTCAAACCCAAGAACCAGTGCATCGGCCTTAAGGATCTGAACGTTATTGCGATTCGCTGTCACCTAGGCAACCAGCTTCGCCTGTGGACCAACGGACACCGGCCCGCAGCTCTCACTGCGCATGCGTGAAACCGTGTCTCCGCCTTCTCATATTCCTCAGGACGCGTTTCTCAGAAATTTTGGTCCTTGGGACGCTCCGTAGTCAGACCTGTAAATACCGGTGACGAAGCAGTGATCTGGGTTGCGGTTGGCTGGTACTCGTGTCCCCGGAACTCAGGGGGCCTCGCGCGAAGGCTGAAGGGAGTGTGGCCGGCCGCAGTGAGAACCCGAAGAGCCGGCATGCCTCGGTATGCGCAGCTAGTAATGGGCCCCGCGGGCAGCGGGAAGGTGAGGCTCGAGGAGCTGCGCTTCGTGGGCGCTGGGGCTCCGGGGAACCCTGGGTAATTCGCTTCCGCTCTCTGCTTGTTTCTTGTTTTTGTTGGCTGAGTAAAGCCAGCTTTAATAGTTACTTGTGGGGTGGGCAGGAGACGATGGCTGAGCACTTGAGAGCTTGTTCTGCTCTTACAGAATTCGAGTTCGGGTCCCAGCACCCACACAGAGCTGTCACTCCAGCCCCAGGCCTCCACGAACAGTGCACTCATGTGCACGTATCCACACAACACACACACTCTTCTTTTTCTTTCTTTTTTTTTCTTTACTTCTTTTCTTTTCTTTTTTTTTTTTTTTTCGAGACAGGATTTCTCTGTGCAGCTTCGGCTGTCTTGAAACTCGCTCTGTAGACCAGACTGGCCTCGAACTCAGAAAGATCCGCCTGCCTCCGCCTCTGCTAGGATTAAAGGCGTGCTCCACTACCGCCCGGCACAACACACAGTTTTTAAATAATAATAGTTAATAGGATACTTTTGCGCCAGGAACCCCAAGTGTTTTCATAACCACTCTGTGAGCTTGGGCCTATACTCATTCTACACATTAAAGAAAACGAGACAAAGAAAGGATACCTTTTTCAAAGTCCTACGGTTAGTTCTGGCTAGAATCTTGAGTCCATTTTTGACTAATTTCAGTTACAGGCCTTCTGTCTCCCAGAATAGGACTTTGTTCTTCACTGTTCCTGAGAAGTTTGAGTCTTGGGTTCCATCTCAGCTTGGGGAGGGGAAACTGTTGGGGGAAAGTTGGGCTGTGGACTTGTGATACACTTGTGTGCACTGCCCAGAGGGGCCAGAAGAGGATGTTGCCTGCAGAAAACTCAGGTCTTTTGCAACAGCAGTAATAAGTAAATAATAAATTAAATTGAATAATTACTTTTGGAGACAGTCTTAACTGTGTAGTTCACGCTAGCCTTAAACTCATGGAAGCCCTGCCTTGACTTCCTTTGTTCTGGGGTAATAGGTAGGCAACCCCATGTCTGGAAAAAGTTACCTAGGATTTTGTAGTTACCTTCATATTATGAGAAATATAGTCATACTTGTATTTTTTTTTAATTGTGATACAATGTTTCTTTGTTTTTTGTCTTGTTTTGAAACAGGGATTCTCTGTGTAGCCCAGGCTGGCCTCCAACTTAGAGATCCAGCTGCTCTGCCTCCCATGTGCTGGACCATGTTTGCTTGTAAATACATATTGGGGGAATAATATTAGGGGAACTAAACACAGTAGAAAAGTCTGTGGAGGTGTGGTATCACTTCAGTATTCAATAAACACAGGTTCTGAGTACCAGCGTTGTACGTGTTACTCTGCAGAGCCTGTAGTCTATCTGGGAAGGTGGATAGCTGGCCTGTCAATCACAGTGCATCTTGATACATGTAGGGGTTGTCCCAGCCAGAGAGAGCAGTGTGTCAAAGGGGAAGCATAGTGGAGGTGATTAAAGTTCCCTGAGCCCAAGCCACACCTTGATCTATAGCTCTGTTTTGACTGCCTTCCCAGTGCCTTTCCCAAAGGTGCAGCTTTGGCCTGAGTGGACACTGAGTGGCTGAGTACCCCGGGGGTATGGGGTATGGAGGGTGGCCCCACATTGCCCTGCATGCTAACCACCCCACCTTGTCATGTCACAGAGCACCTACTGTTCCAGCATGGTTCAGCACTGCGAAGCCCTCAACCGCTCTGTCCAGGTGGTCAACCTGGATCCAGCAGCAGAGCACTTCAACTACCCCGTGATGGCGGGTAAGTCCTGGCACAGCCACAGTCAGTACAGTGCCCCCTGGCACTGAAAGATGGCTGCTCAGCACCACTGGTGGTGCACACCTTTAATCCCAGCACTTAGGAGGTAGAGGCAGGCAGATCTCTGTGAGTTTGAGGCCAGCCTGGTATACAGAGCTTGTTCCAGGACAGGCTCCAAAGCTACAGAGAAACCCTGTGTCGAAAAACAAAAAAAGAAAGAAAGCTAGTTGCTCAGCCCAGGAACTGAAGATCAGTTACTCTTGGGCTCACCCCTGGTTGCATGATGAGGGAGATGAACGTCATGTGGTGATGGGTATCTGTGGGTGTGGGTATGATGGCATCCTTCTTTGAGACTCAAAGGTCAGTGGCTTCTGTTTCTGCCCTTCTGTGTTGTCCCTTTGCTGCTTACACTGGTAAGTCTGCGCTAAGGTGATTTGTATGCAGCAAGCAGCACCAATGCTGGCTTAAAGAGAAAGGTGAGGCTCAGGGCTGGGGGGTGTGGCTTGGTAGTAGCAGGCTTGCCTAGAGTAATGAAGCCCTACATTTAAGCACCACATAAAACCAAATGAGGTGGTACATGTTTGTAACCCCAGTGCACAGTAAAACAAACCTTGTTCATTAAAATCATTAACTTGGGGCTGAACAAATGGCTCAACAGTTAGGAGCAGTGGCCGCTCTTTTAGGTCCCAAGTTCAATTCTCAGCAACCATATGGTGGCTTACAATCATCTGCAGTGGGATCTGATTCCCTCTTCCGGTGCTTGTGAAGACAGGTCATTCATGTACATAAAACTAATTAATTAAAAAAATAAAAAAAAAACCGACGGGCAGCGGTGGTACACACCCTTAATCCCAGCACTCGAGAGCCAGAGGTAGGCAGATCTCTATGAGTTCAAGGCCAGCCTGGCTGATCTACAAAGCTACACAAAAAAACCCTTAGAAAACAAAAAACAAACCAAAAAAAAAAAATACAAACCAAAACAAAAAATACAAAACAAAACAGTAACCTTAGCCAGGTAATGATAGCGCACGCCTTTAATCGCAGCATTCAGGAGGCAGAGGCAGAGAACTCAGAGATCTCTGAGTTCAAGGTCGTCCTGGTCTGCAAAGTGAGTTCCAGGACATCAAAGAGAAACCCTGTCAGACACAAACCCACGACAAACCTCCATCAAGTAAAAACTGCTCACTTAGATGGAAGATGCAGCAATCAAGGCATATTGAGCCCCAGGATAGATGACCTTGTGTTGGAAGGGATGTGTTAGAGAAGAGGCACTGGGCTGGTCCCTGAAAGTGTATGTATGTTCCTGGGAGGCTGTTAGAGGAAGTAGCATCAGTGAGCACAAGAAAGGACAAGGACAAGAAAGAGGTATTGCTCACATTAGGGCCTGCCGAGCAGTTGTGCCATACGATGATAGGGAGTGGCTGTTACATGTGGGAAGGTGGTGACATTGGCAGCTCTGACCGGTGTTAGCAGTGGAGCCGTGGGCTGAAGGCAGGTGGGAGTGAGCTAAAGAGTGCAGTGGAGGGTGCTGCCCAAGTGTGGACCCTGCCATGGAATGTTTCTATTTTGCTTGAGTTTTGAATAGAGTCTCCTGTAGCTGGGGCTGCCCTCAAACTCCTTATATAGCCAAGGATGACCTTGTACTTCGAAAGTTCCTGCATTTACCTTTTGATTGCTGGAGTTACAGACGGAAGCCGGGGGTGTGGTCATGAGGAGAGCGTGGGCCTCTAGTAGCTAGAGTCAGGGAGCAGGCCGAGGGGTGAAAGGCAAGCTGTTATCACGTGGGTGAGAGCCTTGATGCCTTAGGTGGAAGATGTATTTAGAAGGACCTGGCCTCAAGAACCCAGGAGGGAAACTATGAGGTGAGAGGTCAGCCCAAGTTAACAGGAGCCAAGACCAACTTGGTTGGTCTTACTTACTGTTGGTTTTACTTTGATTTCAAAAATGAATGAGAAATGTCCACATACCAGGATGTTTAATACTTTTCTGTGGGTCAGTCACACAGCTACCCTCCTCCCACCCCAGGGTGAGTGAGCTCTGGGGTTAACCGGCTTCCTTGGTCATCCAGGTAAGAGATAGCAGTTGCCTTCATTTCAGTTTCTTTCTTGGTAGAGTTAATACATAGCTGAATGGTCACAGGAGCTGTGAAGGATATAGGCAGAAAAATCTCCCTAATCGAGGCCCAGCAATGAAACCGCTCCTTGGGGCAGCCAGTGTTCACTGGCTTCTGATGTGTTCCTTCATAAGCAGCTTGTGCATCTAAGATCCAACCTGAGTGTAGAGTGTATAGTCATGTGTGTGGTGGACTTCTGTGTGTGTTTTGTTTTTTGCCTTGAAAAAGGGCCTAACTGTATGGGTCCTACTACCTCATTCTCCCAAGAGCTGAGACTACAGGGGACCATCACATCCAGCTTTTTCTTCTGGCACACCCAGCTCTTGCAGTAAGCTCCATACAGCTGGGAGATTATATTATAGCAATGCCTAAAGAGCATGGTGAAACACCTTTAATCCCAGACTTAGGAGGCAGAATCAGGCGGATCTCTTTGAGTCCAAGGGTCCAAGGCCAGAGTGAGTTCCAGGACAGCCAGAGCTACATAGTGGCAACCTGTCTCAAAAACCCAAACATGCAAAAAAAAAAAAAAAAAAAGCTTCCCTTCCCCTTTCTCTGTCTGCAAAGTGATGTGCTGTGCAGTATCTGTACATTAAGTTATGTGCACAGTCAGATGTCTTAATTTCACTGTACCTACTCCTTTGAGACAGGGTCTCTAGCTGAATCTGGAGACATGCCCCAGCGACCCCCTCCTCCATCCCACAGCACTGCAGTTACAGACATGTGTCTATGCCCAGCTTTTTACATTGGGGTCCTCATGCTTATACGTCAAGCACTCTTAGTCCCGGAGTGTCTGCCCAGACCCACATGTGAGTTCTTACATCTCTGTTAGTCACTACTAAAGAGGATGAAGTTTTCCAGGTGGGTACTCATTCTGGTCCCTGCCTGGCTCTCTAGACATCCGGGAACTGATCGAGGTGGACGATGTGATGGAGGACGATTCTCTGCGGTTTGGTCCCAATGGAGGATTGGTGTTCTGCATGGAGTACTTTGCCAACAACTTTGACTGGCTGGAGAACTGTCTGGGACACGTTGAGGACGATTATATCCTTTTTGACTGTCCAGGTATGTCAGCCACTTGAATGTGCTGTCTGCCCTGAAGCTGTGATGGTTGTGTCCTCGTGAGGACAATAGTTAATGACTGCATTGAGGAGCTCAGCAGGCTCCAGTTTATCCCTTGAGTTCATCAAATGCTTACCGAGAACAACCTTGAGAATAAGGGAGCCAGAGCCATGGAGCTTAGGGTCCGGTGGCAAGCAAGCAAGATCAGTATTTGTGGCAGGTGACTCACAGAAGGAACATAGGCTGTTTTGCAGAAGAAGGGTTCAGGAGGCCGCTGGTCAATTGTCCTTTAAGCCAGGCTTGTAGGATGAAATTAAGAGAACTGTGCAGGCAAAGGGGGGAAGGAAGACAAGATCAATAGGCAGAGTGTGGAGGTCGGGATGGCTGGGGCACGGTGAGCAGAGGTGTCATGAGGTGAAATTGATAAAGGGTAGGGAACGGCACCCAGCTTCTAAGGGGGAAGTATGAACTTGGATACTGACCAGTCTTTCTCATCTGTGGCCTTCACGTGCTTTCTTTCTCTCGCTTTTAATTAAACACGTGAACTCCCACAGAAAAGTGTGTGTGTGTTTGTGTGTTCTTGGTGCTTATTGATGGGAGATGTCTGGGTGTGGATATTTCCACCCTGCACGCCCCTTTGTGCTTGGGTTTTTGTTTTTCTGTGTTGAGGATTGAACCCAGGGCTGGGCTAGTTCATGTCAGGGAGGAGGTCTGCCATGGGGTCATATCCCTAATCCCAGTACTGGCCAAAGCTGAGGTGTGAAAATTGATATCTGCTCCATGTTCCCGTGGTGGCCATACCTTAGGTTGTCCTGGGAATCTGTAAGGCCCCTTACCAGCTGAGTGCAGGGTATTGGAGAGGGACTTGGGTTAAGAGCATTTGCTCTCCCAGAGGAGTCAAGTTCTGTTCCCAACACCTATGTCAGGTGACTTACTACTTGTTAACTTCGGCTCTGACACCCTCTTCTGGCCTCCACAGGCACCTGCAAACACCTGACATGCAAACATACATAATTCGAAATAATAAAACTCTCACAGGAAAAAAAATGCAGAAAAAAACAAAACTCAAAGAAGAAACAAAACGAAAGCTAATGTAGAGTCTGAGAGGCGATGTAGTCACAGAGTGCTTGCCCACCCTGCTCAAGGCCGCAGTTCAGTCCCCAGAGCCTCAGACTAAGACAAAGGAAAAGACCTGCATGTCTTAGTAGGATCTGACTCCTTCTTTCTTCAATACCAGGATTGAACTGAGAGCTTCACACACTAGGCATGCATCACGTGTGCCCCTTCCCTTTTTACACTCTCTCTGCAGCATCCCGTGTGTGTGCACGCGAGCTGCAGTAGCCGGGTTACTGTCCTGGTGCTCTCCCTGCAGGTCAGATTGAGCTATACACACACCTGCCTGTGATGAAGCAGCTGGTCCAGCAGCTCGAACAATGGGAGTTCCGAGTGTGTGGAGTGTTCCTTGTTGATTCTCAGTTCATGGTGGAGTCTTTCAAGGTATGAGGATGAATTGCTTGCAGAATTTTCAGTCCTGAATAGAAAGTAAGGGTCAGTTGCTGCTCATTGTATATGAGTCTGGACGTTAGATAGACTATTCCAGTTATTTAGTATCTCCAATGGTCAGATTATTATGTGAATGTATGCTTAACTAGAAAATAGATTTGAGATATGTAAAAATAAATAAATAAATAAATAAATAAATAAATAAAAAAGTTAAAAAAAGGAAATAGGTTTGAAACCAAGTGTTGATGCATGTCTTTAATCCCAGGACTTAGGAGGCAGAGGCAGGTGGATCTCCTTGAGTTCCAGACCAGCCAGAACTCTGTCTCAAAAAACAAACAAAAAAACATAAAAATATATTTAAGAGAACTGCTTATGAAATAAAAATTGAGGGAAATGGGCACTGCATTAGATATGTATTTTAAAATTTTGAGCTAGGGGAGGTAAGGAAGGGCTGGCAGGGGAGGAGAGAGTGAAATTGGTTGGGATGTAATAGTATATGAGAAAAGGGAAAAACAAAACCTGGTGGCTGGAAGATGGTTCAGTGGTTAAGAGCCATCTTAACTCGGGACTGTTCAGAGGTCCTGAGTTCAATTCCCAGCAGGCACTTGGTGGCTCACAACCATCTATAAATAGATCTGATACTCTCTTCTAGTATGCAGATAGACATGCAGACAGAACACTGTATATATAATAAATAAATAGAGAAATACAAATCTTTGTCTATAAAGAACATGAACTGTGTTTTTTAAAAAAAAAATACTGAGCTGAGTATGTGGTTGATGCCTGCAATCCCAGTGCTCAGGAGACTGAGGCAGGAGGGTTACTGCAAGTTAGCCTGGGCAGAGTAAGGCACTATCTCAAATAAAAGGATTTTAAAAAATAGATTTTTTTAATCTTCTGAGGACCTGTGTCTAGTGTATGTCTGGAACTTCAGTTCCAGGGAGCCCAACATCCTCATTCAGATATACATGCAGGCAAAACACCAATGCACATGAAATAAAAAATTAAATTTAAAAAAATGTCATCAATGAAGGTTGACTTATTGATGGATTTGGGATTTGCACCGATGGGATTAAAGACCTGCTACACCCCTCTGGTCACATAAATGAGGTCACATCTTCCCTTGTCTCCTCTGGGGCCAAGGCTCTGCCACCTCTTAGCAAGCAAGAGTAGTGTCCTGGGTCATGTGCCAGTGTCCTTCCAGGGAGTTAGGATGTCCTTGTTGGCAATAATTCATCGTTTTGCTCTCTTCTCCAGTTTATTTCTGGCATCCTGGCGGCTCTAAGCGCCATGATTTCTCTAGAAATCCCACAAGTTAACATCATGACAAAAATGGACCTGCTGAGTAAGAAAGCCAAGAAGGAAATTGAGAAGTGAGTCCAGGGGCCGTCTGTCCCCATTGGGGCCCTGTGTGGGAGGAGCCTTGTGCCCCACCTGGACAGGTCCCAAGGCCTTCGTCTCCTCTCGTGTAGCCCTTTGTCTCCTTTCTCACCTGTACAGGTTTCTAGATCCAGACATGTACTCTCTGCTAGAAGATTCAACAGGTGACTTAAGAAGCCAAAAATTCAAGAAATTGACGAAAGCTGTGTGTGGCCTGGTAAGCTTCCCACGGCCCCGTAGTGTCTGCCCACAGCCAGTAGTGCCCACCTGTGCTTGAGCCTTCACCACACCTCCACCACTTCAGGTGCTGTGGAATTGAGGTGGGTCCCAGTGAAATAGCTTCTCGTAACCTAGTAACCAGCTAAGTGCTAGCGAGTCACAAGTCAGAAAGGTCAGTCATACAGTGCTGATCTGTTTCCGGCTCTCCCTTTCCTAGTTCAGTGAGTGCCTATGTGTGTTTGCTTGCTTATTTGTTTTATGTTTGTGTATGCATGCATGCATTTGTGCCAGGAAGACTAGCTTCGGGAGTTGATTCTAAGGATGAACTGAGGTTGGCAGCAAGCACTTTTCCCTACTGAGCTGAGCCATTCTGCCAGCCCAGCATTTTTTTTTTTTTTTTTTTTTTTTTTTTTGAGAGCCTGTGTAGCTTTGGAGCCTGTCCTGTAACTTGCTATGTAAAGCAGGCTGGCCTGGAACTCACAAGATCTGCCTGCCTCTGCCTCTGGAGCACTGGGATTAAAGGCGTGCGCTACCACTCCACTTGTAAGGGCAGAGTGTAAGAGTAAGAGCCATTGCCAGGGACATGCCTTTAACCCTAGCACTTGGGAGGTAGATGGATCTCTGTGAGTTCAAGGCTAGCCTGGACTACATAGAGAAACTCTTGCAAAACAAAAAACACCCCAGACCCAGGATGGAAACCATATGCTGCATACCCTCAAAGTGACCCTGTCATGAACTGGTCTCTCATAGATTGATGACTACAGCATGGTTCGTTTTCTGCCCTACGATCAATCAGACGAGGAGAGCATGAACATCGTGCTCCAGCACATCGACTTCGCCATTCAGTATGGGGAGGACTTGGAGTTTAAGGAGCCAAAGGAGCAGGAAGAAGAGTCTTCGTCCATGTTTGATGAGTATTTTCAAGAACGGCAGAATGAGTGAGGTTGACTACACAGTGACCATTTGATTGTGGCCGCTAGAAATGCTCTTTTGGAGGAGGTGGCCATGGAAAGCAGCTGCTTGTAAACAACACTGGGCTCTTCCCACAGTGAGCCTGGACTGTGCTTCTCTGAGCTCTGAAACCGCTACTCTTTCAAGGGGAGACTTTATTCTGACTCATTTTGGATTTTAAAAAAATCAAAGTAGCAAATCATGCACAGATTTGTATATAATATAAATCAACCTATCCCCACATGTATCTGTGTGTGTATGGGTATGTGTATGTATGTGTGCACACTTGAGTCTAACTTTATTTTTACAGTTGGATTTTTGGTTTTTTTTGAGGGATTTTCTTTTGATTGATTTGTTTTTGAAGAGGTACAATTATTGTAACAGAACATCTCCATCCAAATGAAAAAAATTGGAAGGGTACACATAAATCTTATTTTCCCAAATCAAATATGTATTATTTATATAATTAAAAACTAAAACTGTGTTTTGGGATGTGTATTTATGAATGTGTATATTGGAAAGAAAGGGTCCTCCCTTTTTAGTATTTTGAGACGTTTCCTCTGTGTAATCCTGGCTGTCCTGGAACTCATTTGGTAAACCAGGCTGGCCTCGAACTCAGAGATCTGCCTGCCTCTGCTTCCCAAGTGCTGGGATTAAAGGCATGGATTACATGGGTGGGTTAGTGGTGCTGCACTTTACTCCTATAGTGGTCCCTGACTGTCTCAATGTGACAAGGAAGATAAGGAGAGGGAGTTGGAGAGACGGCTCAGTGGTTAAGAGCACTGGCTGCTCTTCCAGAGGTCCTGAGTTCAATTCCCAGCAACCACATGGTGGGTCACAGCCATCTATAATGAGATCTGGTGGCTCTTCTGGTGTACAAGCATGTATGCAATCATGCAGAACACTGACATTGTATACATAATAAATATATTTTTAAAAAAAGAAAAACACAAGTAGATATCATAAAACTGAGCGACCAGGGGTGATGTGGACCATACCTGCTATGCCAGAATAAAAGTATTCAAGTGGAGGCAGATGGCTCATAAATTCAAGACATATATTCAGTTTGAGATTCGTAAGAATCTCCCTCAAGAAAATAAAAATAAGGGCCACCAAGATGGCTCAAGTGTGTGAAGGTACCTAGAGACCCGAGTTGGGTCCCCAGAGCGGTGGTGGAAGCTGAGCAACGACTTTGACTTCTCCACGTGGGCTTGAAAGGGGAGAAGGGTAAATCAGGGAGCTGAGTGGTACTGGAGGGCAGGGGATGAAAAGTGATTATTAACCTTTGAGGGGTTCTTGAATTCCAAAGCTTATGCGCCACACTCAGAGCTTAACGCTCGCGCACCCCCTGGCGTCCCTTCCTGTCAGCGCAGTGCGCAGTCGCGGCAACCGGGGGCGGAAGCTGAACCGGAAATGCATGTCTTCGCTTCGCCCGCCTCTTCCGGCTCACTTCCGCCCACTCCACCCAGGTTCGCCGGCCGGAAACGTTCGCGTTACCTGGGTCCTGCTTCTCTGGATCGAATCCGGACACCGCCAAAATGCCGGTAAGGCTTTGAGCCCGAGGGCGGGGAGCCGAGCGGGGCCGGGGCCTGAGGAGAGGCGGGAGGCCCGTGCTAGAAGCCGGGGAGAGAGAGAGCCGCTGCCCTGCTCTCCACTCCAGCCCCAGTCCCTTTCTCGCCCGGCTGCCCTCTCCCTAGTCCCTGCCGTGTTCCCAGGTCCCACCCGAGAGCCTCGAAGTTAAGGACGACGGCTTTTAGTTTATTTTTGAACCTAGGGTCCAGCTTCTCCTTTCTCTCTCCCTTGTCACGTCCACTTCCTCCTCCGCCCCAGGGAGTGGGTCGGCCTGCTACTAAGCACCTGTCAGGCTTTTCTTCCCTGCCCGATTCCTGCCTCGTCCTTCCTGACCGCCACCGAGTCAGCACCGGTTTCCAGAGTTTCCTTTTTTCGTGTGCTTTTGAGTGGGAGGAAAGAATGGTAATGGGCGGGTAGTCTTAACATCGGAGTGCCGGGCTCCATCATGGGTTCCGTTTTGCAGATTAGTAAAGGGATGAGTAAGTCCGCACTGGACAAGCGTCACTGAACTCTCACTGTGAAACCGGCCCTGTTACCAGCAGCGACCGAGGCCCGCTCAAGAGCTTACACTTTAACGGGTAGACAGTAACCATGTAAATATAAATAGGTAGTTTCAGGTCTTAACAAATGCTATGAAGAAAACAGATGGATGACAACACTAGCCTGCCATGGTCTCACTTATCTCTCACGCAGAGGTAGGAGGATTGCAAGTATCAGGCCAAAATGGACTATAAAATGAGTTCTAGGCCAGATTGGGATATATATTATTATAAAACTTATCTCCAAAATATGGGGGGGGGGAGAGGCTTGGGAAAGTGCTTGCTGTGCAAGAGGTAGGGCTGGGTGTGTGTGTGTGTGTGTGTGTGTGTGTGTGTGTGTGTCGCGCGAAGTTCAGCTGTTCATGTTTATTCCTCCAGATCTGGGGAGGCAAGAGGCAGGCAGATCCTCTGGGCTCATCAGCCAGCCGTTCTAGCCAAAAATCAGCAGCAAGTTCTGGGTTCAGTGAGAAACACTGCCACCAATAAAAGAGAAAAGGAAAAGAAAAGAAAAAGACAGTGTGGGATGAGGAAGTGGCTACCGAGTGTTGCACACGGACCTGAGTTTGAATACCTAGCACCCAATTAAGCAGTCAGGGGTGGGAACGCTGTAATTCCAGAGCTGGGAATATACAGAGATCCCTGAAGCCCCTTGTCTCAAAGCTAAAGTGGAAAAAGCAGTTGTGGAAGAGACCTGGTCTCCGCGTGTAGAAATACCCATACACCTGCATGCACACACGAACACGTGTAAATACACTACACACAAACACGCATGAGTGCATGCATGAACATATGCAAAATTAAAACCAACACAGTACCCAGTGTCAGGGAGGGCAAGAGGCTGGCATAGATAAGGTGTACTTGTGTTGAAAAGGAGAGCTATGTGTATATTTTGGCAGCGCTGGGAATTGAACCCAGAGCTCCATGGCAGGCTACATAGATCCTCTACCTCTGAGCTATATCTCCTGTTATTTTGAGAAAGGGTGTCATAAAGTTGCCCAGGCTGGCTTTGAACTTGTGATGCTCCTGACTCAGCTTCCCAAGTAGCCTGTATTGCTGTGTCCAGCTTTGTAAGGTTTATGAGTCTTGAGTTACTACTGACTCTTGAGCTGTATGTGGAGACCCAGGGTTACTGTCCAGATGAGCCCTGCATTCCCAGGATGGCACCGTGAAGAAGGAGATGTCCTTATTTTGATGGTTTTGCTGAAGGAAATAGGGCTCAGAGAATTATGTGACTTGTGCAGTATTTCTCACAAGTAGTGAAGTCAGCGTTTAAGCTGGAAAAGAAAGCTCTGTGATCATTCCAGTTGGGCACAGAAATTTCCAAACTTAGCTTATGTTAACTTATTTTATGTCTGCTTTCTGTGTTAGCGTGGAACATCATATATATGCCTATATATGTGTATATTCGTGTGCATATTATATATGTACACACACATATATGTATATGAGGTCTCGTCTCATATCAGGGTCTAGAGAAATGGCAGCAATTATGAATGCTTGCTGCTGTGTCACACAAAGAAACACATAAACAAAGCAAAAGCAACTTCACAAAGTAGTTTCTTTTTTGCCAAAAAAAGATATGCCGTGACCTGAATGCAGACTGAGCTAGCAAGCACAAAGGGGTGGGTAATTCACGTAGTTTTTATTCTCACTCAGGTAGTGACTGTCTTTTATGACTGGCTAGTTTTAAAAGAATCTTCACATAGGAATGAAGGGTAGGGAAAAGGTGTGTGGAGATATGGCTTAAGAGCCCTGGCTGCTCTTCCAGAGTCCCAAGTTTAGTTTCTAGCACCCAAATGGCAACTCACAACCATCTATAATGGGATCTGATGCCCTCTTCTGGCGTGCATTCATACAACAAATACTTTAAAAAGGTTTTAAATGTGCATAAAAGTTTTACTAGATGGGGCAGATTGGCTCTTGAAGGTCTAGCTGCCATTGATAGGGGAAAAGCCCGATTCTCACACTGCTTATAATAGAGCACTAGAATTTTGTTCCCAGCACCCATATCCATCAACTCACAACTGCCAGGTCTATCCAGGGAACCCACACAACAGCCACTTCTAAACTCTCTGGGCACTGTATACACATAGAAACCCCATACATAGACACAGCACATGCACTTAATAACTTTTTTGTATTGTTTGTTTGAGACAGGATTTCTCTGTGTAGCTTTTTTTGGAGCCTGTCCTGGAACTCACTATATACCAGGCTGGCCTCGAACTTACAGAGATCCTGCCTCTGCCTCCCAAGTGACTGCATTAACAGTGTGTGCCACCACTGTCCGGCCAATAAAATACTCTCTAATCTTAAAAAAAGTTACACTGTCACTCATTCTCTCTTGCACCAAAAAAAAAAAAAAAAAAAAAAGAAAGAAAGAAAAGAAAAGAAAAAGACAAAAGTTGCTTAGCAATCATTTGATGAACGAATGAACAGTTTTGTTCACAGCAGACATAAAAAGGAAAACCGGGAACCAGCATGTGAAGTTGTTCATCACTACGGCTCTCCCTGTCCTTTTAGCTCATACCTACTCACTAGAGGCGTGCTGTGTCTTACTCCTTTTACTAGCTTAGAAACGGGCTAGTGGGAATTGTGGTAGAGTTTAGCTGGGAGAGCACTTGCCTCATGTGCCTGAAGCCAATACCACGGTTATCTAGACCTGTCATCCCAGCACTGGGGAGGTAGAGGTAGGAGGGTGCTTGGAAAGTTGTGGTCACCCACATAGTAAGTGGGAGGCCAACGCTGTTGCGGTTGAAGGGGGTGGGGGTGGGGAAACCGGCTCAAGGAAGACTCCTGCAGTCTTGATTGGGGGCATAAATAGAGGAAGTGGCAGATTTCAAAACCAGGGCTTGGGTCCTGGCTAGCTGGAGGGTGGGAAACCTGTTTTGTGTGGTTTCTCTTGTGGAACACTCCCACCAGAAAGAAACACATCCTTGCATACCACGTTTGTAGCCTGAGGACATAATCCCAGGAGGCCAAGGCAGACTGACCTCTGTAAACTTGAGGTCAGCTCCGTCTTCCTAGGGAGTCCCGGACCAGGCAGGGCTGCTGAGTCAATCCCTGTCTCAAAAAGAGCTGGTGCTGGGGAGAAGGTCCAGTTGCTCACGTGCTTGCCACTCTAACATGGGGACTCAAGTTCAGCTGCAGACTCCACGGAAATAGCCAGGCATGGCGGTATACCTGTAAACCTAGTGCTGCAGAGGAAAGCAGAGGGTGTCTGGGGCTTGTGGCTGGCCACGCAGCCAGTAGCTGAGCCTCAGCTTCAGTGAGAGCCCCTGTCTCACATCTAAAGGTGGGGAAGCATTAAGGAAGACACCTGACGCAGACTTCTGACCTCTGCACCCACATGCATGTATACCCACACACATGTACGCCCACAAATATGTGCACCCACATGCATGTACACCCACACACATGTGCTCCCACATACATGTGCATCCAGATCCACGAAGACAAACACAAAATAATAATAGGATAAAAGAGAATGTTACGAACATAACGGGCTGGAGAGATGGCTTAACTGTTAAGAGCACTAACTTCCAGAGGACCCAGGTTTGATTCCCAGCACCCACATGGCAGCTCACACCTGTCTGTAGCTCCAGTTCCAGGGCGTCTGACGCCCTCACACAGACATACATGCAGGCAAAAACACCAGTACATGTGAAGTAAGATTAAATTATTTTCTTTTAAAGGAAGAAAGAACAGACAGTAAAGCCAGCTGTAGTGGTACGTGCCTTTAATGCCAGCACTTAGAAGGCAGAGGCAGGTGCATCTCTGTGAGTTTCAGAGCAGCCAGAGCTACACAGTGTGTCTCTAAAAACAAAACCAAACAAACAAAAAACCATAGACAATAAAGCCTGTGGTAGTGCACACATTTAATCCCAGCACTCAGGAGGCAGAGACAGGCAGATCTTTGTGAGTTCTAGGCTAGCCTGGTCTTTGTACGGAGTTCTAGGATATCCAGGGTTATATAGCAAGACCTGGTCTTGGAAAAAAAAGGGACATAGACAATAGTGAAATGTAATTTTTAAAGCGGTGAACTCTAGGTACTAATTTCCTCTGCTTTGCACATCTGATTTAGTTTGGGGACATGGCTGTGCTGACGCAGTGTCTCAGAATCTGCTGCTTGGTCCCATTGCTGCTGCCGCCCCTCTCCTCCCAGAGGTGGCCTTAGTGGGTGTTTTCTTGTCGCCCGGTGACACCTGTTCTCTTTCTCTTTGTCCCGTTTGCCGCTGCAGGCTTACCACTCTTCCCTCATGGACCCTGACACGAAGCTCATCGGCAACATGGCGCTGTTGCCCATCAGAAGTCAGTTCAAAGGGCCCGCCCCTCGAGAGAGTGAGTCTCCGTGCTTTCCCCATTGGGTGAGAAGGGAAGAGCCCAGGGGTCACTTTCCCTCTGCTGTGTTACACTCTACCCTGGAGACGTCACAGTTGCACTCCACGGGACACTGGCTCTCACTCGCACCCCTTCAGGGTGTGTGGGTGAGCCACGAGAGCAAACGTGGGCTGGGGTGGAGCTCCATAGGTGGAGACCTTGCCTAGCGTGCCGGAGGGCCTCGCTTCCACCTCCAGGTCACCGGGAGCCAGGTGTTGTGGCGAACACCTGTCATCCTAGCACTTGGGAGGTGGAGGCAGGAAGAGCAGAAGTTCAAAGTCTTGGGCTACATGAAAGCTCGTCTTAAAAAAGGAAAGAGGAAATGTGTTTAATTCTGGCCAGGTCACTTGTCAGACTGACTGAGTGCCAGGTCCCCAGCCTTCTTCTGTCATCATGCTGGAAAAAGACAGGCAACAAAAAGCATTATCTGGGCACGGTGCTGTACCCAGGAGGCTGAGATGGCGGTGGCTGGAGTCTGGTAGTTCAAGACTAGCCTAAGCGACATAGGGAGATCTATCTCCAAAAACAAGAAAAATGAACCCTTCCCCACTAGAGCTATTACTGCTCTTGTCAACTTTTTAAAAAGTCATTTGCCTTTGACTGTGTGCATGTTTGTGTGTGAGGGCCTCCATGTGCCCCCATACCCGGATAGAGGTGACAAGATGATAGGCCACTTCGGGTTCTGACATCAGTCCTGGGCATCTCAACTCAGGTAGCCAAGCTATCTCTGCAAGTGCTTTTACCCTCCGAGCCCTCTTCACAGCCCGCATTTGTCCATTTCTTAGTCTCGGGGTCTTTTTCACTAAACACCAGTGTTAGACCTTTTTTTGGATAGGTCAGAAGAGGTGGAAGCCAAGCTAGCCTCAGGTAGTGTGATGCTCTGGCTCTGTCTGCTTCCCTAGTGCTGGGGTTATAGGCATGTGCCCCATGCTTCCATCCTAACTCTTCCCTGTGTGCTTTGAAACCCTGTTCATTTCTATTCCTGCTTTTGTTTTTCTGAATTTTATTTCTTCTACTGGGTTTTTGTTGTTGGTTTTTTTGGTTTTTTGAGACAGGGTTTCTTTGTGTAGCTCAGGCCGGCCTGGAACTTGCTCTGTAGACCAGACTGGCCTTGAACTCACAGAGATGCCCCTGCCTCTGCCTCTCAATGCTGGGATTAAAGGTGTGCAGTACCACCGCCAGGCCCAGAAGTCCCTTTTGCAAACACTGAAGCTTTCTGACATGTTCCGAAACGTTCCGACAAAGATGTCATTTCTGTTGTCACAGACACAGGACCCCAGAGTCTGGCCCTAATTTCATTCACAGTTTCCAAGACCAGTCACAATCCCCAGCTGTGTCCTCATCCCCTTTTTCTTCTCTGCCAAATGATTCGTTTGCCTTGACCCCTATTGCGGTAAATAAGGATCAGGATAAACAAATAGGCCGAATAGATGTTTATTCAGGGAGAAATAACTTACAACCTAGACAGATGAACACCAGGAAATTCAACCCGATCCTCTCCTGTCCGAGTCACGCCAGAAAGCCAGAAAGAGAGAGCCTTTCCTGGCCCCTTCCGACCTCCTTCCACAGGTCACTTCCGCCCATGGCTCCACCCCCAATGGGCGTGGTCAGTGCCACAGAAGGAGACAAAGTGAATATCCCACTACAGACCCCCTGTTGATTTCTCAGCCCTGTTTGAAACATAAGTAAGCGCAGTAGATTTGGCGAGCCATCCCTTTTTACTTGATTCTGAGGAAGAGGAGCAGATGGGGAAAGACAGACAGGAGGAGAACAGCAATACAGAAAAGTTACAGCCGAAGGGAAAGGAGCATTGGCCCAGTTTGAGAGCAAGAGCCGTTTGTCCTATGGTTACAGATCACACGTTGCAGCCAACCTGGAATGGAACACATTAACCACCTTCAAAATTCTTGGCTCCTTAAGGAAGAATGAGACTAGACAAACTTTCCCAGAGGGGCTGGGACTGTGGGAGTAGATGTCTGTGCTGTGAATTGTCTTGGCACAGAGGGACGGCCCTGTGGTAAAGCCTGTGCATGGCGAGTCTGAGGCCCGGGGTTCAAGATCAGCTGCAGAGAAATTCTTTCCTGTTGTGCAGGTATCTTTAGATGCCTTTGTGTGCCAAGCTCTGTCCTAGGTCTCCTGTCCTCTGCCATCTATCTCCTCCCAGCTGCTCAGGAGCCGTTTTCTTTCCTTGAGAGCACAATACAGAGAAGGCAACTAGAGTAAGATTCCGCTGGCTCCTTCAGCAGAGGAGCAGGCTAGGTTGCAACAGGGTCGCCCAGGGCTGCAGCCTGAGGGCTGCTCTGCCTTGCATCATTCGAGGACAGGAAGTGGCAGAGGGCCTGCATCAGCCAGCTGCTGGGTGTCAGATCCAGAAGTCTGTCCTTCAAAAAGAAAAAGAGAAGAAAAGGTTGCCAAGGAAATTGTTTAATGAGCTTTGTGTTTGTCACAGGGTACTTCTGGCTTTCCTCAGTGTGGCCTCTTAGAACAGCTCAGGCCGTGCTTAAGCCACAGTTTCCATGAAAAGAACGAAAATTATCTGAAGCCCAAAATAATTTGAGTACTTCCTCTGACAGGTCAGACAAATTGTGCAGGTCAGACAAATTATATCGAACGGTTTTTCGTTTTCAGAGCGCTTTGTTACACTGTTGGGGCTGGAAGGGTGGCTCAGTGGTAAGGAGCACTTCCTGCTCCTCCAGCTGACAGAGATCAGTTCTCAGCATCCACATTGGCCTCACAACCTCCTGTAGCTCCAGCTCCAAAAGATCTGACACCCACTTCTGACCTCGCACACAGAGAAGGTTTTTTTATTTTTATTTTTAAATGGAATGAATTTGCCTGTGTCTCAGCCCATTTCTATAAGTGCATTGAGGTCTTAAATAGCAATAATAGTTTGTTCTGGGTGATAAGACTGTTATTTTTTTTTAATTGATTAAACTTGTTTTTTCTAATGAGCACATATGAATTTTTTTAGAGATAGCAAAACTAAAAATAAACCACATTGGTTTCTAGAAGACTGTATTTCAGTAGTTTTTTTTTTTTTTTTTTTTAAGATTTATTTTTATTTTATACGTGTTTTTGCCTGGTGCCCTTTGAGGCCAAAAGAGGGCGCCAGATATCTGGGAACTAACCCAGCTGCTCTTGAAGAGCAGCCTGTGTGTGCTCTCATGCCCTCCCTCTCTCTCTCCCTCTCTTTCTCTCTTTCTTTCTCTCTCTCTCTCCAGCACCCCAGCCTCATTTTACTATCCAACTACAGATCTTTTGGTGCTTGGAGGCCTCTCCGTACAGCTGGGTGTTTGCCTTTGCTAATAACTCTGCCTTCCCTCTTGTTTCCTGCTTAGCAAAAGACACCGATATTGTGGATGAAGCCATCTATTACTTCAAGGCCAATGTCTTCTTCAAGAACTATGAAATTAAGGTAACTTCCCGAGCTGGGGATGCTTAGTTTACAGATGGGGATAAGCACCACCTCGAGCCAGGTGGTGGTGCTACAGGCCTTTAGGAGCACTCAGGAGGCAAGGGCAGGAGGGGCACTGTGAGTGTGAGGCCAGTCTGATCTACAGAGGGAGTTCCAGGACTACACAGAGAAACCCTGTCCCAAAACAAACAAACAAACAAACAAACAAAATGCCTACTTTGAAGTCAGGGTTGCTGTGAAGGTTAAATGAAATGATGTGTGTGATTTTAGAATTTGAAAACAAGTCTGGATGGGAAATGCTTTGGGTTTTTTGTTTTGTTGATAGTATTTATTTTAGGCTGGGCATGGTTGCACACACCTTTAATCCCAGCACTTGGGAGACAGAGGCAGGTAGGTTTGTGTGAATTGGAGGCCAGCCTGATCTATATAGTGATTTCTAAGACAGCCAGGGCTCTGTAGAGAGACCCTATCTCAAAAACAACAACAACAAAAAAGATTGTATGTGTGTATTCCATGTATGTGCAGTGCCTTTAGGGGCCAGGAGAGGGGCCTGGGAGTTGAGTCCCTTATAACTCAGGGTAGAAATGGCTGTAGCTACCATGTGTGATCTGGGAACGAACCCAGATCCACTGAAACAGCAGTTGCTCTTAACTGAGCTCCCACCCCAGCCCCAGTATTAGCTTTTATTTTTTTCCCTTCAAAATCTTTACTCCTCAGGCCAAATGGCCCACTGCCTCTTTTTGCAAATAAGCTGTTGGGACGCAGCCCTGTCCATTTTTTTTTTTTATGTATTAGCTGTGGCTACTGTCATACTGAACAGCGCTTGACCAGCCACAACAAAGACTGCATTAGCCACAAAGTGTCCAGCCTTGACAGAGTTTGCCAGGCAGGCCAGACGCATCTGTGTTTACTTAATATTGATTAAGCTCCCAAGAGGTGCCAGGCTCATGTTTATGGATAACTGGTCAAAAGTCTCATACGTTGCTTGTTCATTTGCTTTGAGACAGGGTTTTATCATGTAGGACTGGCTGCAACTTCTTTTATAGGACACACTGGTCTGGAATGTAGAGTAATCCTCCTGCCTCTGCCTCCCATTTTTTTTTTTTTTTTTTTTATGTATTCAGGTTGGACATTGAGAATAAATTGCTGTCATTCCCTTACTTGGGAAGCTGAGGCAAAAGGATTGTTGTGAATTCCAGGCTGAAATTGTGTTTCAAAAAAATAAAGGCAGTGCCCTCCCTCGCTGCTCTAAAAAACAATCACGCCTGAAATATTACAGAACCCTAAGGTACAAATCGGATTTTGGAGTGTTTTGGTTTCAGGTTGTTTAACTGTTGAAGTCTGTGCAGATATTCCCAGATCCAGGCCATGCCCAATCTGGAAGACCTGTGGTTCCAAGCCTTGCAGAGGGTTGGTCTACTGCCCCAAGGTGTCCTGGACCCAGCTGGGATAGAGGGGTTGGAAACAAGAATGGCCTGGCCCTCCCTGGGACCGCTCCCTCCCTTCTCACCCTGCGAGGAGGGCGGTCAAGGGGAGAGTAGAGGGCTCGGTTGTAAAGGGGACAGACCAACAAAACAATGTCTGTGCTACTGCAGTGGGCCAGGCACAAAGAAGGGCAAAGAATGTTCTGGACAGTGTTGTAAATCGTGTGTCTTCAAGCTCTGCCTGCTCAACTCTGGGATATCGGGATCCAACAGGATGTGGACTCTGTCCAGCACTGAGCAGCGTGTCTGTAGCTAACAGCTAGCTTGTGCTACGTTTGTGAGAGATGTGGCAGGGACAAGCTGGGTGTAGCATTTCATTTGCCTGGAAGGAGACAGGCTGGAGGATTGTCCAGGAATTGGAGGCCAGCCAGGGCTGTGAGGCAGAGAGCCCATCCAAAGAAAATGAGAGTGGCGACCTTTTTCCTGACTGTAACTGTAAAACTGGGCCTGGGGTACAGGCCACATGTGGTCAGTAGTCATTGTCATTAGATTCTCCTGCTGGTATGTCGAGATGTTGGGCCTGTAGAGATCCGTAGAGCTGTCCCAGAACTTGTCGCATGTGAACTGACTTCTTCCACTGCCATGGAAGGGATGTGTCTGTTCTGAGACATTCAAGGGAAAAATGGTTTTTAAAAATGAGCCACCTGAGCTGGGCAGTGGTGGCACATACCTGTAACCCTGCACTCAGGTGAGTCCAAGGCCAGCCACACAGCTGGGTGTGGGGAGACCATGCACCCTGGGTGCCAATGTATAAGGAAGACAGAGATGCCCTAAAGTGTCTATCTCACGTGGCTGTTACATTGTTTCCTTTTCCCTTGCAGAATGAAGCAGACAGGACCTTGATCTACATCACACTCTACATTTCTGAGTGTCTAAAGAAACTCCAAAAGGTAATGAAGCTTGGCTCTTCACAAAGGACAACAGACAGAGACAGGCTATCCCTAGCAACCACCCGGGTCTGCTAATACCAGAGGACAAGCCCAAGATCTCTCTGCTGCAGGTCTCTGAACTTATAGGGGACCAGACACGAAGGAGGGCTGTGAGGTGTCATACATGTGGAGACGGGGGTCTCCTTTATTCTTTGAGAACAGTTGAGCATTTGTTTGGGTGTGGAGTGGACAGCAGCTCGTGGCCATGTTACTGTCTCCCCCCCACTTAAAGGCTCACAGTCCTCATGTATTTGAAAGAGATGACTTTGAGCTGAGCAGTGGTGGCCCAGGCCTTTAATCCCAGCACTTGGGAGGCAGAGGCAGGCGGATCTCTGAGTTCGAGGCTAGCCTGAAATACAGAGTGAGTCTCAAGACAGCCAGGGCTTCACAGAGAAACCCTGTCTTGAAAGACTGGGCTGGAGAGGGGGTTCTGCCTGGTCTACATAATAAGGACAGCCAGGGCTACATAATAAGATTGTCTCAGAAAAGTTAAAAGAAACTAAAAGATATTATGATGTACATTTATGAAGAGACGTGTCTGCCTGCATGGTAAGTTTGGTTTTCAGGGTTGTAACTACTGTATTCCACTGGCGTCGTTCCTCTGGCTTTACTTTTTAGAATCAGTGTTCTGAAGAGGGCTGCAGGCTCACTCACTGCAGAGGGCACTCACTGCAGGCTCACTCACTGCAGAGGGCACTCACTGTTGCAGCTGCTTGCACCAAACAGTTGCAGTTTGGGAATTACTCTTTTTAAGATCAAATGTGTCCTTTGATTTTAGTGCAATTCCAAGAGCCAAGGCGAGAAAGAAATGTACACGCTAGGAATCACGAACTTTCCAATTCCTGGAGAGCCTGGCTTTCCCCTCAATGCCATTTATGCCAAACCTGCGAACAAACAAGAGGATGGTAAGATGGGACTGTGCATGAGAGGGAGGGTGTGTGTGTGTGTGTGTATGTGTGCCTACATGCATGCTCTCTTGCATGTAGCCATCTCTCTGTCCTACTTCAGGTGTTGATTTGTGGCTTTTTGATTGCTCCTTAGATGTGGTCTCTCTCTGTAGTCCAGGCTGGTCTTGAACTCATGATTCTTCTGCCTCCGCCCCAGAAGGCTCTGCCACCATGCCCAACTTCTCTGTCTCACTTTCTACCCACTTTTCTTGCCTTGATTGGTATTCATTGTTTTGTGTACGTGTGGTTGTGAATGTACTTGTGTGCATGTGTGTGTGGAGGCCAGAGGTTGGTGTTGGGTCTTCTTGATCATTCTCTACATTGAGTATTGAGGCAGGCTCTTTCACTGGCCCTGGCACTCACTGACTCAGCTGGTGTAAACTGGCCAATTTGCTCCAGGGATCCCCTGACTCTGCCTCCTAAGGGTTGGTATTACAGGCCAGCCACCATGCTCCTACCTTTATGTGGCTCATGCTTGCATAGCAAGCTCACTGACTGGTGCTCAGATCGACAGTGGCGTGCTTTGCACACCTGTGTTGCCGCGCTTTCACAGGAGAGGGCGAGCTTGCTAACAAGTGTAACCTGCAGAGACTATGGAACCAAAATGAATGTAGTTTAAAACCATTTGGAGTCAGCAAGAAGGGTCAGCCAGTGAAAATGGTCACTGCCAAGCCTGACAGTTTGATTCCTAGGAGCCACAAGGTCCTGCACATGTGTGCGCGCAATCTGGACTAGCCTTTCTTTCTCTAAGCTGTCTGAATGTGTGCAGATACCTTGCTAAGGTCAGTGCCTAGCTGGACAGGCAGTGCGCTCGGCATATCTCCTCACATGAAGATTTCACTGTTTCAGAAGTGATGCGGGCATATCTACAGCAGCTGAGGCAAGAGACTGGACTGAGGCTCTGTGAGAAAGTGTTCGACCCTCAGAATGATAAACCCAGCAAGGTGAGCCCTCTGTTTGGTTGGACCTTGGCCCTTTGCCCTGATGCCTTTTAGCCCACTGAAATCTGTCACTTCTGCCTGACCTGGAGGACTGGAGGGCGGGGCTCAGTATACCACAGCCAGTGATGAACAGGTTCCATTAGTGTGCAGGGTTTCTGTATAGGATGTGTAGACATTCTCTGATAGCATTAGATCCACACTCTGTGGGTATTATGTAAAGTGGCATGGTGTTTGTATATGACCTGTGTATCCTCTGTGGGCTAAGAAATGCCCCAGGTTACTCACACCCATAGTACACTGAATGCCATGTAAATGATGGCTCCACAGCATCTAGTAGGGAACAGTCGCAAGGAGCAGAGTTTGTTTTCAGTACATGGAGGGGTTTGGACAGTGCAAACACCCCACCCCTCCCCTCCCTTCTCCCCCACATCCCCCAACCCCCGCCTCTGGGCTTGAACCAGCTACACAGCCAAGGGTGACCTTGAGCTCCTCCTACCTCAGCCTCTCTAGTTCTGCAGTGTGAGTCTGCTGCTGTGTCTGGCTCACACATCTTTCCCCCCAAATGTTTTCTGCCTGTGGGTGGATGCAGGCCTATGGAGGGCAAGCGAACTTACCTGCTCTGCTGTGGTCACCTTTAGTTAATGTAAAATGCCCAACTAGTTTAGACACAGTGTGTGTCATAAATTGACTGGAATTCTGGTCTGCCCTTGAGGTTGCCCTGTGCCCTGACCCTGAGTTCTGTCTTGTGCCTTTGACAGTGGTGGACTTGCTTTGTGAAGAGACAGTTCATGAACAAGAGTCTTTCGGGACCTGGGCAGTGAGTGGAGCCTGGGCAGCCACCGCCTGCAGAGTCCTAGGGAGCATCACACGGAGGTGTACACAGTCCTTTGTGTCCGTTCATAATGCATCATGAAGTGAGAAGAGAGTGTGTCTTTGCCGGAAAAGCTCTTGATCATGAATTTGGGGGGTGGGTGTCAGGTGATCTGAATTTTCGGCAATTTCAGGCTGGTACTTAAGATGTAATAAAGGTCACTGCTTACTTAGACATTGAATTAAAACATTTTTGAGATAAAGCTTACACAGTACCTTTTATGGGAAGGGAGTGGGTGGGGGCCTGGTTTGTGTATTTATGATTTAGTTTGTCTTTTTTGAGACAGCCTCATTGTGTAGTCCCAGGCTGACCCATAACTCATTGTGTCTCCAACTTGGGCTTTAAATCCCAAATCCTTCGGCCAGGCACTCGTGGCACATACCTTTAATCCCAGCACTCAGAGGTAGAGATAGGCAGATCCCTGTGTATTTGTGGCCAGTTCCAGGACAGCCAGGACTACACAGAGAAACCCTGTCCCAGAAAGAAAGAAATAAATAAATAAATAAATAAATAAATAAATAAATAAATCTCCTGCCTTGACTCCCTAGCTAGGGATCGCAGATGTCCTCCACTGTGCCAGGCCCCACCATAACCTTTTAAATAATGAATTTGGTGTTTGTTGGTGTATATATATATATACAGTTTCACAACCATAACCTATATCTAAGTGCCACAATCTTTTTATCACACCCAAAAAGATGTGCCTTTAGCAGTGACCTTCCTCCTTTGTTCCAAAGTCTTCCGTCTCCCAGCTTCTGGACTAATCTAATGTACTCTCTGTCTCATAGGTTTGTTTATTCTAGATATTTCATACAATAGAGTCCTGTGGTGGATAACCCAGCCTTTGAGTCTGGCTCCTTTCACTTAGCATGTTTGTGAGCCAGTCCCTCACCCCCCATTCCTCAAGTAAGTAGAAGCAAACGAAAGTTACCCTTTCACACCTGGTTTCTCTCACTTAGCACAGCCTCCTCAGGGTTGTCCATTTCATCCATGGTGTTGCATCCATGCCCAGCTCATTCCTTTTTATGGCTGAGTAATATTCCATTTTGGTGCGGATCACATTATGTTTATTCATCCATCATCCGGTGGACATTTGTGTTGTTTCTATTTTGGAGCTCTGACTAAACAGTGTTGCCAAGAACATTCATGTGCACATTTTTAGTGTGGACACAAGTTTCCATTTCTCCTGCTTATTATATCCCTCAGGATGGAGCCGCTGAGTCACATGGGAACTGTGTTTAGCCTTCTGGAGAAGGCCTGTCTGTTTTTTCCACAACAGTTGCACTGTTTTACATTCCCACAGTGACATGTGACCCCTGTTTCCCCCCACATCTTGTCTTTGCTCTCCAGTGGCTATGACGTGGATCTTACTGTGCTCTGCTCTGTATTTCTCTAAGATGGTTAGCCGCTTTGCACATGGCCATTAATATACCCTTTGCAGAGAACTGTTTAGGTCTCTGTCCATTTTTCTTTCTTTCTTTTTTTTTTTTTTTTTCCCAAGACAGTCTCATTGTGTAAACGCTGGCTGTCCTGGAGCTCACTGTGTACCAGGCTGGCCTCGAACTCACAGAGATTGGCCTGCCTCTGCCTCCCAGGTGCTGAGATTTTTCAAGTGGCTTAAGCCACCTCACTTTTTGTTGTTGAATTATAAGGGCTCTTTATATATTCTGAACACTAGATTCTTCCCAGACATGTAATTTACAAAACTTTTCTTACGTTTTGTGGATTTTACTTATAGGGGTCTTTATTTATTTTGTTTTGTTTATTCAAGGCAGGGTTTCTCTGTGTAGCCCTGGCTGTTCTGGAACTCACTACAAAGACCAGGCTGACCTTGAACTCAGAGAGATTTGCCTACCGCTGCCTCCCAAATTCTGGAATTAAAGGTGTGCACCACCGTGCCCAGCTAGATGTATTTATTGGTAGATTTATTATGTGTTGATGTCGTTGCAGTGCCCAAAGAGACCAGAAGAGGGCATCAGGGTCCCTGGAGTTCCAGACATTTGTGAGTCATTTGTGTAGGTGCTGGGAACTAAACCAGGGTACTCTGGAAAAGCAGCCATTGTTTTTTTGTTTGTTTGATTTCGAGCCAGAGTTTCTCCGTGTACTCTGGTAGGGAAGACCAGAAAAAAAGGAGAAAAAGAAACCGGTAATAGTGATTTTTTTGTTGTTTTGTTTTTAGACGGAGTTTCTTTGTGTATCACTCTCTGTGCTGGAACTCGCTCTGTAGACCAGCCTGGCCTCGAACTCAGAGATCCGTCTGCCTGTCTCCGGTGCTCTTTACCGAAGGGCCATCTCCCGAGCCCCTAGAATTTCTTTTTTGGAGATAGAGTTCCAGGCCGGTCTTGAACTTGAGGCAGTCGTGCCTCAACCTCCCCACTGTCTGGACGCTCATGAATCACCTCACTTGCCTTATATAAGTGGATGTATTTATAATCAGTAACTCGATGGCCTGAAACTCTCTAGATAGCCAAGGGTAACTGAAATCCTCCTGCTTCTACCACCCAGTGCTGGGATCAAAGGTGTGTGCCTCCATGCCTGACTGAGTGCACACGTGCACTGAGCCACAGACTAGTTAAATACTGCTTTCAGAACAGCCCAGCAGAAGGCTGTGTACAAACCTGTCCAGGACTGGACAAAGGGTTTAGTGGCAGAGGCTATGGGGTAAGCACAGTGTCCAAAACGAAACAAAACAAAACAAACAAAAAACAAAGAAAAATAAAACCTTATGCACATTAAAAGACACATCTTAAAGCAAAAAGGTGATGTTCTAGGGTTAGCTATGGGAGTTTTTGTCTTATTTTCTTTGTTTTGGTTTTTGGAGACAGTGTTCCTCTGCATCTGGAACTCCCAGCAGCCCAGAGGCAGAGGAAGGGGGATCTGAGTTTCAAGCCAGCCTAGTCTTGATCCAGCCACTCACTACTCGAGGAGAAAATAGTCACCCCTCTGCTGTCCCATTCCCAGTATTTGCCTGTGATGCTAGCACTCAGGAGGTAGAGGCAGGAGGATCAGAAGGTTACAGTAATTAGCTATGTAGTAAGTTTGGGGACAGTTGGAGACCCTGTCTCAAAACAAAACAAAACAAAAAAATAAAAAACCCAAAGCAGCAGCAGTTGGGTTATAGCTCAATGGTAGAACACTTGAGTAGCATGTACTAGGCCCTGGGTTCAGCTCCCAGCCCTTTAGTAGTAATAAGTAAAGAGCCAGTCTGTAACCTTGTTCTTTTCTCATAAGCATCCTGTTTAGATTCATCATTTCAGTAGGACACTAATTGCTGTCATTTATCATCGGGTGAAGAAAGATCACAGTGCATGGAAATACTGGAACAAGACTGATGTGAATTCCTCCATTCTAACTTTTACTTCTCCCAACAACTATTAGTATTGAAGTTCTTAATGATAAAAAAAAAAAATAACGGTTGGGCCTCTGCCCAGAAAGAGCTGTAACACTCCCACTAAAGCAGTTTGTTTTGTTTGCCATTTCGTTTGTGTTTAAAGATGTTAGAAGCCCACTTCATTAGGAGGGTGTAATTTCCAGGGCACATCTGCTCTGTGTCAATGCTAAGATGAATCGTCCATGGGTTTCCATTTTGCTTTGGCTCCAAAGCTTCAGTTCACAGTGTGCTGACACTAGAAAGCCCAGTGGGACCTTAGCCTGTGTGGTGGCACATGCCTTTAATCCCACACTCAGGAGGCAGGTGGATCTCTGCATTCAAGGCCATCCTGTTCCTGGACAGCCAGAGCAAACAGTGAGACCCTGTCTCAAAAACAAAATAAAAAACAACAGTTTAACCCTTAGGAGAAGCTCATGGGGCTTTTTACTGAAATATGCACACCCGAGGTCAGCAGAATGGTCAGTTTAGCGAGCTGAGTCCCATAGTTGAACATTTGTTGGTTTTGTAGAGGACATGGGTTTGGTTCTACCATGCACTGTGGCTCATTATCATTAACTCCAGTTCCAGGGAATCTGATGACCTGTTCTGACCTCCACAGGCCATGCAGCAAAATACATAAAATAAAAAAGTAAATCTATCGGGGCCGTGGTGGCACAGGAGGCAGAGGCAGGCAGATCTCAAGGTGTGGTGGCACACACCTTAAATCCTAGTACTTAGGAGGCAGAGGCATTCAGATCTCTAGTGAGGGCTACCCAGTGAGACCTTGCTTCAAAAAGAAAAAAGGAAAGACAGGAATGTTTCATTGTATCGTTAAGTTTGGCTTTTACATCTTGGTTATTTCATCATAGTCGGTTCTGTAATCCTATTGGGGTTTATTAGTTGGATATACACTTGACAGGTTGGAGGTCCAGTAGACGAGAGACTTGGGTCCCAGAGACGTAGGGAAGTAGCTGGAGTCTGAGAAGTAAGGGACGATGGGTGTGGTGTAGGAGTGAAGGGTTTCCTGGAGGGTCCATGGGTTGTAGCAACTGGACTCTGTCTGGGTCAAGCTGCCCCATATTGTACCTGTCTCAGAGCTATCTCTAATTACTACTCCCTGTCCCTTGCACAGGTGTCCCTCGGTGCAGCTGAGAAGCTGCTGCCTTGCCGGTCGGTCTCTTCCATGAGAAGAGGGCCAACTGGTTAGAAAGGTGATGTCATTTATTCCCCTGCCACTGTTCAGGCAAATTCTTTGTCCCACTGGTGGGACAATTAACCCAGCCAGAGACACTTCAAGCTGTGTTTCCCTGGGAGCAGTTTACAAAGTTGTTTCCCCCATCTAGGAAAGACATCTGAGAAACACCTGGGAGGGATGTCTGCCCTTGGGGTGCTGCTGGGCACGTGGAAATGGCCTGGGGTGTGTAGGCTTCCTCTGCTGTGGTTTCTCCATGGCACTGTGCACTGTCGTGTGACTTACCTAAAAGTCGGGAGAGGCAGCTCGACAGTTAAGAGCACTAATTGCTTTGGCAGAGGACCCAAGTCCAGTTCTCAGCACCCACATAATGGTGCAAAACAGGCTATAATTTCAGTTCTGGAGGATCCAGTGGCTTCTTCTGGCATCCTTAGGCACCAGGCAGGCACACGTACACAGTCATGCATGCAGGGGCTCACATACACATTAAAAAAAAAAAAAAGGCTAGTGTGTTGGCATACACCTTTAATCTCACATATGAGCGGCAGAGGCAGGTGGATGTCCGTGAGTTTGAGGCCAGCCTGGTCTACAAAGTGAATCCCAAGCTAGCCAGGGTACACTGTGAGACCTTATATTTTTAAAAAAGCCCAGGATAATTTTGGCTGTGGATCTTCAGCATTTTAACTCTCCAGTCATGGACACCTGATTGGTGTAGGTGTGCCTTTTCACTGGGAACTCCGTTCACACCGGCCCTCTCTGTAACTTCGGTGGTTGTTGCTTGGCACAGCCTTTCGTTGTGTAGCCTGGCTAGCTAGGAACTTGTACCTAGGCTTTTTCTTTCTTTTTTAAAAAAAATTATTTATTATGTATACAATGTTCTCCATGCACACCAGATCTCATTACAGATGGTTGTGAGCCACCATGTGGTTGCTGGGAATTGAACTCAGGACCTCTGGAAGAGCAGCCAGTGTTCTTAACCTCCTAGCTATCTCTCCAGCTCTGTTAACCAGGTCTTTACTTATTTACTTATTTTTAAAAAATTATTTTTGCAAGGGATGGTGGCAGACACTTTCAGTCACAGTACTTGAGAGGTGGAAGATCTCTGTGAATTCCATGTCAGCCAGACTTTCAAGAGACCTTGTCTCCAAAATAAATTCTTGTCCTCTAGGAGAGCAGCAAGTGAGCTCTCTCTCTGGCTACTGCCTTAAATTAAAAAGTAAAAATGGTGCAGAGTTTGATGCAGATATCCAGACTGGCAGGACCTCATTCTGTAGTAGAGGCAATCCTGGGATTGTATGCCTGCACCACCTCATCCTGTCCTTGACCAATAGATCTCCAAGTCTGTTGAAACTTTTTAAACAAAACATTACCAAATGTCACCCAGAGGACAAAATCATCCTAAGCAGAGGACCAGCACTCTGCAGCAAGACTGTGTGGTGTCACAGGAGAGAAATACAGTGGCTGGTGACCGGTGGTGTGGAAAAGCCGCTTCAAGCCAGCGGAGCCCACATGGTGGACCAAGATGACCAGCAGCTGTCTACTGTTTGTTTACAAAAGGCTTCTCCGTGCCATGAACCTGGTAGAATTCCCCTGACCCCATCACACACTTCTGCATCAATCCGCCTGAAAACTTGGTGCAAGCCTGTAAGCCATGGAGAGGTGGAGGCAGGGGGATCATGTGCTTATAGTCAGCTTCAGCTCCACAGTGAGTGCTAAATTCCCAACTCCATGCTTAGTTCTGAATTCCTTCTCTGATGCTGAAGAGCCCCAGGGACTGGCTAATGGTCGTAGTTTGGTCTCTGAGAGCCACCCCCCCCAGCCTTTACTGCTGGTGACAAAGGGACCTATCCATACCGTCTCACACCGGTTTCCGGCTCTCTGGTCTTCACCTCACCAAAACTGCCATTGCCAAGGGAACTGATGCTAAACCCTCTGGCGGCTCTGACCTCCCCTGACTTTTGACGGCCACTCTCCCTGATGTTCTCACCTAGGATTCATGGCCGTCCTCTGGCTCCCACATCGCCTCCCTCTTACTCTTCTCCCCACTTGATTATCCACCCGTTCTCACTCCCAGGTCTGGCTTCTCCCATTTCCTCAGCTCCCACAGGGCCTCATACCCTCCGTCAGGCCCAGGCCAGCCGGTGTTATTGATGACTTCCTCACTCTGGGTTTGTTTGTGCCTTGATACTTCACATAAGTGCAGCTGGAGTTTGCCAGCACTTTCCATCTGGCTTCCTTCACCTAGGGGAATTTTATTTTTAGGATGATATTTTTGAGAGCAGGTTTTTCTTATTTCATGATCAGTTTTTCCCCTCAGCTGTGTTACATTGTATCCATTTGACTCTTCATGGGTTGCATAGTACTCATTTCCATTATCTGGTTACTGTTAAGACTTGTTATATGCCAGATGGTGCATGTATAAGCCTTTAATTCCCCCCCCCCACTTGGGAAGCAGGGGCAGGTGGAGTTCACGAGCTCAAGGCCAACCTGGACTACAGAGCAACACAGAGAAACACAGTCTGAGAAAAAACCAAAAAGCCAGAAACATGTTTTTGTTTGTTTGTTTTTTGTTTTGTTGTTACTATTTATTTTGTTTTGAGACAGGGTCTCACTATGAACCTTGGCTGTCCTGGAACTCACTATGTAGACCAGGCTGGCCTATAACTCACAGAGATCCATCTGCTCCTGCCTCCCAGGTGTTAGGATTAAAGGAGTTTGTCACCATGCTCAGCATGTTTTGTTCTTGACAGAGTCTCTCTGTATATACCAGGTTGGCCTGAAACTCACTATGTAGTCCAGGTTGTCCTTGACCTTGCAATCTCCCTGACTCTGGGATTACTAGCATGTGCCACTACATTTGGCCGGACTTAGTTTTAATTATGAAATATCCCAAATGTTGAAAAAAGCAAAACAGCAGTTTTCTAAAAGATTTACTATATTTTAGATTTACTTTTTTTCCTTCCCCCTGAGCAGGGTTTCTCTGTGTTACAGTTCTGGCTGTCCTATACCTCACTCTATAGACCAGGGTGGCTTCAAAATCACAGCTCACCCAGCCTCTGCCTCCTAAGTGTTGGGATTAAAAGCTTACACCATCACTGTCCCATGAGAAATAATCTTGAATTGCCTGATGTTGTCTTGGATATCCAGCACTCAGGAGGCTGAGGCAGGATTGTGAGTTTGAAGGCAAGATGTTTCTATTATAATTTTTCTCAGAATAGGGCCTATTTTTTTGCATCTGTTTCTTTAAAATTAAGTGATCAGGACTCAGCAGGACAAACAAAACCCTGCCATCTGAGTTCAGTCCCATGTCCAACATGGTGGAAAGACAGAATTAATTAACTCCTTCAAGTTGTCCTCTGGTCTCCACACAGGCACAGAAGCACATACCTCTCAACTCCCCAAAATAAATAAACAAGTAAATGCAAATAACAAAATTGTAAACTGATACTGTTTGCTTTGATTTGAGATGGGGGTGTTTTTTAAAAAAGATTTATTTTTGTTATTGGGAGGGGTGTATGCCTACATGCATACATGCGTGTGTGCATGCTAGCCATGGACATGTCTCTACCTCCTCAGTGCTGGGATCACAAGCCTGAACCATTATTCCTTGCTTATTTACGTGGATGCTGGGTTGGAACTCACATTCTCCTGCTTGCATGGTGTGGAGGTTTGACTAGGAATGGCCCCATAGGCTCTTATATTTGAATGTTTGGTGCCCAGTTAGTGGGCTGTCGAGGAAGGATTAGGAGCTGTGGCCTTGGAGGAGGTGTGTCACTGGGGGTGGACTTTGAGGTCTCAGAAGCCCACACCAGGTCCAGTCTCATTTGCTCTCTGCCTCCATCTTTCCGATCAGGTTAAAGCGCTCAGCCATGCCTGCCCACCACCCTGCTTCCCATCGAGATGATCGAGTAACACTCTGGAACTTGAAGCAAAACCCCAATTAACTGCATTATTTTATAGGTTGCCTTGGCCATGATGTCCCCGAAAAGCAATAGGATAGTAAATAAGACTCACAGCAAGCCCTTTACCAACTATTGAGTCCTAATCGCTTTTTGCTTGTTTTTCAAGACAGGGTTTCTCTGTGTAGTTTTTGGAGTCTGTCCTGGCACTTGCTCTGTACACCAGGCTGGCCTCAAACTCGTAGATACCCACCTGCCTCTGCCACCCGAGTAATGGGACTAAAGGTGCACCACCACCGCCCGGCAGGTGGCCAAATTTAAAGGCATAAGTGCCTTTACTCTCAAGCCGCCCAGCTTCGGTTTCAACATTTTAAAATTTTGGTTTCTTCGTTGGCAAAGAGACTGACAATTCAAAAGTTTTATTTTTAATTTTTTTTTATGAGTATCACCGTGCGTGTGTGCCTCGGTGTATGCTCAGCTCACTAAATGCATGCAGGTGCCCAAGGAAAGAGAGAAAGAAGTCGGATGTCCTGGAACTGGACCCACAGGACGACTGTGGCTGCCAGGAAAGTACTGGAAACAGAATTCGTGTCCTCTTCAAGAGGAGCAAATAGTTTTAACCGCCCAGTAGCTCTCAACCTTGAGGGAATGGCTTAGGCTTCACGGTTTTTTAACATGCAATACAATAACGAATTCGTAAAGGCTCAAGTCATCAACCATGGGGTTATCAGCGGTCCAGCTCACCGGGTCACTTTACCTGGTAAACCATGCCTTGCACCAAGGAATCTACTCACGGTGACAGGAATACAAGCCACCAGAGGAGGGGGCGTGGCAACTTCACCTGGTGCGCATGCGTAGGTGTGTAAAAAAAAAAAAAAAGTCGGCCCTTGGGCGCCTGATTCAAAAATTTAATTTTAACTGTCAGTTTCCCACCACTGCTATATTTCTTTGTGATGGATTCCTGTACATTGTTACTAGCCTCTTCGAGGCATCCACGCCTCAAGCTGGCTTTATTGCAAACAAAGCCAGCGTTCCTCCTACTGGGATGCCTTCCTTTGCATTGCCAGTCCTCAATAAGGCCTACCCTTTAAGACGGTGACGCAATGCTGGCGAAAACCCCTTTCGCCTCCCGGGCGCTTCTTTTTACGCAGGCGCGTCAGTAGCTAGCTATGTCCTTGGGGGGTGGAGCCGCGCCTGGACCCGAAGGACCCCGGCGCTGCCGCCATTTTGGAGCCTTCCGCGCGGCTCGGCTCGGCTCGGCTCGGCTCCTGGGAGTTCTGTCCGCTGCTGCCGGGTCGCGCCGTCGCCGGGCAGGATGAGTGTGATAGACCACGTGCGGGACATGGCGGCCGCGGGGCTGCACTCCAACGTGCGGCTCCTCAGCAGCTTGCTGCTGACCATGAGTAATAACAACCCGTGAGTGGAGGCGCGGGGCTGAGGGGGAGGAGGGGCGCCGTGGCCCCGGCGAGGCCGCTCCCGGCGGCGGCGGCCTGGGAGGAGGCTGCATCCCTCCTGCTGCCTCCCAGAGCCCCGCGCGCCAGCCGCGGAGGTCCCGTGGCGGCCTAGGGAGGGGCCCACTTGGTCTCCGTGGCGAACGCTCGGAACCGCGAGCATCCTGGGCGGGCGGGCGGAGTGGCGCTTTTTTTAAAACACCATTGCAGCCTCTGGACAGGCCCGACGCAACTGCCGTGTAGTGACTCGTTTGGTTTTGTTTCTAAGCAGGGGCTCTTTGCAGCCCAGACTAGCCTGCCACGGGCTGTCTAGCCGAGGATGATCTCGAACTTATTACCCTCCTGCTTCCGTCTCCCAGAAGGTGGGGTCGCAGGTCTTTGCACCACCGTGCTCGGCGTTCTTGTGGTGCTGGGGATCGAACCCGGGGCTTCATGAGTGTTAGGCAAGCAGTACCAACTGAGTGACATTTCTAGCCCGGTTTGCTGGGTCTTAGGTGAAGCACGAGACAAGCACTAGCCTTGAGTGCTTGTTGGACCCTGCTTTAAAAAACCCCGTCATGTGCACACTCTATGCCGTGGCTCGCCAAGCCAACCAGTTCCTTCCTTTCTCTGATTTCTTCTTATGCTCGAGCTCTCACTGCGGGGCAACCTCCTTGGTTGTGTTTTCAGCTCCTTCAATGCCCAGGCTGGGTCTCAGCTCTAGACATTGGCACCTGCTGCTCCTATTCCGACTCACTTTAGACCTGGCTCCTGGTTCAGGTCTCAGCTCAAGTCGCTTTTTTGTTTTGTTTTTCTGGTTTCTCTGGGTAACCGCTCTGGCTGTCTTGGAACTTGCTATGTAGACCAGACTGGCTTCGAACTCACAGAGGTCTGTCTGCCTCTGCCCCTTGAGTGCTGGGATTAAAGGTGTGCACCACCACCACCTGGCTCTGTCCTAATCTTTATTCTTGGGGCTTGATGATGTTATATATAGCATTGTAGCATGTTGCTTTTCCAGCTAGAGTAACTACTCATTCTCTGCTGTTTTAATGTCTTGTTGTCTTTTTTGTTTTTATTCCTCCCTCCACCCTCCAGTTTCTCAGTGTCACTCTGGCTGTAAACTAGGAACTAAACTAGGTTAGGCTTGAACTCAGAGATCCACTTGCCTCTGCCTCCAGAATGTTGGAATTAAGGATTGAGTCATCATGCCTGGCTTTGTTTTGCTTTTTTGAGACAGGTTCTTGGTGAAGCTGAGGCTAACTTTGAACACTTGATCCTCCTGTCTCTACCATTAAATTCTGGGATTGTAGATGTTCTATCACACTTGACTTCTTTTTTAAATGATTTTTGATTTTGTGCCTATATGTGTACACAGGTATACAAGTACACATTAATAACAAAATGTATTCTTTAAAAAGTACTATAGATCAGTGCCTGCCAAGGGAAACAGGATTAGGGGATGACTTGGAATTTCTTTTTTATGTGTATGCACTACACACACACACACACACACACACACACACACACACACGGCGCTGCACACGCACACGCGCAGGCGCACACACACACACATCACGTGTATGCCAGGTGCCTTCAGAGGCCAGAAGATTCCTTGGAGGCCAGAGCTGGAGTTACAGCTGCCTGATAGGTATGATGGACTTAGACTTGGATCTTCTGCTTAAACCCAGATGCTCTTAACTTAGGCCACCCCAATCCACTTTTAATCCCCGTTTTGTAACAGGGTCATAGCCCAGGCCAATTTTGAACTGGTTATATAGCCAAGGATAGTTCCTGGAATGTCTGGTCATCCTGCCTCTGCTTCCAAATGCTAGGACTACAGGAGTAAATGACCATAGTGGCAGTGGTACCTGGTTGGGTTTTTTTGTTTTGTTATTTAAAATCTCTCCCTTTTTTAATTTATTTGAGACAGTGTCTCGTTGTATAGATGTATAGTCCCAGCTGTTCTGGAGCTGGCTTGATCTTGAACTCAGAGAGCTACCTGCTTCTTTCCTCCTGAGGCTCAGGGAATTAAAGGGCTAAACCACCACTTATGGCTTCCACTGTTTTTATAGAATTCTTTTCTCAGTCTGTTCTTTACTTATCAGAGAGAAATGTGTTTGGGAAGGAGTAGGACTGGAAATATAAACATAAACCAGGGTTGCAGATAGAGCTGTGGGTAGAATGTTTGCCTAGCATGCAGAGACCGTGGTTGGGTACCCCATGCAGGACAAAAAGTAAAGCAATGTCCAGGCATTTAACCTTGCTGATAAGGGCTAGTTAAAATGGTATCTTTTTGAGGCTAGAGGATGAAGGCCTGTGATAGAAGGCTTGCCTAACATTTGTGAGGCCATGGGTTCCACCTGAAGCACTGAAAAAAACAAAGGAAAGTTTGAAACATGGGTTTCCTTACATTATCTGTAGACACCTGAGAGTCAAGATATAATAAATAGTGCTTCTAGTGTTGTCAAGTTTCTTTGTGTGAGTAAAATTAAAGTCTTCTAGGACCTGGAGAGATGGCTCCATAGTTAAGAATGCTTGGTGCTCTTGCAGAGAAAGGACTTGAGTTTGGTTCCCAGCACCCATGCCAGGTAATTACCAGGGGATCCACCACCCAGCCTCCCAAGTACACAAAGTCTTATTCTTACTTATGAATGTCCAGCCTTAGCTTGGCTTCTTTCGAGCCAGCTTTTCTAACTTAAATTATCCCATTTCTCTTTATGTTTTGCCTCTGGGCTTTTTATCTTTATTCGGTATATCTTCTTACTCTGGCTTCCTTCTGTCTTCCTTTTCTTGTTTCTCTTCCTCTCTAGAGCCTGTAGTTTCCTCCTATTTACTCTCTCTGCCTAGCAGCCCCACCTATCCCCCTCCTGCTTAGCTATTGGCTGTTCAGCTCTTTATTAGACCAATCAGGTGTTTTAGACAGGCAGCATAGCATATCTTTACAGAGTTAACAAATACATCATAACTCTGCATCATTACACAGATAATTCACAGCATAAACAAATGTAACCAATCTTAAACTAATTTTTCACAATAGGTGTTCTTTCTAATTTTCAAAATAACCTATGTAGGATTTGCTTCCTTTGTTTTCTAGTGAGCTGTTTTCCCCGTCTCAGAAGTACCAGCTTTTGGTTTATCATGCTGATTCCCTCTTTCACGACAAGGAATACCGAAATGCCGTTAGTAAATATACCATGGCTTTACAGCAGAAGAAAGCATTGACTAAAACTTCAAAAGTTCGACCTTCAACTGGAAATTCTGCATCTACTCCACAGAGCCAGGTAGTTAAGAGAGAACTTGTTTATTTATTTATTTTGGGTTTTTAAGACAGGGTTTCTGTGTAGCCCTAGCTGTTTAGGAATTCTCTATGTAGACCAGGCTGGCCTCAAACCTCCTCTGCCTGCCTCTACCTCCTGAAAGCTGAGATTAAAGGCATGCACCACCATTGCCCAAACTCTCTTTCTCTCTCTCTCTCTCTCTCTCTCTCTCTCTCTCTCTCTCTCTCCCTCTCCCTCTCCCTCTCTCTCCCTCTCTCCCTTTGTGGTTTTTTGAGAGACAGGGTTGAGTATTTTTCAGTGATGGGATGATTTGTTACAAAAGGAAAGAGTCCTTCACTTTTTATTATCATGTAATATTCCATGGTATATGCATGCTGCATATGTTTATTTTTTAATTGATGGACATTGGGTTGCTTCTTATGGACCATGAGAAATGCGGCTGTGAACGGGTTTTTGGTTTCTTTTGTTTTGGCTTTGGAGCCTGTCCTGGAATTTACTCTGTAGAACTGACTTGGTTTTGAACTCACAGAGATCTGCCTGCCTCTGCCTCCCGAATGCTGGGATTAAAGGCGGGATTAAAGGCATGCACCACCACTGCCCACCTATATCCACGTTTTTGGGTGAGCTTGTTTTATTTCTTGATTGTATGTCTAGGAGCCGAATTGTTAGCTTATGAGATTACTTACTCTGTTTAATAGTTTTGAAGGGCTGTCAGGCTGTTGATATCATATTTTTATTATCTCGAAGTGTCTTCCATCTGAAATTGAAGTAAAATACAAAATGGCGGAGTGTTACACGATGCTGAAACTAGACAAAGATGCCATTGCTATACTTGATGGAATCCCTTCAAGACAGAGAACTCCCAAAGTAAGTTGAATTTCCTTCTTCCCCAGGTCTGTCCACCCTGCTTCATCATGTGTGTTCTCCATGTTTCGGCAAGTCTGTATGATGGTTCTTCTCATAGCTCTTGTTCTTTTTTTTTTCCAGACAGGGTTTCTCTTTGTAACAGCTCTGGCCAGGCTGGCCTTGAACTCACAGAGATCCACCTACCTCCCAAGTGCTAGGGTTAAAGGCATGTTCCACCACAGCCTGGAAATGGCTCTTACTCTTACATTCTCCCCTTAGAAGGAGAGTGGAGTGGTGTCGGTGGTGGCTCACACCTTTAATCCCAGCACTTTGGAGGCAGAGGCAGGCAGGTCTCTGTGAGTTCAAGGCCAGCCTGGTCTGCAGGACAGGCTCCAAAGTGCAGAGAAGCCCTGTCTCCTCAAAACAATGAAAGTGGACTTGGGGTTAGACAGATAGATAGCTGAGTTCTTTAAGGAGCCCTAAGAATTCAGTTAGGTATAGTGACATTCACTTATAATCCTAGCACTTGGGAGATAGGAGCAGGAAGACTAGGAGTTCAAAACTGTCCCAAAACAGACAAGCAACAAAAAGTTGTTTGGTTTGGTTTTGTGGTACTGGAGATCCAACCCAGGGCTTCAGGCATGATCAGCAAGACCCCATCACTAAGCTGAAGCCTTGACCTTTTCCCTTTCATTTAAAATTTTAATCTGGAGACAGAATCTCACTGATTTTATCAGCTGTTTTTAAACTGTGTAACCAGGACTGGCTTGGGCTGAGACTCTTCTTACCCCAGTCAGCCTTGTAGTTGGCATCACAGGCTTGCACCACCAGACCCACCTACTCCTTAGCTTTCCTTCCTTTTTCTTTTCTTTCTTTAAAGATTTGTTTTTCTGTCTATGTGGTTATGTGCATGTTAGTACAGGTGCTCACAGAGATGTTGGATCCCTTGGAGCTGGAGTTAAGGTCAGTGTGAGCCATCTGACGTGGATGTTGAGAACCAAATTTAAGTCCTCTGGAACATCTGGAAGAACAAAGTGCTCTTAACCACTGAGCTATCTGACCAGCCCCCTAAAGATTAAAAAAATATTGTTCAAGGCATGGTCTCATTATGTAGCCCTGGTTGTCCTGGAACTCACTGTTTAGACCAGGCTGTCCTGAAACTCACAGAGAGCTATCTATTTCTCCATCCCAAGTGCTGGGACTAAAGGCATGCTCTACTACACCTGGCTATATTTGTTTTTATTATTTTTTATTGTGTATGTGTACCTGCAGAGGCTAGGGGTGTGAGATCCCCAGGATCTGGAGTTACAGGCAGTTGTAAGCCACCTGATGTAGGTGCTGAGAACTGAACTCAGGTCCTCTGAAAGACCAAAACATGTCCCTAACACTGAGTGCTCCTTTCTGTCCCTCTCTGACATTTCCTCCTGTCAGGAAAATGATAAGAAGAGCAGGTGCACAAACACTTTTTAAAGTTTCTTCCTTTTTTTTATATTTAATGGGGAACTCATCTGGTAACAGGAGTATTGTATTAATCTTTTCCTTTGTGAAATCAAAACTACAAGATTCCCCTTGGATTGGGAGATGGCTCAGTTGTTTGAATGTTTGCTATTAAAGTATGAGGCACAGCATTCGGATGCTCAGCATCAATGTAAAAAGCCCTCTGTAGCCCCACATGTCTGTAGCCCCACAGCTGGGGTGACTACAGGCTGACCAGCCAGTGTAGTCAGATTGTCAAGCTCCATTGTCAGGAGACACACAGCATTGGTGTACATTGTGTGCTTGTTTGTTGCCCACTAAGATCAAAATAGGGTGTTGGATCACTTGAAATGGGAGTTACTGATGGTTGTGAACTGCCATGCGGGTAAAGAGACTTGAACACTGGTCCTTTGGAATAGCAGCCAGTGCTCTTAACTGCTGAGCTGTCTCTGGCCTTCTCTTTGCATTTTCAAATGGCCTCTAAAATGCACTACTTAAAGCCAAATAAAATAATTTGTAGCATTTTATTATTTTATTATTTCAGTGTAGGCATCAGTGAATTAAACTGTATTAGACTTATGTACTAGGTTTATAATTAGAACAGATGTTCTCTCCAGAGCCACTGAGTTGAGTGAATATATGATAGCTGGCATATCAAGTTGCAGATAACAAAATATTAAAGGTTCTTTTACTTTTGTGTTTTCCTCAGGTTAACAGTCTTCCAAACACCAACTTGCATTTAAGCACTTAAATTGGGACATGGTTGTTTTCTTTCATTAAATTTCCGTTCTTGTTATTTCTGTATGTGTGTATATATTTATGTGTTATTGTGTGAGGGTTGCTTGTACTTTAGAGAGTATGCTATGCACTCTGTGTTAATGTGTGTCCTGGGCACTTGTGTGTTAGCTGCATGCTTGCTTGTATGTCTGTGTGTTAGTGTAGTTGCCTATGTGGCCTGTGGAGGCCAGAGGCTGATGTTGGGATGTCTTTTTCAGTTCCTTTCAATCTTATTTTTTTTTTTTTTTCCAGACAGGGTCTCTCACTGAACTTAATGATCTGTGTTTTTGTCTAGACTAGCTGGCCAGTGAGTTGCCAGCCCTAGGGTTGTAGTTGCAAGCTACAGTGCCCAACCATTACAAGGGTTCTGGGGATTTGATTCAAGAGTCTTGTGATTGCACAAACCAGCACTGTGTCCACTGAGCCATCTCCCCAGCCTCCATCTTTGTTCTGTCTACATCCTTTGGTGCTTGTAGATTTTTCTCAGAAATGTAGGGGTAGGGATGAGAGTATTTTGTTTTGGGTTTCATGTATGATTTATTTACTTTTCATTATTATTTGTGTGTAAGTGTGCATTGGAGGTCAGAGAGCAACTTTGAGTTAATTCTCTGCTTCCACTGTGGTTTCCAGGGATTGAACTCAGGTTGCCAGGCCTGTGCAGCAAGTGCTTTGCTGATCTTGTTTAGATTTTGTTGTTGTTGTTTTACGTTTATTCATTCCTTTCTATTTCTTTCTTTCTTTTTTTTTTCCCCCCGGTTTTTTAAGACAGGGTTTCACAGTGTAGCTTTTGGAGCTTGTCCTGGAACTCTCTCTGTAGACCAGGCTGGCATTGAACTCACAGAGATCCACTTGCCTCTGCCTCTGGAGTACTGACTGGGATTAAAGGCGTGCACCATTACCATCACCTGGTTCATTTCATTATTTTTATGTATGTGTCTTGCTTGCGTATTTATGTGCAGCATGAGTGTGCTTGTTGCCCATGGAGGTCAGAAGAGGGTATCAGACCCCCTGGAAGTTGCCAGGTGGTGATGACACACTCCTTTAATTCCAGCACTCAGGAGGCAGAGACAGACGAATCTCTCAGTTGGAAGCCAGTCTGGTTCATAGTGTTGAGTTCCTGGACAACCAAGGCTACACAGAAATCCTGTCTCAAAAAACCAAAACCAAACAAACAAATAAGCAAACAACCTGGAAATAGAGTTGCAGATGGGTCCTCTGTAGGAGCCAACAAGTACTCTTAACTGCTGAGCCATCTTTCCAGCTCCCATGTTTGGGGTTTTTAAAAGAGGTTTTCAATATGTAGCCCAAGTTAGCCTTGAACTTATAATGATCATCTGCATCTGCCTTCATCGTAGTGCTGGGATTATAGGCATGTGCCACCATAATAGGCATAAAAATAGGGTTTCTAATGAAGGATTTCTATGGAAATAGCTTTAAGTACCATACTTAAATTTTCCTGAAATGTAGATTTAAATTGTGTGGTTACTATTTGAGTCATGTCACCTCAGGGGGTCACTTTTGAGTTTGATTTCATTCATTCATTCATTCATTTGTTTGTTTGTTTATTTATTTATTTGTCTCAGTATGTTAAGTAGACAGTTCTAGTTTAAGTATTAGATAGACCAGATTCTAACTACTGGCCTGCCAGAAGCCAAGCTTATTTGTTGTCTCATGCCTGTTATCCTTGCACTTAGGAAGCTGAAGCTGGAGGATTGCTGTAAGTTTGTGGCTAGCCTCATCTCCATAGTGAGTTCCAAGCCAGGCTGAGCTACTAATAAGAAGCAACAACATCAACCAAAAAAAAAAAAAAAAAGCCAGATGTAGTTAGTGGTGCATGTCTGCTATCCTTCACTCAGGAGGTAAGGCACATTGATCAGGAATTCAGGGCCCTCCTTAGGTACAGAATAAATTGAGGTCAGTTTGAGCTATGTGAGATCTTGTCTCATAAAACCAAATATAAACAGGGATTCAAGAGATGTCTCAGCAATTAAAAGAGGTTGCTGTTCTTCCTGGGGCCAGAGTTTGGTTCCCAGAACCCACATCAACAGCTCAAAGCACCTATAACTCTATCTTCAGAGGATCCCATCTCCAGGGGATCTACCTCTGCTGGCCTCCAAAGGCAACCATGCACACCCACACACTCTCATGAACACAGACACACATTTGTGCATGTTAATAAAGATAAAGTCTTCTTAAAAATTGTGAAGATTTCAGCCAGGCGGTGGTGGTGCACACCTTTGATCCTAGCACCCAGGAAGCAGAGGCTGGCAGATCTCTGAGTTTGAGGCCAGCCTCATCTACAAAGCAAGTTCCAGGACAGATTACATGGAGAAATCTGTCTTGAAGAAGGAAAAAAAAAAAAAAATTTTTTTTAAGATTTCTTAACTTTTTTTTTTGAGTAAAGTTATTTTTTCTCAACTGTTATTGATTCTCTGTAGATTTCACATCATGCATCCAGATTCCACTTAACCTCCCCATCCCCTTGCTTCTGCCCATGCAAGCTCCCCCAAAACAAAATTTAAAAGAAAAGCCAGAAGATAAAAAGGAATTCATCATGGAAGCTGTAATGTGACCTGCTGAGTTACACAGTTAACCCTTTGGTCCATTCATCTGTACTTGTAAGGGTTCATTTCTGTGAGTCATTGGTCTGGATCGAGGTCTCTGGCTTCTGTTGCACTATCAATAATGTGCTTTCTCTGGGGCTTTTCTTGGATCTCCTGTTGTCCTGTGTTGTGGAAGATCCTGCAGTTTTGGATCTGTTCGTTCATCCCCTTCACATGCTCTAACAGTTCATAGATGCTGTGGATGGGGTGGGCTAGCTCATAGCCCTGGGAGACAGAGTTTCTCTGTGTAACAGCCCTGGCTGCCTTGGAACTCTATAGATTTAGGCTGGCCTCAATTTACAGAGATCACCTACCTCTGCCTCCCGAGAGCTGGTATTAAAGGCATGCACCACCACACCACCACTGCCTGAAGACTTTATTCTTCTTCTTCTTCTTCTTCTTCTTTGCTTTCTTATGTATTAGTATTAAATTTAAAATACCAGCTTGGGCTGGAAAGATGGCTCCGGCATTTAGGAGCATACTCAGTTTTTCCAGAGGACCTGAGTTCAATTCCCAACACTCATGTTAGATGGTTCACAACCATCTGTTACTCTAGCTCCAGGGTGATCTAACTCCTGTGGCCTCTGTGGGCACCTGTACTAGTATGTATACACACACACACACATACACACACAATTAAAAAGTGCAGGTAGGTCTTTATGTGTTCCAGGCCAACCAGGGCTACATAGTAAGACTGTCTCAAAAAAAAAAAAAAAAAAACCCAACCCCTCCCCCCCAAAAAAAATTCCTTAAAATATATCAGCTTCAACACTTCTGCACCTATTCATCTTAACAGAAAAAAATCAAAGTAACTAAAATTCTGGGTCTGTGTTAATCCCAGAGGCAGCATCTTTGGTTCAGATATATAGAGGTTGTTTGGGAGGATGACAGAACTAGGAAAAGCAAGGATAACAATTCTCTGTTAGAGGAATGCAATCGGTCTTTATTTGCACAGGGCCGTGCAGAATAGTAGTTAGGAATAAAAATCAGAACTTGCTCTTGGTGAAGTTCTTCCTCTGCAGATACACTTGCTTTACTGTCCTTTGTTTTTTGTGTGTAGATAAACATGATGTTGGCAAACCTGTACAAGAAGGCTGGTCAGGAACGCCCATCAGTCACCAGCTATAAGGAGGTCCTGCGGCAATGCCCTTTGGCCCTTGACGCCATTCTAGGTATAGAAAGTTTTCTGCCTGTTGCCTGGGGTAGTTGCAGTTCAAGATGATTGTTCTCAATTATGAGTATGCATTAGATAGAGCAGAGCATTCTTTTAGACTTTTATGTCAGTGTGGGTTTGGCCTGTATGTATGTTTGGGAACCATATGTGGGCTTGGTCCCTATAGAGGACAGAAGAGGGCATTGAAGCCCAAAGAACTGGAGTTGGGAATGCTTTTAAGTTATCCTGGATATCAGGATACCTGGAAATCAAACCTGGATCCTCTGCAAGAACAATACTACTCTCAACTATTTAGCCATTTTTCCAGCCCTAGAATAGGCTTAAAACACTCCAAATACTGTCAGTTTTTAAATAAAGGGCAATACCTGTTTTTTAGGGCTAGGGGATAGCTCAGTGACAGCATGTGCTTAGTGTGCTGAGGCTCTGACCTCTATGTGTTGTGTGCATCTTGCTTAGACTAGGGAGGCAGCTGTGCAGCCTGTTGTTTGTTGCACTGTGGGAGGAAGATGCTGTGCCTCACCTTTCTCTTGCTTTTGGGGGGGGGGGGTTAGGTTTGTTATCTCTTTCTGTAAAAGGTGCAGAGGTGGCATCAATGACGATGAATGTGATCCAGACTGTGCCCAACCTGGACTGGCTGTCTGTGTGGATTAAAGCCTATGCCTTTGTGCACACTGGAGACAACTCAAGAGCAATCAACACCATCTGGTGAGAGCCAGGATGTAACAGTCTGAAATATGCAACACCTTACTACATAGCCCAGCTTGCCCTTGAATTGGCCTCTGTCTCCCAGCCTCAGAGTCCCTAATGCTCAGATTATAGGCACGAGCCACCAAATCTGTCTTAATTCAAGAATTAAGGCCCTTTTCTTGTCTGGAAAGCTGATATATTTCTGGTAAATCAGAAAAGGTAGATGCTTACTGCTTGGCATTGCAGTTAGTCATCTTTGTGCAGTGTTTTCTAATGCACTGAATGGTCGCACATGTAACAAACTGTTGGAACCTGTGAAAATGAAAAGCTGGGCTGAGTTGTGCTCTGTTGCTGTGAAGATGGCCACCATCAGAGAGCAGCCTGCTTTGCTATGGCTGGCATGTTCACGCCCTTTTGTTTGGTAGATAGATGTGTTTATTCCAACACCTGACAGAGGGCGCCTCTTTGCAATTGGGGTTTCTTTCTGTTTAGAGTCCTAGGACAAAAAGCTGTATTTTTTTTCCCAGTCATTAGTAGCTGTCACTTGTGAATTGCATATAAAAATCATGTATTGTATATTGTCCTCTTAAAAACTGTAACCTTGCTGGGCATGGTGGTGCACACCTTTAATCTCAACACTCACAAGGCAGAGGCAGGCTTGTCAGGACTACACAGTGAAACCCTATGTAAAAAAAAAAAAATAGAAGGAAAAATATAACCAGAAAGTTCTTTGTAGATTTAAGTGTTATATTGGAGACAGACACACGCATAGACACCCCGTTTCATTGTATAACTTAACCATTTTATTTATGTATATGGTTGTTTTGTCTGCATGCATGTTTGTGTCCCACGTGTGTGCCTAGTGCACAAAGGCCAGAAGAGGGCATTGGACTCGTTGGGACTGAAGTTAAGGAAGGTGCTGGTGCTGGGAATTGAACATAGGTCCCCTGCAGGGGCATCTGATGTTCCTAACCACTGAGCTTCCCTCCAGTCCCCTATGTAAAAAATTATCATTATACCTAGGGCATTTTAAAAGTTTTTAAAATTACGTTTGTACTTATTTATTGTTCATGGGCACATATGCTTGTGCGGAGGTCAAAGGACAACTTGAAGGAGTCACTTCTCTTCCTTCTACCATGTAAGTCCCAGGGGTCAAACCCAGATCATCAGGCTTAGTGGCAAGCACTGCCCTTACCTGTTGAATCATCTGCTGGCACACCAAAGTTTGTTTGTTTTAATTATTATTATTATAGCTAGGAGTTGTCATGCCTGAGTATAAATATCAGGACTTGGGAGGTAGAGGTAGGAGGATCATGAGTTCAAGGCCAATCTGGGTAATGTAGTAAACCCTACCTCAAAAAGCAAAAACAAAAAACCCCCAAAAACCTAGTTATGAAAAATGTCATATATACAGAAAAGTATGTCATCCATATGCCCACCTCCCAAACTGAATGATTAAAGCTTTGTAACAGATTCTAAGGGTTTAGTATTTAATATCTTTTAAGTTCACTAGAGAAAAAATCCCTACTGCGAGACAACGTGGACCTGCTGGGGAGCTTGGCAGACCTGTACTTCAGAGCAGGAGACAGTAAGAACTCCGTCCTCAAGTTTGAGCAGGCGCAGATGTTGGATCCTTATCTGATAAAAGGTGAATCCTGGGGCTGCAAAGTAAAGGGCAGCTAGAGAAAGGCAGGGTGTGGCATTGACACCTGTCTTTTTCTTGGGTTTTGTTATTGTTGTTGCTTCTAGACCTATTTTTAATTATGTGTAAATGTGTCTGTGTGTGGGTATGTACACATGAGTGCAGTGTCTTTAGAAGCCAGGGGTATCAGATTCCCCAGGAGTTGGAGTTAGGACCCTCATGACCTGAGTGTGGGAATCCACTCAGGTCATATGCTCTTGACTGCTGAGCCTTCTCTTCAGCCACTTGTTTTTTATTGTGTGAAGAGAGGGTCTCATGTAGCCCAGGCTAGCCTTGAACCCGGCTTTGAGTTCTTAAAGTCTCTTGCTTCCACCTCCCAAGTGCTGGCTCACAGCATGTGCTGTTTTTCAGGATAGCCTCTGTGTGGCAACTTATTACAGCAGTCCTTTCCCTGGCCTGGCATATGTCTCTAACACTTAGCTAATACTAATCTGAGTGGTTGTTTGACTTGAATTCAAGTGTTTTCTCCTCACAGACCATTACTTAGCTTTTTTCTTTTAAGGAGTATCGTGACTCCCCCCACCCCACCCCAGTGAATTATAATTTATGATGTGGCTGACTAGTGGCATCTGCAAAATCCTAATGTCCTTTTAGGGACTTTGGTTTTACTCTGTCCTTAGTGTAATTATAAAGAAGTGGGGGACAGATATAAGAATGGGGCAAAGTGGCAGAGAAGCCACTGATCTGGAAGCAGTTGCAGGTGAAGGAACAAGGCACAGTGGTTTGAGAGGTGGGTGCAGGCAGGGCCAGCACTTTGAAAAATAGAATGCTCAGGAATAGAGGGAAGTCAGATCTTAAAGACTCAACAGAGGCCAACAGAAAAATATGCCTGGGATAATAAACAGCCTTTTAGATTCATAAAGAATAACTGAATGATAATTCTAACACTTCAGACACTGAGGCAGGCTTGTGACATCAAGGCTAGCTACACAGTGAGACCCTGATTCAACAAAACAAAAGGATGACTGAGTGTGAAAGGACCTTCCCATGTATTCAGATGTAGGAACAGTCTAGAACGTCTGGTGTTTATTCCACTTCTCCACACCACACTAATAATCCTAGCACTAGCACTTGAGACGTAGAAAAAGAAAGGTCAGCGGTTCAAGTTCATCTGGTCATTGTGGGCTGCAGGAAACCCTGCCTTAGACCTACCCACCACCAAAGAAATACAGAGTGAACCCTGCAGTGGTGGTACATGCCTTTAATCTCAGCACTTGGGGGGCCTCTCTGAATTCGAGGTCAGCCTGTTCTACAGTGTGAGTTCCAGGACAGCCAAGGATACAAAGAGATATTTCCTGTCTGGAAAACCCAAAAATCAACAAAAACAAAAGGAAAGGGGAGGGGAGAGAAGGAGAGGAGAAAATAGTGTTTTAGAAATACTAGCCTGGTGGTATTGGTAGCTTGGAGTTGAATATTTATATCCAAAGCCCAGGCTAGTTGTGCTCTCACTGTGAGAGGACTAGGAATTTGAAGGGATGGTAAGGGAGGAGAGTAGTGTCTGAGAGTCAGCATGGGCTCTCATAAACCACGAGGGAGGAATGAAAAGGGCTTGGGAGACAGGTAGCATTCCCTGATGAGCTGCATTCTAGAATACAATAACAGCTTTTTGGGGCATAGGCCAGGCTATTTTATTTATTTGTTTGTCTGTTTATTTGAGTCTGAGCCTTTTCATCATAGTAAGCATGAGATGGGTAAGAGCTCTTAGGTAACAGCGTTATATGATGCCTTTTGGGGGCCTTCTCTGGGATGTTGTTTGCCACACTACAGATTTAGGGACAGTTCTTGGCATGAGAGGGTTTCAAGTTTTAATGTAGGACTTGATGCTCCTGTGCCTCCCTGTCCTTTCGTTCTTTCATGTGTGTGGTGTCTGCGTACAACTTTTATGTTCAGCATGTGTGTACAGGAGCCCCCAGAGGCCAAAAGAGGGCCTTTCTTGTTTTCTGTCTGTGGTTTGCTGTTTTGTTCATTCAGTCATTTAGAGAGGAGGTCTCTTGTAGCTGAGGTTGACCTTGAACTTCTTTTCCTGCTTCCAGCTCCCACTATCCTGTGCCACTATCCCAGTTTATGTGGTGCTAGAAACTGACCCTGAGCTCTGTGCATGTTGGTCAAGCATCCTCCCAGCTGAGCTGCATCTTAAGCCCTGGCTGTTCTGGAACTTCCTCTGTAGACCAGGCTGGCTTCTAACTCACAGAAATCCACCTGCTTCTGTCTCCTAAGTGCTGGGATTAAAAGCATGTGTCACCCTCACCCCAGCTTATTTAATTTCTTTTAATTAAATTATTTGTGTGTGTTTATGTGCTAGCAGGCCCGCACACATGAGTGTTGGAGGGCTACTTTGGGTTGGTGGTCTACCATGTGGGTCCCAGAGATTGAACTTTGGTTTATCAGGCTTGGTGATAGATAGTCCTACCTACAGAGACATTTCACAGGCTCTTCCTGGACTTTTTGTTAAATTTCTGTGTGTGTTTCCCCCTCGTACAAGCCTGGTTCCCTCAGAGATCAGATTCCCTGAAACTGGAATTTCATTTGGTTGTGAGTCTCCACGTGGATGCTGGGAACTGAACCCGAGCCTCTGCAGGAAGTATTCTTGACTGCTGATGTATTTCTCCTGCCTCCTTTGCCTTTTCTGAGGACCTTTCCCTCTTTGGTAGAAGAGCTTCTTTTTACCATGTCCTTTCTTTCAGGGATGGATGTTTACGGCTACCTCCTGGCACGGGAAGGGCGGCTGGAGGATGTGGAGAACCTTGGCTGCCGCCTTTTCAACATCTCTGATCAGCATGCAGAGCCCTGGGTGGTTTCTGGGTATGCTTATTCATCCTCATTTCTCTCCAATTTCCAGTCTATTTCTTTAAAAGATTGTTTTTTCTCTTTAAGAGAATGTAAGTTGAACCAGGAATAATAGTGGGGACAGCTTTTCTTTTATCATTCAGGAGGCAGAGGTAGGTGGATCTCTGTGAGTTTCAGGCTAGCCTGGTCTACATAGCAAGTTCCAGTTAGTCAGGGCCCCGTAGTTAAGATGCTGTCTTTAAAAAAAAAAGAAAGAAAGAAAGAAAGAAAGAATATAAATTGAAATCACAGTCATGAGAGCTGAATCAACCCAGCATGTGCCTGTGACTTTGGGCATTTATTGACTCTTCTCAGTATGTTTTCTCATTTTGAGATCAGGATAATAATACTGACTTCAGGGCTTAAGAACAGCGGCGATGCATTATGTTTAGTAGGCCTCATTCAGGGTGAGAGCCATGAGTACTGACCTTACACAGATAGAAATAAAACTGAAGTGACAAGATTACTTTATAAGAGTGCTCTCCTGATCTACTTGGAGTCCATTATGTTTTTTGTTAGTTTGGCTTTTAATGTAATTGGATATTTTTACCTGTGTGTGTCTTTTTTTTTTTTTTTTTTTTTTAATAATTTATTTAACCTTTATTTTATGTGCATTGGGGTGAAGGTATCAGATCCCTCAGAACTAGAGTTACAGACAGTTGTGAGCTGCCATATGGGTGCTGGGAATTGAACACAGGTCCTCTAGAAGAACAGTCAGTACTCTTAACCAATGCGCCATCTCTCCAGCCCACCCCCTCCCCCCAATACTACGTGAGTGCCTGGTACCTGCATAGGCCAGAAGAGGGTGTGATCAGATTCCTTGGAACATGCTGGGAGTCAGACTCTGGTTCTCTGCAGGAGCAGCAGCAAGTACTCTTAAGTATTGAGCCATTTCTCCAGCCCCGTAAGGTTTTGTTTTTGTTTGTTTGTTTGTTTGTTTTGGTTTATCAAGATGCAGGGTTTCTCTGTGAATCCCTAGCTGTCCTGGAATTCACTCTCTACAGAGGCCAGATTGGCCTTGAACTCATAGAGATCTGCCTGCCTCTGCCTCCTGAATTAAATTAAGACAGAATCTATGTCTTAATCTGTGATAGATAATTTTTAGGTAACTTCATTGGTCCAATTCCAGTAGTGTTTCTTCTCTTTGCCTTGGCATTCTAGTAGTTATACTTTCTCTTGGTGCTTGGCATAGGTCGACTTCTGAAGGTGGTGGGCAGTATTGTTACTATTTGTGTAGCTATACAATGTGTGCATTTTATTGCCACGCTTTCCAAAGGATGATGTTTTTCATCTTTCCTCATTTTGTTTCTGCTGCCAAGACCAAAGAGCTGCTGCTGCTGTTTTGAAACAAAGTCTGTCTATGTAACCCTGGCTGTCCTAGAAGGTAATATGTAGACCAGGCTGGCCTTGAAATCAGAAAAGACCCTCCTTTTGTGTGACACCGTGCTAGGCTGGCCTTTGTTTTTTGAGAGAGTCTCATGTACCCTAAGGCTGGACCTACTGTGTAGCTGAGGCTGGCCTTTGACTTCTGATTATCCCCCTCCCCCTTTTTTTTTTTTTTTAATTCTTCAATAAGTTCGTACATTGTATTTTGATTTTATTCGCTCCAAACTCTTCCTCTTAATCCCTACCAGATCTATCCTCCCAACTCCTTCTCCAACTTCATATCCTCTTTTGTTTTTCTTTTTTTAATATGTTTTATTTTATGAGCATTGTTGTTCTGCCTACATGTTTGTCTGTGTGGGGTATGTCAGATCCCTGGAACTGGAGTTACAGACAATTGTGAGCTGCCATGTGGGTGCTGGGAATTGAACCAGATCATTTGGAAGAGTAGCCAGTGCTCTTAACAGCTGAGCCATCTCTCCAGCTCCCTCTTTTTTCGTTAATAAACCTTTGACGCCAGTTTGTGCTCTCTGTTTACTTTTGGGTATAGGGCAATGCAATGAAGGATAGTCCACCTGCAGGAGCCAGACTTAAAGAAAAAGGAACTCTTTCTTTCTCCAGAGCCACCAGCTGTCCATAGGTCCTCATTTATGAGTGGGATCTCATGAGCCCCATTCCCTTGCATGCTGGAATGTTGATTCTATGCAGGCATGGCAGCTGGTGGTCCAGGATGCAGCGGTTCTGTTGTGTCCAGAAGACACTGTTTTGCTCCAGTCCTCCCAGACTTCTGCCTCTTAGACTCTTTCTGCCCTCACAGTGATCTCTCCAAAGGGGGATGCGACACAGTTATCCCATTTATGGCCAAGCACTCTGATCACTTATTGTTCCCTGCAGTTTGATTTCTGAGCCTCTTGACTCCACCTTCCGAATGCCAGGGTTCCAGGAGTGCCTGACCTTGCCTGTGTGAAATGCCGCTTGGAGGTGATGCTTAGTTTGGTTTATGTTTGTTTTGCTTCTTTACTGATCTCTGGGTTGTAGCTGTAAGGATAATTGGTAACTGGCTTTCTCTGATTGTGGATGAATCTTGCTAAAAACGTTTTTATTACATTTTATTTACTTCATGTAGATGTGTCAATACCTGACACATATATGGACGTCATAAGACCGCGAGAGTGGTTCTCTCCTTCTCTGTGTAGGTCTTAGGAACTGAATTCAAGTCAGGAGGCTCAGCCTCAAGCACCTTTACCCTCTGAGCCATTTGGACAGCTTTTTTTTTGTTTTGTTTTTGGTTGTGAGCCTAGCCTTTAACGGCTGAGCTATCTTTCTAGCCCTGTTTTTTGTTTTGTTTTTAATGACAGTCTGTCAGCTTCCCAAATGCTAGTGTTACAGGAATTTGCCACCCAGCCTGGCATTGAGGCTTCTCTCAAATAACTTCTGGTGTTTTTTTCCCTAGGTGCCATAGCTTTTATAGCAAGCGCTACTCTCGGGCCCTATACTTGGGCGCCAAGGCCATTCAACTGAATAGCAACAGCGTCCAAGCTTTACTACTCAAAGGAGCAGCTCTTAGAAACATGGGCAGAGTCCAGGAAGCTATAATACATTTTCGGGAGGCCATAAGGCTTGCACCTTGTCGCTTAGACTGTTATGAAGGTAAGACAGGAAACTGCCAGTGTGACTGTGGGTGTGACAGCTGCACCAGGTGTCGGTTTTGTTAGGTCAGAGCCTCTGAGCTTGGTTAGTGTGTGTTAAAGTTGTGGTGGTCAGGGAAGAGCAGCTTTAAAAGCCAGACAGTCTCTCAAGCATTGATTGCTTGGTTGATTTTTAAAACATTTTTATTATTAATTTTTTGAGACAGGATGTTGCTGAAACCCAGCAGAGCTGTGCCAGGTTTAGCAACATTTGGTGACTGAGTCACCGACACTGAAATAGCTCTTACAAGATTCTGTTCCTCTAAAACATTTTTTATAAGAATTTAAAAATAAGCTCAGTAGTCTGTCTCGTAGCAGGAAGATGAGTTCAAATTTGAAGAGAAAATTTTAAAGTTGAAAGGAATAAAAATCTGCTTATATAGTCAGAGGCTATGCTGGGTCATTTGCAGCCCCATTGGTCATTAGAGTGGAGGAAGGTGTTGCTAGGTGTGGTAATGCACACCTTTAATCCCAGCAAAGGCAAAGGCAAGTGGGTCTCTGTGAGTTCAAGGCCAGCCTGGTCTACAGAGTGAGTTCCAGGACAGCCAGGGTACACAGAGAACCGTGTCTCAAACAGGAAAAGAGAAGGAAGGCACTGAAGGGGGTGCAGCTGGCTCAGTGGCAGAGGGTGGGGAGGGGCCTGGTGGGGCTGGCCTGTGGTACAGGGTTTCTGCTTGTTTTTCAGGTCTCATAGAATGTTACTTAGCTTCTAACAGCATTCGAGAAGCAATGGTGATGGCCAACAATGTTTACAAAACTCTAGGTGCAAATGCTCAGACTCTTACCCTGTTAGCCACCGTGTGTCTGGAAGACCCCGTGACACAGGAGAAAGCCAAAACTTTGTTAGATAAAGCACTGGCCCAGAGGCCAGATTATGTCAAGGCTGTGGTGAAGAAAGCGGAGCTGCTCAGTGAGTACTCACACTTGGGTGTTCTTTGTGGTTGTTGTGACCCTCATCTCTGGGAGGACACTTAAGATGGCGGAGCAGGTCTGTGCTATGAGCAGTTTTCCCACCAGCCTGGTCTCACTGCCGCATCGGCCTCAAATAACACACAGAGATGCTGTATTAGATATAAAGCTCTTGGCCTGTTACTAGCATTCCGTATTGGCTAGCTCTGTCTTAAATATTAGCCCGTTTCTATCAATCTAAGAATTTCCACATGGTCTTATCTTACCAGACAGAGGGTCTAGATCTCTTCGTCTCTCAAGTCTCTACATTGTGAATCTCCTCTACTAAGTCTCCCAGGATCCTCCTTGTCTCCTAGTCTTGCCTATCTTGCCTTCTTATTTGTCAACAGTGCTTTATTCTTTAACTAATAAGAGAAACATATTTACAGAATGACATCTCCCGTCAGGTCTGCACCAGCTAGAAGAGTGTGTAAGGAGTTCGGTTTTTAATAACATCTCCCATCAAGAGTGCTTTACATAGATCACAACCAGACATGGCTTAGATCTGCTTAGATTGGTTTAAACTAGCTAAAGTCACTTGGTAGCTGTTAAGCTCATCTCTGGTATAGTTTTGAACTAGTTTAGTGTGAGTTTGAACTGTTCTGAGCTGTCTGGAACCTTCTCTTAGCTTTGTTCTTGCTTCTGGCATAATCATATGTTTAAATGATGCGGTGTAAAGGCTATTTTGGCTCATGGTCTAGAGGAGGGCCAGTAGTCTCATCTGGTCCTGGCCTTTGTGCTAGCATCGGGATTCCAAAGGCAACACAAGATACTACATAAGTAGGAACAACATTTGTTGTGATTCACGATAAACCCCTGTGTGATTTAGAAAATAAAATAGAATTAGGCTTATGTTTTGGCAACAGCTCTGGCTGTCCTGGAACTAGCTCTGTAGGCCAGGCTGGCCTTGAACTTACAGAGATCTGCCTGACTCTGTCTCCTAAGAGCGTTTAAGAGTGATCTAGAGAAGCAGGGCACAGGCTCGGTGGCTCAGGTAAAGGTGCCACCAAGGCTGACCGCCTCAGTTCAGTCCTCAGGACCCACACAATAGGACAGAGCCACTTCCCACAAATTGCCCTCTGATCTCCACTCACGTGCTGTGGTATGCTAACTCCTTTTCAAATAAATTAATGTAATAAAACATTTTTGAAAGACTCAGTACTCGGCTGGATGTTGGTGGCACATGCCTTTAGTCCTGGCACTTGGGAGGCAGAGGCAGGCAGATCTCTGTGAGTTCAAGGCCAGCCTGGTCTATAGAGTTAGTTTCAGGACAGGCTCCAAAGCTACACAGAGAAACCCTGTCCCAAGAAACCAAAAAAAAAGAAAGGACTTGTACTAATTTCCCAATGAAATATAGAACATGTGCACATGCCCCTCATGAACACTGCAGCCCCTGTTAAAGGGCGTCTCTGAAGAAGTTGTTGTGGCGGGTGTTACTGTGCACTGGCTGAGCAGTGAAGATGGTCTCTCTCTGTAGGCAGGGAACAGAAATATGAAGACGGAATTGCTCTGTTGAGGAATGCCCTGGCCAATCAGAGTGACTGTGTCCTGCATCGGATCCTAGGGGACTTCCTAGTGGCTGTGAACGAGTACCAGGAAGCAATGGACCAGTACAGTATAGCACTGAGGTGGGTGCTCAGCCTTCTGAGGGGAGGGCGTGAAGGCAGGGGAGACACACATGCTGTGCCCTCAGCCGAAGGCAGGCTAAGAATAGTAAGAGGGAAGTTTGTGAATTCATGACTTGTGACATATTTTCCGAAAACACATTAGCAGAATTAAAGAGATGCTTCAGTCTTCTTCACCCAAACCAGACTGGTTTCTACAGATGCTGCTGTGCCTGCCCCCACTCCATGACTTTATACGGTTATGTCTCTACCTTCTGCAATAATTAAAAACTTAAATTCTGAAATTTGAATACAGCTTTTACCTCTCATCTTGGTCAGAATACTAACCAATTTTCCTTATCTACCTACCTCACTGTGTATTAAATGACTGAGTTAGGGGCTGTCATGATTTAGCCAGTAATGGTTCTTGCCACATAATCCTGGAGACCTTAGTTCTCAGAACTCACATAAAGGTGGAAGGAGAGAATTGGCTCAAAGGTTGTCCTCTGACCTCTGCATGCACACCTGCCATGATTTATACATGACGCACAGACAAATGTGTGCTTGTGGACACTAATTAATAACACTAATAATAAATAAATGGCTAAATGAAAATAAATAAATGGCTAAATGAGAATAAACAATAAATACAGTCATTCGTACTGACGAGTGCAGAAGCGAGGTTTTTTTGGAGGCTTGAGACGAGTGTGTCTTAGCGCTGTCCTCATCAGGCTGCATTCATCTGTTCCTGTGTCCTTTAGATAGCCAAGGCAGGGCTCTGAGCACTCAGTGACACTCCCAGTGCTCTGAACTCTGCGCTGCAGTCTTGGGTGGGCCCAAGTGTGTGAGCCTCTGTAGGCCAGAGTTTTATGGAAGGTTTGGGTAAGGAGGAGCTGTGACAGACTACCCTGTGTCTGTGGGCAGGAGCAGGATTCCAGTGTGGCTTGGAATGAGAAGTCAAGCACCAGGTTTCATTGGAGGCATTTGCTATCCCACTGACTACAGTGCTGGGGTGGTCATCAGAGAAAGACTACTTAGTGACTTGCTTCAATGAGAGACTGCTTGCCTAGCATGTGCAAGGCCCGACCTTCATTCTGTAGTACTGCTTTTTGGTTTTAGAGCCCAATAAATGAGGATCTAGACTTCCCAGCTTTGTGGGTTTGCTACTAACTAATGAAAATAAATGCCTTGGTCTTAGTCTATCCTCAGGACTTAAACTCAGTCCCGTGGTGTAGCATGAAGGCTTTAGTTAACTGCAGACCTTGGATAACATGGGACAGTGTCACACAAAGAAGAGTAACTCTTCCTTGAGGCAGGTTGCATGAATTCAATATGTACCTGAGGCTGACTGTGGTACCCTGGTCCTTCCCTCCCTCAAGTGCTGTTATGACGGGCATGCACCCCTGAGTGTGGCTGCTCCCACCAGCCGAGTGGGAGGGCTTGATGGTTGTGAGAAGGTTTAAGAACTTTAGGGAGGAAAAACTTAAATTAGGAATTTTTAATTGCAATGTTAGCCATTTTTTAGTGACTTGTTTATTAATTTATTTTGACTTTATGTATATAGGTGTTTTGCCTGTGTGTCTGGTGCCCACAGCGGCCAGAAGAGGGTGACAGATACCTGGGATCTGGGATTACAGGGGGTCATGAGTCACCATGTGGGTGCTGGGAACTGAACCCAGGTCCTCTGCAAGAGCAACAAGTGCTCCTCATCACTGAGACCTCTCCAGCCTCCAGTCACAATTTCTAAAACTTAGGATGACGCCTTTTCAGCTCTGATGGACTCCCTGGATCTAACCTTGGAAACCAAAATCATTTGCCTCATCTCTGACCCTAGTTGTCTGACTGCTGGGCCAGTTTGGTGACAAAGGAGTCCCAAAGAGCAAGGCAGAGACTCAGGCCTCTCCTTTGTTTTTCCTTAGTTTGGACCCCAATGACCAGAAGTCTCTAGAGGGCATGCAGAAGATGGAGAAGGAGGAGAGTCCCACGGATGCCACGCAGGAGGAAGATGTGGACGACATGGAAGGGAGTGGGGAAGAAGGGGACCTGGAGGGCAGCGACAGTGAGGCAGCCCAGTGGGCTGATCAAGAGCAGTGGTTCGGCATGCAGTAAAGGGCCAGCAGCAGCCCCTGGTGATTCCTAGACGGATGCTGTGGAAGGACGCTGTGCTCATGGCAGGAGTCCCTGCCTGTTTCCTCGCCTTCTAGTCGGGACTTCAGTCTGATGTCTGTCCTTCCTGCTTTGCTGAGGACTAAGAGGACCCAAGCTACAGGCTCCCAGGCTCTGGGTGGTTCTGATGTACCCAGCGGAGGATGCTTTTTCTTTACATGAATAGGTTCACGAGACTGACCCATCCTCCCAAGGACACACTGAGTGGCCCCTGTCAGAGGTGTCTGGTTCTGAGTCACAATCCTGGGTCCACTACACTGCCTGGTAATGACGGTGACTGTGCTTTACTGATGGCAGAGCAGGGCTTGGCCTAGGCTTGGGCAGGTCTGGAAGCAGCAAGAGGGGAGCATGGCCACACCCAGGGCCAGCTCACCTAATAAAACTGTTGAGTGGTGTCACGGTGAACACCCTATCACACTCTTCCTTCCGTCTCCTCGTCAGAGACAGCCATGCAGCCCTAGAACAGAACAGGAAAGTGGGTCAGGGTAGAATCTTGCACTTGGAAGGCAGAGGCATGACAGTTACACACAGCTGGGCTACACAGGAAGGTCTGTCTCGAGACACAGGATATGTACAAGTCTTGGGAGTATCTCAGGGTGAGCCTTGGCCTGTGCACACTACCTGCCCCAAGCCGTTCCGGAGCCTTCCGCAGGCAGTGTGGTGGTGCTTTTCCCAACTCGGCCTCACCAGTCAGGCCCGAAAGAGGAGGCAAAACCCATGAACACAACTTGAACCCAGCTCATCCTCCTGTCTTCCCGTCAGGCTGGATTCACAAGGCCAGGGTAGATCTTCAGCTCCCCTCAGTGTCCTGGGATTCCTCCCCTTCCTGCATGCCACTCCCGCTGCAGGGAGTCTCTGGCCCAGGGTGGCCCTCCATCCCAGCTGGAGCCCTCAGGTGCAGTGCAGCCTCTCCTAGGAGTGAAGAGACATTGGCCCTTTCAATGAGCAACATCAGGACCCAGATCCCTGTGCCTGTCCATTTGAACTGCTTGCTGGGAAACCAAGCAACCTGAGTGATTGTGACCTTTAAATATTCATGGTCCCCTAGGGATCTTGTGGCAGCATGTCATAGCTGGGATGAAGTGTTTGTGCTAAGCTCTTGTTACTCCCCACCCGGCCTCTCCCTCCTAGAGCTTACCTCTCCAGCCTTCCCGGGCTTAGGGTTCGGCAAGCAGGAGACCCTAACTAACACTGTTGGTCACTTTTCAGTTGCTGTGAAGAGACACCATGATCAACTCTAATGAAAGAAGCATTTAATTGAGGGCTCAGAGTTTCAGATGTCCCATTCTCATCATAGCAGGGAGATGGTGGTGAACAGGCAGCCGCTGAGTTTATGGGTGTTAGGAATAAAGCATAACGGGTTGGGACCACAGGTGGCAGGTCCCTGGTCCCATGGTGGGACTTCAAGGATCGAGGTCCTGGGGTGGGTGATAGACGGTGGGCTTATGTGGAAACAGACCTGTAGATGTTACTCACACTGAACGTTGTATTGAGGGAAGTAAGACTAGAAGGAAAGAGGAAGACAGGACAGAAGAGAAGGGGTAAGGAGACAGGAAAGGGCCTGTCTGCTCTTTTGAGGGACAGTGGGGGTGGAGGGGAGAGCGGAAGTGGGTAGACTTAAGGGAGCCAGGGTACATCTGCCATGCGCACGTGGGTGAGAAGTGAGGCCAGGTTTGCCTGGATTACAACAGTGGAAGCTTCTGGAATGGCACAGGCTGAGGCTCACAGACTTGGCTTATTTCATTTATCATGTCTCTTTTGAAATCTCATTGTGTAGTCAGCAGTTCTGGAGAACTACATCCTGACTCAGGCAGAGAGTGAGCCTGGGCCTCAGAGCCCACCACCTGCAGTGAAATAGTTCCTCCAACAAGACTACACCTCCTGATCCTTCCTGCCCTTCCAGATAGTGCCATGGTGGCTTGAGCATGCAAATCTTGAGCCTATGAGGGTCATTCTTACTGAAATCATGGGTACTGAGGAACTGTCAGCCGCTAGTCCTTCCTGGTGGGGTCGTAGACCTGCCCTTGCCATTGGCTTCTCTCCACTGCCAGACTCAGCAGCTTGGAACACATGATCCACCCACAGGAACCATGGCAGCTACATACCTGTTTCTGAGCTTTCCTCTAGAACACAAAAGCAGCTGTCTAGCCAGCCTCACACTTGGGGGTGGTTCTCAGTGCAGCAGACAGAAAGGTCTGGAACCCTGGCCTGGAGCATGGGCATCTTTGCTCTGCCCAACTTCCTATTCTTGGCAGGCTTCCTGGACTTGAGGCTGATTTGAGAGAGGTCCTGGAGCTCCACCCTGTAAGCACCTGTGAGTGGGAATAATGGCTTAGCTGTGGCACCTGGTCTTACAGCTTAAACCTAGCTCACCTGGGGCGGGCCCGGGGTAGTAGCGTCACACTGCTTCTGTGAGCACAAAGGCAACACACTTGCTACAAGCTCTGCCAAGACCAGTTCTCAAGGGCCACATCATCTGCTGATGACAGACACTGAGGCCAGACTGGACAGACAGCTCACCTTGGCCCCTAAAGAAGCTGCTGAGGTAAGCACTTAAGCTTCCACATTACACAGGGGCCTCCCTCCCCTGAGGCAGAAGGTGGGCCATCAGCTGCCAGCTCCTGGGGAGGTGGCGGGGCACAAAGGCTGCCTTCTGTCACGCTCCCTCCAGGCTTGGGCCAGCAGTAGACATGCCCTGAGTGCTCAGGGACCAGGACAAGGGCACAAGGGTTTCCTAGATCCCACAGAACATGTTTTGTCATTGGCAGGGGAGAAAGTTTATTTTACAAACCACACAGCACAACAGCCAGAAAGAATCCAGAACTGCACAGATTGCCTTCTTTAGTGTCCATCAACAGAAAATGTGAATTTTAAAGTAATGGTATCAGTCTGGTGATAGGATGTAAAAGGTGTGGCCTTGTAACAATACTTCTTTGTTTTGTGAGACAGGGTTTCTCTGTGTAGCTTTGGAGGCTGTCCTGGAACTCTGTAGACCAGGCTGGCCTTGAACTCAGAGATCCGCCTGCTTCTGCCCCCCCCCCCCCAATGCTGGATTAAAGGTGTGCGCCACCTCTGCCCAGCTATAACAATATTTTATTGCCAGGATCGCCAGGGCCAGGCTTATCTCCATATTGCCCACTGGTGACTCCGCCTTTCTTCTTCCCATGGGTTCTTTCTGCCTGAAAGCCCCACCTGACCCCTCCTGCCCAGCTATTGGCTATTGAGCTTTTTATTACACCAATCACAGCAATACATCTTCACACTGTACCACTGGCTCAGTAGTTAAAAACCCTCACTCATGTTCTTCCTAAGGACCAGGGATCAATTCTTAGCACCCACATGGCTGGCAGCTCACAACTACCTGTAACTCCAAGATCTGACACCCTAACACAGACCAACATGCAGGCAAAACACATATACAAAGAGTCTGGTTGCTGCAGATCACCATTCCACTTTGGTGGATGTCCAAAGGAATGAAAGGGGGCGCTCAGACAGGGACTGTACACCTGTGTTCACAGAGGATGAGAGGTGGGAGCAGCCCAGCATGCAGGCAAGAGTGCATGCATAGAATGTGGTCCAGCAAAGAGGTGGGTGGATTGACACGCAGCCACAAAACTGAAAACACAAATGTAGTTTGAGAATTTACGTTAGATGAAAGGAGCCAGTCCCAGGGCAGATAGTATATCTGTTCTCACCTGAAACACCTGGAAGAGGCGACCTCCTCAGGCTGGGTGGGGGAGGACTGCAGCTGGGAATGCATGGCTGCGGGTAGAGCTGCACCAGGAGCAGTTGGGACTGCAGCTGTGGATGCATGACTGGTCCACAAGAATGCAGTTCATGCCAGTGAAATGCTAGGAAAAGTGGTTAAAAGAATAAATTAGATGTTTTGCCTCTAAATGTATAAAGAGGACCTGTGATTCACCAGCTAACCCATTCAGTCTGCGTGAAATGAAAACCCAGGGCCTGCTGGGCCTGGGTCTCTGAGGCTGTTCTGTCCCCTGGGCACATTTTTCATGTAGTGTGCAGAACCCCTGCATGGCCCTTGCTGTTATTGGATGCTTGTCTTGAATCTAGTCTAACAGTCCCAGGACACAAGGTCACACTTGTGTGGGCTGCAGTGTGCCATGAGGCCATCGTTACTCTCAGGGTTAGATCAGAGCCTATGCTGACCTGGTGCAACCCAATCTGCCCCGACCTGGGGTTCACCAGGCACTTAATGTCTGGCCACACCTCCCATGTCACGATTAGCCTGCGTGGCTGTGTGTGGGCTTCTGGCCTGGCATCGAGCCAGCTCTCTTCCGCATCTCTGCTGTTCAGCCCTGAAGTTACATGCTGTGACTCCCTGAGCAGTGTCCTTTGTGTCAAACACCCCCACCCCTCCTTGTCCTCTGAGCAGCCCTCAGGCTCAGCCTGGATGCACTCAGGCTGCCAGCCAGTCTGGCTACGGTGGTGTCATTCTGAGACTGGTGTGGTACTCCCCCCCCCCCCCAGCTGCCGCCGCTTAGGTCTTCAGAATCTGTAAACAACCCTCAGCAGCTTCTCTTAGCTCCCAGCTTTTCCTTCTTTGGGTAAATTCCTAGCAGGCAGGATGTTACAGAGTGGAGTAATCCTCCTTGGAACTTTCCAGGGGGCAGGCCAACTCTCCATTCTGTAAGAACCGGGTAGCCCAGGCTGGCCCTTTCCCATTTGTGCTCTCTCCCCGCTGTCCCATCTCTCACTACTCATTCTTGAGCTTTAGATTAGCGGGGAACCAGGACCCTGTCTGAAATGACCGGGTCCTTTTCACTGGAGCTAGGAGCCAGCGGTGACTTTTTTTCAGGCCTGGGGGTCCAGGACAATTCTTTGTGCCCAGCTCTGCCTTGAGGGAACCTCATTCCCTCTGCCTGAAGGTTGCGGGTGACTGCTGGATCTGGCTCTGATGTGGGATGAGGCTGCTTTTCTTGGTGTCCCTCCAAGGCCTTAGCCTGTCTATGCCTATGCCCCCTCTGCCTGTCCCAAGAGTGTCAGCATATCTGGAGCCCCAGGCTACAGTGTGTGCCCAGTTTTTCTGTGGCTCAGCCTCCCTGTGGACATGACTGGCCTCCATCTGTAGGCCAGGCCTGCTTTTAGACAGGCTCAGTTATCGCCAGGGTTGATGCTGCCTACTTTAGCCAGACCCAAGGCCTGCAGACCCTGTGAGTGTCCCACCAACCTCAGCAAAGTGCCTGTGAGCCCACAGACAGCTGCGATTACTTCAGGGGTTGACTGAGAACCAGAGGAGACCTAGAATCTGCCTTGATAGTCAAGAGGATGGGACCAGGACAGTGGGCAACACTCTTAGCCCTCTGTCGCCAGAGGACAGGTTGGGCCTGCTACCTCCAAGCTCAAGGCTGTGGAGCACCCTGCCAGAGTCCAGGCCTGGCACTTCTTAATGGGTTCCGAGTGTTTTCTTTCTCTCTCAATTTATTTTTGGATATAGGATCTCTTACTCTGTAGACCAGGCTGGCCTCAAACTCACAGAGATCCCCTTGCCTCTGCCTCCCAGGAGCTGAGAGTAAAGGCTGTGCCACCACAGCCAGACATGGAACGACACGAAACATAGTCAGGTGAGGTACCCGTAATTCTCGGCATTTGGGGACTGGAAGTGGGGGAACCAGAAGTTTGAGGTCATCCTTAACTATATTTGAGGCCAACCTGGGGTGCAGAAGCCCCAGCCCACGTGTGGTATCGTCTGTGACTGGGAACAGCGACACTTGTGTCCTTAGGGGTGCCTTTTGTTTGCTGTTTTTGGAGAGAGTCTTTCTACATAGTCCTGGCTGTCCTGGAACTTACCATGTAGACCAGGCTGGCCTCAAACTCACTGAGATCCTCCTGACTCTGTTCCTGAATGCTGGGATTAAAGGTGTGCACCACTATGCCTGGCCACCGACACCGATTCCTAACTGTTGTTTGTACATAGAAAACGAAGTATAGGAGTCAAGCTGTGCTGTGGTTACAGATCAGGAACATGAGCACCTCCCACGGTTTATAAGGCACAGGGGTGGGGGCTACAAGCCCTTGCTGAGACTCTCCCTCCTCCCTCTCTGGAACACAACTGGCCTTCCAGGAGGCAGTGCTGGGGCTCTGCACAGAAACAGTGGGCAGAGGACGTGTGGTTAGATCTTAAGAGTGACACCTGGCTGTGGACCACCCTTTGGTTTTCCTAGATCTTTCCCGCTGTTGCATCCATGCCTACAGCTGCTTCTGGTCTCTGCAGTTCCCTAGGGCAGCAACACCTGGATACCTGGGACTGAATTAACTGTTGTCTCCTTGTCCTGGATGGTAGAGGTCTCAGGTCCACCTCAAGTCCCAGGTGGAATCACTCATTTCAGGTCTGTGTGCAATGCCTTGTCACCTCAATTCTTTAAATTCTGTGCAGTCTCTCCAGGTTGCCAGAAGTCCCCTGGTGGCTTCACTGTCCTTCCTGCAAAGGAAGAGCCCTGTCCCCCAGCTGTGTAAGATTTTCTGTGTTCTGCATTTCCCGGTGTCTGAGCGCCGGGTTTCTTTCAATCCTGTTTGGAAGTTAAGGTTTTTCCTGTTACGGATCATGGTCTTTTATCAGTTCTGGTACATTCTCAGCTATTCAAAGTGACAAGGCAGTGTTTGATGCGATCACCCACACCCACTTGTCCCCAGCTGTCCTGCCCCTGCTGCATTCTGGTTAGTGGTTCATTGATCTGTCTCTGATGCCATCCCCATCATCAGGTCTGTGGTTTGAGTGGCCTCTTTTTTTTTTTTTGTGTGTGTGTGTGTTTATTTTTATTTTTGTTTGTAATCACACTCGAGTTTTGGACCATCTAGAGATTTAAGGATGCTCGTCAGAGTTCTTCGGAGGCTTGTCAGATGTTCTCTGAAGTGTGGAGCATTCTAGGGGACCAAAGGTGCCTGTCTTAGGATGTCACCAGCACCGAGGTGTGTTTAGCTTTGCCTGGTCTATGCTCTATCCTGTCCACACTGTCCAGCCTCCTTTGGTTGGGACACTGTCTTTACCACTATTGAGCCTCTGCAGCTCTTGATCTGCCCTTGTCAACCCCTTGTTCACACCAATGCCAACTTGTGATTATTTCACACCCAAAGTTAGCTCCATGCTTAAGCACTCTATAGTGAGGTTGGCTGTGTCCTTTGAGATGCCCATCTGTACTGTGCTGAGCACACTGCCTTGCTTTAGGTATGTGGCTTGCCCCATTTGGACCTTGCCATGGAACGTGGTCTGAGGAAGCCTGAGTGAGAGTATGCATGCGCCCTGCTCCTGGGTGGACATTCTCTGTCAGTAAACTGCAGATGCTCTCCCTGCTCCAGTCATGGGTGGAGCTGGGCTGGAATTCATCCATGCCTTTTCGTTCAATTCCTGACTTGGTGGTTCTGATCTCCCCTGCTGCCTTTGTAGCCACCTGAATCCTGGAGGCTACTATTTACAATCACCAAGGCGAGAAATTAACTTATTTTTGTCTCTTCTAAAAAAAGTTTAAAATAGAAAAGAAAAAAATTTGGGGTCAGGCGATGGTGGAGCAGGTCTTTTAATCCCAGGACCTGGGGAGGCAAGGGCAGGCTGATATCTGAGTTTGAGGCCAGCCTAGTCTACAGAGTGAGTTCTAGGACAGTCAGGGTTATAGAGAAACCTAGTTTCAAGAAAAGATAAAACAACAACAGAAAGATTTGTTTTGCTTGCATGTAAGACTACTTTCCATGTGCATGCAGTACCTATGGAGGCCAGAAGAGGGCACAGGATTCGGAACTGGTGAGGCACAGTTAAGGTGCTGGGAATCCAACCCAAGTCCTCTGCAAGAGCAGCAAGTGCTCTTAACTGAGCCATCACTCTGCCCCCTTAAAAATAAAAAAATATTTTTACTATGTGTGATTGTGTGCACACAAGCATAATGTGTGTGAAAGCCAGGAAAAAACTTATAAAACAGTTCTCTTCTCCTACAATGAGGCAAATCTGGTAGCCAAACTCAGGTCAGGCCTGGATGTTGTCATTTCTTACAGCTGAGCCATTTTGCCAGCCCCCTTTTTTTTGTCCCCTCTTCCCCTTTTGGTTTGTCTTTTAGAGGCAGGGTTTCTTTTGTAGCCCAAGCTGTCCTGAAACTTGTGCAGCACACATGGCTCCTGCATGATGCAACCAGCCTTCTGCACTGAGCCCCTTTTAGACGGAATACGCATCATTCACTGCCTCTTGAGTTGCAACTCCTTTGGGGGTCTCAAATGATCCTTTCCCAGGGGGTCACCTAAGACCGTCCTGACTATCAGATATTTATACTGCAGTTCATAACAGAAACAAGTAATTATGAAGTAGCAATAAAAATCTTATGGCTTGGAGGTATTAGATCAGAGGCTGGGCATTGTAGTGCTGGCACTTGGGAGGCACGGGCAGCCTGTGAGTTTAAGGCCAGCTCCGACTCCAGACCAACCTGAGCCACAGTACGAGAATGAAAAACAAAACACCTAGTGGGGGATAAGCAAAACCCCCAAGACTGGTCAGATGTGGCACACACCTGTGGCACCAGTATAATCTGTCCTCTGTTCAGGGTATGAGAAACCTGTTTTCTTGACTAGATTCTAATCAGCCCTGCCTTTAGGCTAGGATGAAGTGTACAGATTTTGTCTCTTCCCTAGGGTTCCAGGTCATGCCAAGGACTACCTCACTACAAGGCCAAGTTAGTTTCCTCCTTGTATTTAGGAAATCTTAAGGTGGCGAGGCCTTGCTCACACATGCTGCTGAGTTTTGGGCATTGGGTTGACCCCGAATTGACTGACTTGTCTGCTCCAAGCTTCCTGCTGCTGTGCCCTTGGCAGTTTTACTTCTCTCCTGCAAACAGTGCTGTATTTCTGTCTGAGGATTTCCTGGGGACCCAGAGTGGACCTGCTGGGTCCTGAGAGGTGACTCGCAGTTGTTTTTCAAGGGACACTGTTGTCCCACAAGATAAGAGTACCTAGCTGACCCAGGGAACAGCATGCTAGCATACTCTGTAAGGCATTTTTTCTCCCCAAGTGTACACTTTGGGCTTTACAATTCCACTAGATTGGGTCTAAGGGTACAGGACTGTTTCCTCCTGCCAAGCACATACTGAGGTCAAAGGGCCCCTCAGACAGATTACTAGCTGCTCAGCATGTCCCATCTGTCCCCAAGTCAGAACAAACCTATTAGATTAAGACCATTCTCTTCAACACCTGTTTTTTTTTGGAGTTATCAAACAGCATGGCTGTTTGTGCTAGGCAGCGTGATGTTCACATCTCCCAACACTCAGGAGGCAGAGGCAGAGGCAGGTGGAGCTCCAGGACCACTTGGTCTGAATAGTGAGACCTTCACCTTCCTTGTTCATTCTGAGGAATTTCTCCATGAGTCTCACTTGAGCTGGTGGGGACAGCGATCTTGCTATTCTGAAGCATTACTCATGAATACTTCCAGTTTCTTTATCCTGAATGTGGGCACACGTGAAGATTAGAGGACAACTTCATGGATGGAGTTGGTTTTTCCTACCGTGGCTTCTGGGAATCAAACTCCGGGTTCATAGGGCAAATACTGAGCCATCTTGCTGGCCCTGGGTGTTAAACTGTTGTCAAGGGTTCTCCTGTATTTCATGAGTTGCCAGGACTTACGTTGTTCCGGAATGAATATAAAGACCATTTTAGGGAATGGGCTCATCTCTGGCAAATAAGGGATGGATTCTGGATCCATTCAGGCCTACTTGTGTCTCAGAAGGTGACAGCATGGTTGTTTTGCATCTGAGCAGTCAGGCAACTCTGAAGCTAGTCATATGTGTAATCTCCTCATCTTCCTCCTGAGCAATGAGGAGGCCTGTTTTCTCCTGAAGGCCCACTGGTGACACACCCAGCTTCCCTCCTAGTTGAGCACAAAACTAGTCTCATAGGAGACCTCAGCGCCCATCCCCATTCTCCTATAAACAGCCACTGCTACGCTGAGGGTTTATCGTAGAATAGATTTATTTACCTGAAATCATGTCTGTGCAATACCTGTTACCAGCACAGAGAGAAACTGACCTCTATTTCCAGTCTACAGTCAAACATGCACTGTGAGAAGCTGTGAGCTGACGCTGAGCACTTTATTACAGTAAATGCACACAATACTTGTATTGCACCAACATCTGTCTACTGTTTCTGACTTCATTAAATAAATTACATTAATACAGTGTGAAACAGCTGGCTGCACACCCACAAAACAACTCAAGTTAGGCCTATGTTGTAACCATTTGACAGCTGTAGTGTTTTAAATGAATTTATAAATAAGCAAACTGTACAGGGCCAATTAGAAAGCATGTTTCAATGTCACTGCAGAGCAATCTGGCTGCTTACAACTGAAGGCATGCATTACAATTATTATACAGCTATAGAGGCTACGACATTTGTAGAGAAATGTGGAGACTTGGCTGATGGCTTCTGATCTTGGACAAGGGTTCAGAACCTCATTCTTCTTGCAGCAAAGAAACCAAACTTCTCTGGAGGCTGATTCTTTACACTAAACTGTACATTTGCTATTATTCTGATTGAATAGCTAAAACCCCACTGGTATACACATTTCCTCCACATCACACAGTGAGTTGGGAACTGTTTCTATTTTTCTTTTCCCCAACATCAGTCATGCAGAGGGCTGGTAGATGTGTTGCTAACAACGCACATGCACGCACCCGAACACCCTTACATTTCTGCAAATGGTTTAGGAAGCGGTTACTCCAGTATTGCTGAAAAGGAAAAAGAGAGGAAATCAGCTTCTTGAAACAGAGCAATGTTAGAACAACTTCCCAAGACACACCAACAGGGACAGACAGAAAGAACACTGCATTTGTTCTAGATGAAGACCAGCACTCTAAGTGTCCTGGGATGCTATCCTGTCACATCTAAGAAGCAGTGGCTTGGTGACTGTCTTGTGCCTACTGTCCCTGGTTCCTAACAAAGCCCCATGAGGCAGAAACCAGAAGGCATGTCAGGTTCAGGGGCAGCGAGAGTGGGAGGTCTCCGTAGCCATGCAGAGGGTGAGGCAGGTGCAGCAGAGTGAATGGCATGGCACCAGGGGAGGGAAGGCCTTCCTACTCTCTCCCTGTTCTCCATGACAGCAATCCTGGGCTGCAGGCTCAGCTCTGCTTTGAAAGGCTTTTCAACTGCAGGGGCTGGACTTGAACTTGGTGGCTCATGGCAACCATGCTTCTTGGTTTATGGGTATTGTGGGCCTGGAGCCAGTGCTGTGCTTCGACATTCCTGATGTCTGTGACACTACTGGGCTGAGACCCTAGATTAAAGAGGCTATGGTAGCAGTTGCTGTGAGGTGGCAGGCCTTCTCCAGCCCTGGCAGCACCGCCCTAGCTGTTGGGGAATGCATCAGCCACACTTTGCTGAGTGTGTTGCAGGGCTGAACCTTTGATAAGAGCTGAAGTGAGAGGTGACTCAGGAAAACCTTAAAGCTGACTTCCAGGCCAGACTGCCCTAGTGGCTGAGGACAACCCTGTCCATCCATGCACTGCAGTCCCTTCTTGAGGGTGCTGGGTGAAGGGAAGGCTGAGTACCTGCAGGAGGAGGCCTGTGGCCGGGACTATGCTGTTGGCCTTGTCTGTGTCTTTGACCTACTCAATCGTTTTAACACAACACCCAAAAATAGCAACCCTGCTTGATTCCGGAGAATTGTTACTTCCTACAGCACCCAGGCCTTGAACTCAAGGGTGAGTTGCTGAGTTCAGCTGTGACATTCCCTCAGAACCAGGCACTTTTTTCCTGCCTGCCTGCCCCTGTAGCTAAGGGAGCTAGCAGCCCTTAGGTCTTTGTATACCAGGAGGTTGTTTTAATGGCCATGTCCTAGATGCTAAGACATGTAAGTCCTAGAAAGGTAACAAAAATTTCCTACACAGAGTCAGTCAGTATCTAGCTTTACTAGCTTTCTGTAGCCAGTGAAAATTGAAAATTCTTGGCACATTTTTGTAAATTGTCTCTTTGGTACTTGATGACACAGGTCCTCAGCCTGAGGTCAGTCAGGTTACAAGATCCTCTTCCCCACAACTAATAAGAATCACTGTCCTGGGCAGTGTCTACCCTTGAGTCTGTGTGTACTGAGCAGCTGACATCCCTGTTCCCTTAGGAGTGGCTCCTAAGGGAGCCATGCATCCTAGGAGAAACGGGGGCCATTTCATTCGGTGGCATCACCTGTAGACAGGCAACAGCACCCCAATCCCACAGGGAAGATACTCACGTTAGTTGATGGATGTTGGAAGGCATTGGAGGAAAACACCACAGTTAGGACTGTTAATGACTCACACTGCCGTTAAGACTGACCTTGAACATGCGCAAACGTTCATCAGTCATGATGGTGGTGGTTAGTGCCACATTCAAATAAAAATAGTTCTATACAATATGTTCATTTGGTCATGTGCTATTTACAGATTTTACAAAACATACACACACACACACATACGCACACACTTGCCCTTACACCAGGCTACATACAACAGGCCAGCAGAAACTTGCATAAACGTTTATCACATAATAGATCGTGCCTATACATCATAAACAAAATCCAACTATGCAGCAGAACAGGATCCTTCCCCTCAAGAACAGGAAATTAAGGCTCTAAGCTGAGAACCTCAGAGAAATTTGAACTGATTATATAGATAGTTCAAGGTAGGCCATTAAGAACAAGACAGTTATTTTTCTCTGTCCATTTAAAATGTTTTATTTTTCTTTTAAACTAGATTGTGAAGTGCCACTGAATAGGCAATGTTGGCAAAACAATGTCTGTTACAATAAAATACATTAGACATTTAAATAAATAACCTTAAAAACTAGGCGAAGGGACAGAAACCCAGTCGATTTAAATCTGGAGCAATGTTTTCTGCACAAGCGAGAACAGGCAAACCTCTAGTGAAGACGGATGTAAACAGAACCATCAGACCTACAGAAGAAGCCGAGCGGGCTGGGATGGGCTGGGGGTGACAGAGGCTGAGGGTGCAGGGAGTGGCAAACCAAAAATACTGACTGAGGTAGCAGGACTCTGCCCAGTGCAGAAAAATTGGCTTATGAGTAAAAATTAGACTGTGATATCAAATTAAATCCAGAGAATCATGCAAAAGACACAATACATGCTATTTAGTTTTTTTTTTTCTTTTAAAAACCACACACATTCATTTCCTAAAGTCTGCTGCCAATTAATTTGCTGACAATGTCTGCTGGCTCAACTATCTTTGTACAAGAATGAGTATTAAACAGAACACTGTACATGCTTTTTCATCTACAAAAAAATATCTGCATAAAATAGTGTTAGTTCTCTGTACATGTCAATGGACACTTTAATTATGTGTATAAAAAAAAGGAAAATCTTGTCCCACTGGAGTCAGAAAAAGCAAAACAAAATCTAGAATATGAAACCTCCTTCACCAGCCAATATGTTCATGTGAAAATTCAGCAGAAATAGACAGTTGCTTTAAACAATAAAAAATTAATTGATTAAGTTAAACATCTTCTGTATGTAGCGCTGTCAGTCAAGACCAGAACATATCACTAAAGTTAGTGTCTGTGCTGTAGACCCAGACCACCAGGGGCATAATGAGCAGCACAAACGGCCAGGAAATGCCATCGGTGCATGCCGACAGCGAGCAGGAGGATTTGGTGGCAGGCTGCACACACTCTTTACCGGGTTCCAGGTAGTTTCGGGCCACAAATTTAAGCGTCTCATCCATGAGGATCACAGGCAAGGAGATTTTCAGCACCATCAGCCACTGGGTCAGATTCAAAGGTGTGATCTGGAAGATGAGCTGAGACAAACAAGGCCTCCGTCAAGCTTCTGGACAGGCCCCAAAGGGGCCACACCAGACCCAGCCTGGGGTGGACAGTGACTTACTGGCAAAGGTTCCACGTAGAGGATCAGGAAGTGAAGTGACATGGACAGGCAGATGGAGCCCACCAGCCAGATATTCTCCCAGGGGGGCATCCTCAGCAAGGACTGGTTTTCAGACAAGCTAAGGGTGACAGGATGACACAGAAGGGGGCTAGTCAGTAAGGCAGTTTTAGCAACTCGTGCTGACCTAAGGCCTGGATTTCCCGCAGTGTGGTGAACCATGGCTTCAGCACAAGAGGTACATCTTGGCAGGCTCAAAGTTGCTGGCAATAGCCAGCAGCTTTTGCAGTGGCTTGGTTGACCTCTTGTGCTCCCTGGGGTGCAGGCCTCACTGGGCCTGCCAGTCCCATTATTAGCCCACTGCCAGGAACTTAAAACTGCCCTTTTCTGGGATCAAAGAGCTTTACTAGCAAACCCTCAGCCCACTAACCTGTTGAGGGCATTACACATCTCTATGGTTACGAGAACAGAAAGTGCCATTGTCATTGGGTATGGGGACTCAAAGATTGCACAGTCCACTCCATCGAAGTCTGGGTTGTCCTCTTTACACTGTAGGAAATGACTCTGCAACAGAAGTCCAGACACACTCCATTAACCAGGGTATTTCCCTAGCCCAGACACCCAATTCCATACCCCAGCACCAACATGAGACCTTGGCTAAGCCTTGGGTCTCAGAGCCACCTGAGGCAACTGTTTAAGCCCTAAAATGATCCTACACCACAGAAAGACCAAGGGCTTCCAATATAATTCACTCTACACTAAACAGAACAGAAAAAAGGAAGAGAGAAAACTGATTAAATACCAGCTGGTAGAAGGACACTCTCGGACCACCATCAGCAGCGATGAACCACCACGCAGCAGCACCCACAGTGGCAGCGCCAACGTAACCTGCAAATAATAAACGTCACTGCTTATACACCCAGGGCTGTGGACAGCACTACGCGCTGCAGGTCAACACCTGGTCTACCTGCAGGGTGTTTCTGGTCTAAAGCAATCAGGCAATCTCTGGATCTCTGGAACTGAATCCACTCAGTCTCTGCACAACGTGCCAGAGCTACAGAGCAAGCACAGGCATGCTGCTTGACCACAGGTGTACAGGCACTCCCCATCAGGCAGAGGACAGTGTGGGGACCAAGTCACACCACTATTTTATAGGTAAATTGATGTGACCTTGTTGAACACTATGTAGCTGCTTTGTTTCATCAATGGCCTAGCACAACCCTTCAAAAGAACTGCTGGGTCTATGAGGAGGCTATTCCTCATCAACTGTAATTATGGAATTGATCACAAAGGTGAGAACAGTCAACCCCCTGTGGTTGCAGTCACCCAAGTGCAGAGCACGCACTGGCTAACCTGGAAATTACAACGGTGCTTGGGACACCAGTTAAAAGGCAACAGATAGACCTTCCCCTTCCTGTGAGGGAGTTCCCTATCTGATCTCCAAAGGGCACCTTGTTAACAAGACCAAGGCCAAAGGACTGGCAAGCCAAGAGCCAAGGTGCTCTAGACTGTTGAGAGCAGTGTATGCATTATGCAAACAAAATGCCTTCCTTCCTATGGGTCCCAAGGCAGTGGCTTCACTTCTCTGGGCATTGCTTCCCTAACTGTGACAGAGAACACTGGACTAGCCTGTTAGGGGGACCCCACCTGTTCCCTTGGTGGTAATCACATTCCTTTCTCAGCCTGCAGGCCTGGAGAGGGAGGGACCTTGGCCTGTCTTGATGCTCAACAAGGACTTCAAGGAGGCTCTAAGGAAACCTGCACTGCCAGGGGTATCCTCCCAACAGAAACAACAAACAACTACTCACAGCCAATAGCCAGGTAACGGAAAAAGAGCCACCCGCTGATCAAGGGTTCTTTTGGGTTCCGGGGTGGTTTGTTCATGATGTCCAGGTCTGGAGGATTGAACCCCAGTGCAGTGGCAGGCAGACCATCTGTCACCAGATTGACCCAGAGGAGCTGGACAGGAATCAAAGCCTCAGGAAAACCAAGGGCCGCCGTCAGGAAAATACTGTTTCCATCCAAGGGAAGGAGAGAAGGAACACAGTGACTTGGAGAACTATGGAAGCCTCATTTTGCCACAAGCACCAAACAACATATATACTCCACCAACACTGATAGGAAACTTAAGAGGGCCAAGACTTTCGTGAGTTTAAACTCCTGAGGTAAACCAAATCCTGTGTTTGTTAGGTTTTCTTTTTCTTTTTTCAAGTTTTTCAAGACAGGGTTTCTCTGTGTAGACCAGGCTGGCCTTGATTCCGCCTCTGGAGTGCTGGGATTGAGGCCTGAGCCACCATGCCCACCTTAATCCCTGTCTTAAGGAATATTCTCTACAACCCGGGCAGCTACAGACAGCACCACAGACTTTCCTCCACTCAGGCTAATAACCAAAGTTGCCACAACAGAAGCAGCCAACTGAGAAAGCCCAACACCCTAGGCCCAGCTTTGAAAGACAGACCATACTCCTAGTCAGGAACCCACCAGACCACTTCCCCGACGTTGGATGAGATGAGGTATCGGATGAACTGCTTCATGTTGTTGTAGATGGCTCGACCCTCCTCAACAGCAGCCACGATGGTGGAAAAGTTGTCATCTGCCAGGACCATCTCAGAGGCAGTCTTGGCCACTGCAGTACCTGAACCCATGGCAATGCCAATTTCAGATTTCTTCAGAGCAGGGGCATCATTCACACCATCACCAGTCTGAAAAGGTAAGTCACAGATGATTCAGACATCACCACATGGTATACCTCTGGGCAGAGGCAGACTGACAGCAGCAGAAGGAAACGGAATAGAGCAGGAGTCAAAACCCTTTGCTAGGAACACGTCAAAGTGGCCTGGTAAGCTCACCAGAATCAAGGGACTGCTTGGATTGTCTTACATCAACACTCAAAACTCAAGAGCCATCTGTGGTATGGCCACATAATTTAAAGTCATACCTCAAACACAAACTTAGATATTAAATATTGGTTATAGATTAAAAATACCCCACTTTTTTTTTTTTTTTTTTTTTAAAGAAAGAGGATCTCAACAGGTAGCTTCAGCCTCCTAAGTGCCAGAATTACAGGCATGCACTGCCACAACTAAATGGATCTGATGTTTGTGCCATGTGAACCACTGCTCCTGTCTAAAACCTTACCATAGCTGTGATCTCATCAAAGGACTGAAGGAACTCAACGATCTTAGACTTGTGGGAAGGTTCAACTCGAGCAAAACATCGGGCATTCAAGCAGGCATCTCTCTGGGCTGAGGGGCTGAGCTCATCAAACTCCCGCCCTGTAAAAGCCTTTGATGTCACATCCTCATCCTGCCCAAAAATACCAATGCGGCGACAGATGGCCACAGCAGTGCCCTTGTTGTCCCCGGTGATCATGATGACACGGATGCCTGCTTGCCGGCATAGCTTCACAGAAGAGGCCACTTCAATCCTGGGAGGGTCCAGCATGCCCACACAGCCAACAAAAGTCAGATTGGTCTAAAGTAAGAGAGCCACTGTGAGTTCAAACAGCTTATCACCATTAGAGGTCTAGCTGCTCTTACTACAACTCTTAACTTTGACACTTTCTGCTTGCCCTTTATTGAAGCAAGGTCTCACTCTATCTAGTCTTACCGACACTTGTAGCAAGCGGTCTTCTTGCCTCAGCCTGAAGGAACAGAAGATTGAACACAGGGTTTTGCTCATGCTCAGTGTTCTACCACTGGCCACACCCTTACTCTAGTATTAAGAAAATAATACCCTTGTCACCAGATTATTCTAAATTCTCACATTCTGTAAGGAATTTATCCAGGGAAAAAACCCAAAACAGTGTGCTAAAGAGTAAGTGGGAGCACTTGGACACTGGCAATGTTGGTGCTACGTCAAAGCTCATTCTGCTTAGGTGGTCACAAATTCTGACATGAAACTCATGGAGGAAGTGGAAATGAATCTCTCAGCTTGTATATTTTTATCATAACCTAATGTTTTTAATGGATACTAAGCTTTACAAGCTTGTGTAAACTTGTCTTGATTATTAAGTCCTATTTCTGTCTGAAGCAACAACCTAAAGATGACCTGCCCACGACATCTGCCTATCTTCTGGATGCAGCACAGGCTGGCGTAGGTACCTCATACTTGATGAAGTTGGCCGAGTCTTCCAGGTGCATTTCCTCTCTCCTCAGTGGGTTGTCATGAGTGGCCAGAGCCAGGCACCGCAACGTGTCACTGCCACTGCCCCACTCCCGAATGACAGACATAATCTTCTGTTTGACACCAGGAGTCATGGGGACCTTGGTACTTCCAACTCGGATGTGGGTACACCTGTCGATGACACCTTCGGGAGCACCCTGAGAATGTGAGATTCAGGTAAGTAATTGTATCTGCCTATTTACCTGATGAGAAAGCCTCTGTCTGTGCAATACTTGCCTTCACAAACATCTTGCTCATTGATGTCCGGCTTGGTTTGTTTGGTGTACAGTAGACAGACATAGATTTTCTATCACGTGAAAACTCTAGAGTAAATTCCTTCTTCATCAGTTGTTTTATGACCTATAGGAAATCAGAGATGGAACACTGTTGGAGTACTATTTCTACACATTTTACATGTACTCAGATACTCGTTATATGACACCCCAAGCCCTGTTCAAATATCTTTACCATGTCAGCACAAACAGCAATGAACAAGAGAGCAAGTCCCATACCTTCATAAAAGTGTCCTCGACTTTGGGAATAGATCAGAATGTAAAATTAAGATATACTGAATGCCACAGAGGGAAAAAAAAATGTGCAGAAAGACACTGGAGGACTTTAAACATTGGCTAGTGATTAAGACCTATCTGAAGGGCTGGTCTGGTGCTGCATGGCTATAAACCTAGCAACTGGGAAGCCAAGGCAGGAGGATATCAAGTTCAGGGACTGTCCCAGCTACACAGTGATAATGCATTTGAAAACAATTTCTTAAAGGGAGACACAGAGTACCATTTCACAGTGTCAGTTAGTTGACCAGGCCAATGGCATTGGGTGTGGGTCCAGAGTTGGCTCTCCAAAACTTTGCATTCATACTGTACTGGCAAGTTTTTTTTTTTTTTTTTTTTTTTTTTTTTTGGAGTTCAAGACAGATCTCTTTTTGGAATGATCTGTATGAATGTGAAAATGGTAAAGTGCCCCCATCCCCAAAAACACAGAGACAGAGGAAGGCAGGCAAGCAGACTGGTTGTGGTGGCTCATGCCTTTAATTCCAGCAGAGAGGCAGAAGCAGACAGATCTCCTAGTTTGGGTCAGTCTGATCTATAGAGCAACACCCAGGGCAGCAGGGCTATACAAACAATGTCTTGAAAAACAAAAACAAAGGGAAAAAATGATAACAAGCAGCAACAAATATAAAATGTTTTGATACATTACAAACATTACTGATTTTTTTCCCATCTTAAGCCATTAGGCTGATTTCTGGGATGTGTTGAAATTTGTATTTCTAGGTTTTGTAAAAAAAAAAAAAAAAAAAAAAAAAAATTATTCTTTTGATTTTTGTTTTGCCTGCATACACGTCTGTAACAAAGGGTTGGATACCCTGAAACTGGATGGAGTTACTGTAGTTGTGAGTTGCCATGTGGGTGCTGGGAACTGAATCCAGGTCCTCTGGAAGAGCAGTCAGTGCTCTTAACCAAGGAACCTTATCTCCAGCACACTGCCGCCCTCTGTCCCCATTTTAATTTTGTGTGTATAAGTGTTTTGCCTACATGTATGTCCGTGCACCACATGTGGAGACCAGAAGAGAACCTCTGGTCCTCTGAAACAGGAGGTACAAAACAGTTCTTAGCTGCTGTGTGTTGGGAATCAAATCCAGGCCCTCTAAAAGACTGGCCATTGTTCTTAAAGGAGCTCTCTCTTCAGCTCAAAATCCACACCTGTAACTGCTGACTTGTCTATTTTGTTACATCTAACAAATACAGACACTGTAACCACTGGATTTTGCACAAGGCTAAAGTGACTCATAAGAGGTTCCAGTGCACAGGTAGAGGCAAGAACTTGAATGGAATGGATCTAACAGGAGTGAAAAAGGATTAATACATTACAACAGTTCTTTTCATTGAGTTAAACAAATGGATAGCAAATGAAAATTAGGGTAAAGGACAGTTCTAAGTTAAAAAAGCATAGTTATTTTCTCTATGCTGCTGATGAAGAGCTAGCTAGCAGAGACAAGAACAGAAATACAGACAGGAGGGGCTCATAGGATGCTCATAACTTCTTGGGTAGCCCTTTTGCCATACCTGTGACAATTTACTAATGACTGCCTTTTTTTTGGGGGGGGGGTGATTTGGTTTTATTAGTCTAACTCTACAACCTGTGGCAATCCTCCTGGACTTAGCTTCCTGAGTGCTAGGATTACATTAGGTTGAACGAACACGTTACCTGACTGTAACTGTCAGGAAAAAATGCAGGAGAGCAAAGGTATAAACAGAAGTGCAGAGGTCAAGAGGACAGTGAATGTATATGGTTAAGGTTAAGAGACACAGCACACCAAGCTCAATACTGACCGAGTTGCAGGCATTTGCACGCTCTATTTTAGACAGTCCCTTCAGTTCAGTATCAAATACGTTCATTTTCTCTACCAGGCAAGTGAGAGCAGTCTCTGTGGCTTCTCCAACTTTTTCATATACACCCTTTGCCTGCATTGTCGAAAAAAAATCATTGTCAGTAGGACAGCCTGTTCCACTGAAGGTATAATCACGAGACACTACCATAAGTTTATTAATGTGTTTTCTCATTTAAAGTATTTATTCATTTCAGGCCACTATTTCTTATTCTGATGGGTTAGCACCCTCTGACAGGAAAGGCTTTCTTTGAGAAAGAAAGCAAATGATTAACCCCATCATTTAACTTAAAAAGCTTTCTCTTGGCAACAATTCTTTACCACCACCACAACAACCCAGTTAAGTTTCATGCTTTCCTCAAGGATATGCAACAATTCATGTTTAAGAGTACAATCATCACTCCCATTGCCAGAGACTTCTAGTCTAAGTTCTTGTTTTTAAGGAAGGATGCATCATGGTCAGAATATTACAACACACTACTGTCCTAGTAAAACACTACAGTGCCCAGTCTCAGACCTCTTCAGCCAGGCCACATTGAAGAGAAATAGGAAGTAAATCAGGAACTTGTTTTCCACCCACCCTAACCTTGAGCCAGGGGCAGACTTCTTTCCCATTAGGGGTCTTACCTCATTATAATCCAAAGCAGAGTCATTACACAGAGCACAGATCGTTGCTAACTCTACAAGCCCATCATACTGATGGCATTTCACTGGCTTATCATCTTTATGCCTATCAAAAAAGAGAACATTTCTGGATCACAGCTTGCCTCAACTTAGATAAAAAGTTGTGTGATAGGCTGTGGTTGTGTGTCACAATGGAGGTGTGTGTAGAGAAGAGTCAGAGGACAAATAGTGAAAGGTTTTCTCCTACCATTTGGGTACCTGAGATGGAACTCCCTATCACCTCTACAGGGAAAGTGCCTTTATACTCAGCATCCCATCGGTTTGTTCCAGGATAACCCTGCACTTCTGTTCTTCCTGCCTGAACCCATAGCTGCTGGGATTACAGGTGTGTAACAATACTGACACAGCCTCCCAAAGATGAGAATATAAGTTTGGGGAGAACAGATTGGGACAGATTCAAAAGAATTTGAATGACAACTCTTTGAAATGTAATGAGACCAGAAATTCTCCCTGAAACTCTACTAGGGGTAAGTGAAGAACAAAATAGAGCCCTCATCAGATCTAGGCTTCAGATGGTACTCTACTACTATAAAAACAAAACAACAACAAAAAAACAAAAACAAAAAAAACACACACACACAAAAAAAAAAAAACCAAACCACTAATTTGAGCCACAGTCAGTTATCTTAGCTATATAGTTCCTTTGTGTGTATATGTGTACTTTTGAGACAGGTTTTCATGCAGACCTGGCTGGCTGTGATCTCCTGACCTGCCACACTCCATTGTTTATCCAGTGGTGCTGAGGATTAATGCAAGGCTTCAGGTATGCTAGGCATACCTTAGTTCTAATACTAATCCACACCTCTGCCAGCATCAAGATTGTTCTAGCTCCATTCCTTGTAATGGATCTAAAGAACCAATCTCTACAATGACACAGTACAGTCTGCAGAGAAAGGAAGTTACTCACACTTCTCCAATGGGGGCGTATGTTGATCCAGTTATAGTAAACTCATTAAGGGAACAAGTATCACCTTCGACTTTGTCCAGAATGAACATCTATAATGAAATACAGAATACAAGTACTGAGAAGACACACATAGAACCATTCCTTGTATCATTTAAGATGGTGGTTTGAACAATGCTGCTCCTCACTTAAATAAACAAATGGTCTTCAACCTAAATGTCTAAACAGTGATGCAGTCTAAGATAACCCAAAGAAAGATACAGGGATTCAGAAATCAGTAAAAGGTCAGGCTAAACACTACAGTTAATTCAAAATCAAATAGCTGAGAAAGTATTATTACACAGCCTTGCTTAAGAAACAGGCAGAAAAGCTCAGTTAAAAGACACATTTCAGAGTCAAATACTCCTTGAGTAAAGACAGAATGAATCGGTGCGCCCTTTCTCATCCAGAGGCTGACCTGGATGGGTCTCACCATGTAGACTGGCCTCAAATTTGAGATTCACTTGACTTCCCAGTGTTGGAATACTCATCTTATAGAAAAATAATAGGAAAAGCAGGTTCAAGATTACACAATTACTAAGTGAAACAGTGAAGCTTGGGTTAATCACCAATCTTTGCTAAGAAAAATGTAACTTCACTTTTACTGAAAATTTGACCCACATCCACCACTTAAAGATTCTTTGTTTTAGCCTCAAGTAGGCATATGCCACCTCACCTAACTTCTCAGTTCTTTTGTGTTCTTCTTTAACTATGACAGCATCTCACTTAGCCCAGGCTAGCCTCAAACTCACTGTGTAGCCAAAGACAATCTTGACACTCTGCTCTTGTTGCCTCCATCTGCAGGAGCTGGGACTATGCTGTGGGTCACTGTGCCTACTCTCAGTTCTTACTGTTCTGGGACCACATTTAAAGGCTTCCTTATTTTACTTCAAACAAGGTAAGAAAGGTGGGGCTAACCTGACCAAATATGCCAAGTCATAAAGCAAGTATTTGCTGTTCAGGGAGGAATCATTTCATTTAGTATGGAATGGAAATAATAATCAGGAATTCAGCAGGAGGTTAACTATTTTTCTTTTGGAACATATTTAAGAGACAGAGGATCAAGCCTACAGTTATTTCTTTGATAGAAATTTATAAGATGTATAGCTACCTTGTACTTCCCAAGACCATTCAGAAATGAATCTTTTAACATATTTGTGTGTCGAGTGCATGCAGAGGTCAGAGGATAACTTCAGGATTCAGTTCTCTCCTTCCAATAAGTGGGGTCCCCTCCCAGATTGCACTCAGGCCACCAGGAGTGGCATCAAGGGCTTGAAGCCATTTAGCTTCTTGCCAGTCCCAGTTTGGTAGCTGAATGATTCATTTCTCTCAGGTAGTTACACTTGGCTTAGGTCTTACAAAACCCTTAGAACAGTGGCAAATTATCAACCAAAGGTTTTGATGGCATAAACCACAGTCTAATGAAGAGCCTGGAAAACACCCAGGAGTCACAAAGGACACTCCTTACTTACCCTGCAGACTGACATCTGGTTTGTGGTGAGTGTGCCTGTCTTGTCTGAGCAGATAACAGAAGTGCAACCAAGGGTTTCCACAGAAGGCAAACTTCGAACAATAGCATTTTTCTTTGCCATCCTACGAGTTCCAAGAGCCAAGCAGGTGGTGATGACAGCAGGCAGACCCTCTGGGATGGCAGCGACAGCCAGGGCCACTGCAATCTTAAAGTAGTAGATAGCACCTCTGATCCATGAGCCCCCATGAACTGGGTCATTGAAATGTCCAATGTTTATGATCCAGACTGCAATGCAAATGAGGGAGATAACTTTGGAAAGTTGCTCCCCAAACTCATCTAGCTTCTGCTGTAGGGGTGTTCTCTCCTGTTCTGTTGCAACCATTTCATCTCGGATCTTGCCAATTTCAGTATTGACTCCGGTTGCCACCACCACTCCCATAGCTTTCCCAGCAGCAATGTTTGTACCCTAGGGAGAAGCAGAGGAAAGCTGGTCATAAGATCAACACCACCTTAAATACTAACCAGTATACTGACTGGATTCCGCAGTACCTATTCACCCAATGGGACAGGACAGCTCTCTGCAATGGAACCTGGTCTACAGACCTCTCTGCTTAGCAGTACCTCCAACTACTATAATCTCAAATTCCATGCAGCTCTCAGTACCATGGGCTCTTGTATCTTAGTTTCTGGCTCCAAAGGTCTTCCTCTCCTACTTTTGTCATCTAAAATGGACAATCAGCCCACACTCTCTTAATAAGCAGCAAAGCCCATCCCTTAAAATACTAATCTAAATTCTAAATAATAAAAATTTAGAATCTGCACTACTTGAAAAAATTTCATACCAAGAAAACAACCATGTACTTTTCACCTAGGCTCGCCAAATGGAATGCCATGTTGGCTCTTTCCAAACACATATGTGTTTTAAAATCATAGGCCATAAACAACAGCAATGCTCACATTTGAAAAGCACCTTGTATAAGCTTAAAGACTTTTCTGAAAAGGTTACTTTTCAACTGTTACATACTGAGTTTAAACATTTCTGCCCTAGTCATTTCATTACCAGGAAACAAAACAGACGCTGCCATTTTACAACAATTTCTAGTTGTTTATTTGCTTTACTGCTAAAGACCGAACCAAGCAGGTCCTTCAGCACATTAAGCTCAGTGTCATCCCCAGCTGAGACACACGGTAAAGAATAATTATAAAATACTTGGGTTATTCCAAAAGATAAAGTCTGACCACTGAAAAAGTCTGTGGTGGCTTGAAAGTGTCCCCCATAGACCCAGGGAGTGGCAGTTATTGGAGGTGTGGCCTTGAGGTTTCAGAAACTCATGCCAGGCATAGTAGCTCACTGTCTCTTCCTGTGGATCCAGATGTAGAACTCTCAGCTACCTCTCCAGCACCTTGTCTGTCTGCACGCCACCATGCTTCCTTCCATGGTAACAATGGACTAAACCTCTGAACTGTAAGCCAGCCCCAATTAAATGTTTTCCTGTAAGAATTGCCCTGGTCTTGTCTTTTTGCAGTGATAAAAATCCTGAGACAAGGACTACCTACAAATAAAAGAATGTTCTTATATAAAGGTGAAGCATGGTAGAGTTTAGACAAGCTAGGGCCTACCATGTGAGACTCTGGGTTCAACTCCCAGCAATACCACCCAAACATCTGATAAAACTCACAGAAAAGAGCATGTTCTTTTTATCTTGATTGACAGCTCGTGGGTCAGGGACAGGGTCAGTGTGCTTGATGACAGAAACAGATTCACCTAAGCAGGTTATGAGACAAGAAGGTTAGCTCTGTTTATGGTATACCCAATCTTGGTAACCCTCACCCACACCAACCCATTCCCACTTTTTACCACTGCCAATGTGGGCAGTTATGGTGGCACACACCTGTAATCCCAACATACAGGATGTTATGGCAGGAGGATGATTTTCAAATTCAAGGCCACATGAGCTATACATACCCAGTTTGAGGGATGATCAATACAAGGAGACCCAGACTCCAACCAAATCACCAAAAGTGCATATTCATTGCCAATATGCAAAAACAAGCAAAGGGCTCAATCTGTTCAAAGCAGCCAAACTAGGAAAATTTTGCAATGGAAACTAATGTCAGAGTAAAGACTATCAATTTTAAAATACAGACCTGCTAGGAGGTGATGGCACATGAGCCTTTAACCCCAGCAGGGGTGGGGGTGGGCGGGCAATAACAGGCAGATTTCTGAGTTCCAAGACAACCTGGTCTACAAGTTCCAGGGCAGCCAAGGCTACACTGAGAAAGCTTGCCTTGAAAAACCAAAAGATTGATTAATTAATTAGTCAACCACTTTCATTTCCTAGGATAGTCAAATAATTGGTTGACAAAGGTATGTTTTCTATTTTGACCTTTGTGTACGGACATTCAATTGGGCCTGGAATGTAGCTCAGCTGATAGAGAGCTTGCTTAGCATGCAAAATTTTAGGGTTTTTTGTTTGTTTTTTGAGACAGGGTTTCTCTGTATTGATTTGGAGCCTGGCCTGGAACTTGCTCTGTAGACCAGGCTGGCCTTGAACTCACAGAGATCCACCTGCCCCTGCCTCCTGCACACCATGTGCCTGGAGATCACAATATGGTATTGGATCCCCTGGAATTGAAGTTATGGACAGCTGCATGCCACCATGTGGGTGCGGGGGATCGAACCTGGATACTCTGTAAGAAGAGTAAGTGCTCTTAACCGCTAAGTCATTATTCCCACAGAAAACTAACTTGAAAACTTCTCTAACAAATTAAGTATCTTAGAGAGGATTAGGGTAGGATGCCATAAAGGGGCAGTGGCCTCTAGTAGCTGTTAGATAAGAAGCTTCAAAACTTGAATGAATTTTCTACTGTGTACTACTTACCGGTGAGAATTGACTGGTCAACTCTTAGAGTTGTAGACTTGATAGAAGTTAATCTTATATCAGCAGGAACTTTGTCACCAACTAACAGATTAAGGGGGGGGGGGGGGGGAAGGCATTTCATAAAGTGAAATTGTTTCCAAATCAAACAATTTAAAAAGCAAATATCTTGCATATAATGCAAAAGAATACATTTCTACTTCTGAGCAGAGTGAACAGATTAAGGGCAGAATACCACCAGTGCACAATTCAATGTAGATTACATTTAAAGCCAGCTAGATGGGGGCAAGGGCTTAGTAGAGTGGTTACCTAGCAGCATGGAGCCCTGGGCTCTCTAGAACCGACTGGCTACCTCTGGTATATATACATGGGTAATCCCAAACAGAAACTCAAGACTTGGCTATACGTGAATTTGAGGCACTCAGGCACACACACACTCTGAATAGATTTAAAATATACAGGAAGGTAATGTTTTAGAAAACCTAAACACACGTGATGCTAAAAGATACTTAATCATGCATGTACACAAGGTTCCAAGCATTTACTCTGAACACTTAGCAATACACCAAGCAATACAATTAGACCCATGGGGGTCTAAGAAAAGCAACAATATTAACAAGAAAAATGGTTCTAAAAAGATGATCAATTACTTCATAACACAAACACAAAACAGTAGAAATAGTATTTAACTTTCAAGTGGCAAGAAATAAGAAAATAGACCTGAGTCAAAGATAAATGGAAACAGTCTTGTATCACAAGATCTAAACACTTTTCCAGCTTTAGTGGGGTTGAAAACAAAACAAGGCTGGGGAGATGATCATTAAAGCTTGTCATGCAAACCAAGAAACCTAAGTTCAGTCCTCAGAACCTATAAAAAGATGAAAGAATCAACTCCACAAAGTTGTCCCCCACCCCAGTAACAACAAAAACCTTAAGAAATTAGGTTAAAAAAATATAGATAGATAGATAGATAGATGATAGATGATAGATGATGGGTGAGTCTGTGAGATGGTTCAGGTGGTAAAGGCATTGATCCCAGGGTTCCCACAATGAAAGGAAAGAACAAGATGCATATAATGTCACCCAACTCTCTCTATGTAAAACTAGCTTATTTATTATCACAGTTCATCTGTTGTGTCCAGACATTGTAAAATACAAGACACAGGGGGTGACACAGACACGGCTTTTCTTGTCTAAAAGCTGCAGTGTACGCTGTTCTGACTCCACAAATTCTTATTTTATAGACTTTACAGAGTGTATTTTTATGGCTTTGCTCAAGCATTTTGTAAACAATGAAAGTTGTGACAACTTTAATACCTACACTACAGTGACATTTCCAAAGATACCTGCACATTACATGGAAAAAATCACAGATAACAACCACACACACAGAGCTGAGAGCGGTAAAGATAACAAGCGAGAAACGCGGGGTTTCCAGGTCAGTGGAGAGACATTTCACCTTAGAACCTTTGCTACCTTTTAAATTATCAAAAAATGAATAAATCTCTTGCATAACCTGAAGATCTTTCAGTCAACATTTTCTTTCCTGGGTAAAGGGTTCCTTTAATAGGGCTCTAGGCTGAGCCCTCAAGCCTTTGGTATGCATAAAACAAAATGATATAATAATATACCCATTAGCAGACAAAAGAAAAATTCCATGTACTTCCTGAAAACAGTACCCAGAACACTGTAATCTTCAAATGCTGTCCAAAAAAATACACATCTTCGTTTAAACTAGACCTTTAAAGAGGACGGGAACTGGGCGTGCTCAGCAGATTGCTTAGCAGCGCCTGTGACTGCCTCCAGCCTCAAAGTGCGAAACTTCCCATGATGTTCTGAAAGGCAACCAAAGTGGTTTAAAAAAAAAAAAAACAAAAAAACAAAATGGCAAACTTGCCATCCTATCCAAGAAGTAAACCCTGCACTTGTTAATTATCTATTCTTCAGAGCTTTACCCAAGGAGAATGTAAGCTAACTCTATCTCTCTTTTTATTTTTGTTTTGTTTTTTCAAGACAGGGTTTCTCTGCTTAGCTCTGGCTGTCCTGAAACTTACTCTGTTTACCAGGCTGGCCTCAAACTCAAATCTACTTGGCCCCTGCCTGCCAAATGCTGAGATTAAAGGTGTGAGACCCCACCACAACCTAGACCACTAACTTAAAAAAAAAAAAAAAATTCAATATAGTAGTTTTCAATCTTCCTAATTCTTCAACCCTTTAATACAGTTCCTCATGTTGTTGTGACCCCAAACAAAATTTTCACTGCTACTTCCTAGCTGTAATTTTGCTGTTATGAACTTTAAGAATCTACTAAGCAGAATATCTGATATATGACCACTGTGGAGGGATAGTTTGATCCACAGGTTGAGAATCGCTATTTTAGTACATACAATAAGCCTACTCCTAAGAAAGCAGAGTGGCACAGAAAGAGCTAGTAGGTCCCAGATCTCCAGGGACAAAGATCATCCTTGCATGTGACTGCAAGGACACACATGTGAAGGTAGAATTCCTGCTGGAAATGCTTATGCAATCAACAGCAATAATCCAACCAAATAAAATCTTTCACTAACTGTTCAGGGTATACCCCCAGGAATACATCCAAATGATTAAGACATTAAAACGAAACAAAAGGGGCCGGACAGTGGTGGTGCACACCTTTAATCCCAGCACTCAGGGAGGCAGAGGTAGGTGGGTCTTTGTGCGTTCTAGGCCAGGCTTAGTCTATAGAGTTGAGTTCCAGGACAGCCAGGGCTGTTACACTGAGAAACCCTGTCTTGAAAAACAAACTGACAAAAAAACCCAAAACAGATGAGATGGGGGTTGATGGAGGGACCGGGACCGGGGGTGGGGGGACTGGCATGTAAAACAAGCTTAAATTAAAAAAAAAAAAAAAAAAAAAAATTCCCCACAAGATACAAACAAACAAACAAACAAAAAAAAAATCCTCTTGCTCAGCCTAAGTGCCTAGTTAGGTATGCCACCATACTATACTATCTTAATTGTCTTATTTCTGAATATCATAAGCTAATCTGATTCCCTGCCTTTCAACATTGTGAAATAAGTACAAGGTCAAAGGAAAGTATTCTAACCTGTAAATAGAAAATTTCAAATGTTCCTTTGATGTCTGAGATTACTTATGTAACCGTCCTATGAGAACTCAGACAAGACTTTTGTCCAACATGGCAGGGGAGTTTGCAAACTACAACTGATGTCATGCTTCTGCACTGTAACTGATGGAGAACATGTAGCTGTATTTACAAACTTCCATCTAGGGGAGCTGGAGAGAGAACTCAGAGGTTAAGAGACTGGGTTCAATTCCCAATATCTACATGGTGGTTCACAACTACCTTTAATTCTAATTCCAAGGGATCCCATGCCCTCTTCTGGAGTCTTTGGAAATATGGTAAATAGACAAATGAGCAGGTAAAACATCTATACAGCAAAGAAAATTTTTTGTGTCTAATGCTGGCTAGACAGCTCATGAGGTAAAGCTCCTACAGAGCAATCTGAGGACCTGAGTTTAATCCCTGGATCTCATGGTAGAGAGAACCAACATCCATACTCTGTTGCACACAGAGCCACCATATGCACACACATTACACAAACATCACAATAAAACAGAAATGGTCAAATACAATGGTACACACTTTTAAACCTAGTATTCAGGAGGCAGAATCAGATCTGTGAGTTTGAGGTCAACTTATTCCTTATAGTGAATTCCAAGACAGCAAAAACTACATAGTGAGACCATGCCTCCTCAACACCCTCCACAAAAAAGGTGGGGGTGGGGAAAGAAATGGGGCATGAGTGTCTATGCTCCTGTGTGTGTGCGCGCGCGCGTGTAGGCCAAAGAAGAGACATCAATCAGATCCCTTGGAACTAGGGTTGCAGCTGGTTGTAATATATAGTACCCCACATAGGTACTAGGAACCCAACTCTGGTCTTCTGGTAGAGCACGTAGTACTCTCAACTGACAAACCATCTCTCTACTTTCACTATTGTGCTAAACACTGACCCAAGGCCATGCATATGCTAGGCAAGTGTCCTCTGTTACTCATTGCTGAGCTATTTACAAATCCTTGCTTTTATGAAGGTCTCATACATGGTTCAGACTCTCTTGTTTTTCTCTAGGCCTGTACCTCCACATCCAGAAACAAATGCACAAGTTAAAGTGTCTGAATAACAGTATTACAGTAAGGTAGAACTAACACCCATATATACATGCTAAAAGAAAAATGTTAACGCTGGCATTATGAATTTAACTACCCTTCCCCTAAAGGTATAGTTAATATATGAAGGTTGACACTTTGCTGTTTAACATACATTGCTATTCACTGAACTGTTGACCAAACCATGCTGAAAGACTGAATGCCTCCAATGACACATTCTACATGAACACATGGGTCTCCTCCCTATCAAACTTTTCTCCTACACGTATCTTCCCCTCTGCCCCACTTATATAATCTACCTATCACTGCTCTTTGCCTTTTACCACCCTCAAAGCTTGTCCTCTCTATGTCTAAGGGCTGAACTGTTGGCTCACTGATCCTTTTCTTTAACACAAAAGTCCAATTGAAATCTGGGACTCTTCTCCAGGGAGTCTTTTCAATCCTACTCAGAAAGAGAAGACAATTCTGTTTCATGTCATTATGGATATTTTATGTTAATAAAAAAAAGTAACACTGAGTGTGTAGCACTTGCCTCATACAGACACACACACATGGGGGTGGGGTGGGGTGGAATCAAACCCAAATCTTTTTGTTGTTTTGAAGAAAGGTTTCTCTGTGAGACAGTCCTGGAACTCAATTTGTAGCTCAGAGTGGCCTCAAAATCACAGACAACTGTCTGCCTCTGTCTACTGAGTGCTGGGATTAAAGGAGTGTACCACCACCATGCAGCAACTTTCCCCTTTTTATTTCACCTGGAGCACTGTGCATCTTCCTTAACCCCTTCAACCTGCAGAGAATTTTCAGAACATCTCTCAGGCCAAGGGTACTTTCTCTTTAGGTATTAACTCTTCAGTCACTATCTGGGATACACTGGAGACCTACTACACTCTTCATGAGATGAAGTTATTTTGGTTTATG